AAACAGGTAATATCGAAATGGGTCGATAATTGTCAGGATCCTCACGGTCCCCAGATTTAAACAACGGAATGACTTTCGCTATCTTCCAACAATCAGGGAATACACCAGAATTAATTGAAATATTCAAGATTTGAGTAATTGAATAAGCAATAGCTGGTCCTGCTATTTTCAGATATCTTGCACTTATCTTGTCAATACCCATAGCTTTGTTTGTTTTAAGTCCTAACAGAGCACCCAGCACAAAATCTTTGGTAACAGGAGGAATATTGAAAAGAACATCCGGATCTTTTCTTGAACAAACAAAGTTTTCAACCTTTGAATTGCAATAAGGTACATTAGGTAGTAGATTCCTCAGTGAATCAGCAATTGAAGTGAAGTGATCATTAAACTTTTCGGCCAAAACAACATTTGGCGTCTCAACTGATTTTGATACATCGCCCATTAGTGATTTTATGGTTTTCCACATCTTTTAGAGTTTCCCTTGTTGTTGTTGAAACAGGTATTATAGTATTTATATTTCGCACTGCGAATCATGTTTACAACTTTATTCCTCGCGATTTTGAAGCAGTTCCAATCCGTGACACAACGACTTTGCCTTGCTTTTTACGTAGTAAAGAATCCCTTCTGCGAAGCGCTTGTAAAATATTCACAGTCATCCATGGAGCTTGATTTTGTTTGGCTACTTTCTTTACTCGCCACGGACAGTGGGCATCCAAGATGTTAATGAAGAGACCCATCCATGCATTTAAGATATCAGTTAAATCGTCAAAGACAAATGCAGTATTCCAAGGAACTTTTTGAGGTCGGAAACGAAGGCGGATTTGTCAAAATGCTTCGTATTACGATATTTAATCGTTAAAGATTTATTTTGACGCTTGGCGTTATCCTCATATAAACGAACTCCAAATACAGGCAAATGATCTGACAGCCCATTGTTTTTGACGACAATAGACTTAATTCTTTCAGGAAAATTTGACAATACAAAGTCAAGACAGGTTCCGCTTGATGGTCGAGTAACTTCAGTAATGAGCTGTTTGAAATTCATGTTAGAAAAGGCACGTCCCAAGGGATGTTTCTTGTACGCCGGAGAAATAAAATTAATGTTGATATCGCCAGTAATGATGGTTTCTAAATTTAATAGATAAACTAATTCTAACATATTCTCGATGGCCTCATCCTCTGATAAATTAGTTGAAGGAGGTCTGTAAATGCCGGCGAATAAAATGGGACGGTTAGATTTGAATGGAAAGACTTCCAACCACAATGCTTCTATATTATTATTATGCTCAATGTCGACTCTCCTTCGATGTTTCAGATCGTCATTCACATAAATTAGAACCCCACCACCATTTTTCAGGCCCATCCGATCCTTTCGGTGCACTGTGAAACCAGGGACTGAGTATAGACAATCTGGGAGGAGCGGTTTCAAAAACGTCTCATTGATTGATAAAATATCCAAACGTGGTCGACCATCTTCATTAAGAAGGAACAATTTTATTTGTTCTAGTTTTGTAGTCGTAAGCCTGTTGACATTCCAAGAACCAAAGCGTATGCCTTTGTGACCAAGATGTAGGTTAAAGTAGTCAAAGCCATCAGGCGATAAATCATTTTGCGAAGAATCATCTGAGTCATTATGAAACTCAACAGTATCGTCCATGCTAGCTGACTCTTCATCGCTTGTAAGCGAAACAAAGCTTGAGTTTTCACCAATACCTTGGCTCCCAGGACGTACAGTTTGTGGCCCTGGATTAGTAGAGACGTCTCCAGCTAACATAAGTAGAAATAGAGTAGACAATCCAACTTCCAAAACGAAAAGAGAAGCTTTGGCCTTTAAACATGGCGGCAGTACAGCACCATTCACCTTTCGAGGACCGTTATTGCGACTTGGAAAAACTCTACTGTCCAATTTTAGTGACAGAAAGAGAGATTCACCACTTGGAATTTGATTTTGCCATATACTTATAGGACTAAGGCTATAACATAGTAATAAAATTAAAATAAAACGGGAGCTCAAGAAGAGCAGTGAACGCGCCATGTTAACACGTGATCAATTACCTTGAGAACCAATTTTTCCAGAGAGACCATTAACACTTATATTTACCTAACATTTCACTAGTAATGGTCAACAAAAGCATTGACATGCGGGTGTACAATGAAAGTAAGCAACAAAGCAAAAATCTCTTAGCCCACTATCCAAAAACTACTGTGGCTTTTAATTTATGTTTTGACTTACTTAGACTGAAGAACTTGAATGAACTCGAATAAATTGAAAATGGTAAAATATGAAAAGTTTTATGCGTAAACATGTTCCAAACAACCACACAGAAAAATCAGTAAATTGGCTACTTCAGTAAAAGGCGAACTTCATACAAATAAAAGCGAAGTCGTTGACGAGCAAGGAGGGAAAAAAAATCTCGCCCTATCGCGTTTCTCAGGGTTTTCGAATTTTTCCCTCAACGGTGTAATCAGCAATTGATACTTTATTCGTCGGTAACCAGCGGCAAATAAACATTCGCAACTCCTGCCTGAATCTTTGACTCTGAAGAGTGTAAATGATCGGATTCAAACACGAGCTTAATCCAACAGGTATCACGCACGCGTAGTAAATGATGGACCCATATTCCACCAAGCAAGGAACGTGATATGCAAGCAAGTATGAAGTCACACTAGGAAACCAACACAATGTGTGAAGCACCGTCACTGTCACTGCAATTTTCGTGATTCGCTTGCGTGATTTGATTACGGCTAATGAAGTGCCCGAAGTTATAGATGGCCCCCAAAGTGTTTTCACAGTCTTGGCGTAAAGAACAGCCATCAATACAAGAGGAACTGAAAAGTCCACCACGAAGGTAAAGACGGTGTAAATTTTGCCATATACAAGATTGGACCAGTTTTCAAAGCAAGATGAATGATTTTTGTCATAGATCATTGCGAACATTGAAGGAATCTCGGAAAGAATGGCAAAAATCCAACCACATAAAATAACCGTTATCAGTTTTCTCTTTGATAATTTTCGTGCAATATTGCCAGTTCGAGTGGCATAGAAGCGTTCGATGGCGATCACAACATGCATGACAGTAGCAACACACCCTCCAACCCACATAGTGAACCCCCCGGTAAACAGCTTACAAAGCAAGGTTCCAGCCCATCCATCAGGGTGGGTATATACAGGACGAAGCACATATTGGGGGATCAGAGATGTTGCCACCAGAATGTCGGCCAGTGCTAAGTTGAGGAAAAGGTAGTTGATTGAGGTCTTGAACTTCGAGTGAATCAAAGTAAGTACCACTAGCAAGTTTGGAATCAAATTTAAGATCGTTAAAAGAAAGAAAACCCCCGACAAAATATTTTGCGTTCTGTCATTTACCATCGTGGCTCGGTTCAACGAAAGTCCTGTTTTCTGCGGAGAGAAATATAAGATTAGTCCTAGATAAAAGATTGACTGAATATCTGTGCTGCGCTCACGTTTCAAGGGGAAAATTAGAGTGAATTTTTGTTCGGAACAACTGAAAACAATTTCATCGAATAACGTCTGCTGTGTCTGTCAAATTGAAGCGAAAGATTTACAACATTTGAAACTGAATATGTCCACGCTCTTCCGCTGGCGAAACAAAAAGTTTGATAGCAAACCCTACCTTCTCTGGCAATCAGTGATTGCAGTTATGACATTTTTCGTTTCTACCGAAGACGAAACGATTTGAGACAATAATACAAATCAACTGGTAAGCCTCCAATAAATTATTCAATTACTAAAAAGTTAATTAACAGGACAGGTGTTAAAACAAATAGCTCTCGTAATTCATCAAACGCTAAGTAAATCTTATTAACTAAAGGTTTTGTTTTCACTAGGACAATTTTAGCTAGATAAAAGTCAGAAAAGTCCAGAAATACAGTGAAAACACTTTGTCTAGTGTTTAGCGAGTTAACAATGCCAACTGTTTTCACAGGGAAAAACAACGGGTTTTCTCGCCTTTAGGACAGGAAACTCACGCAAAGTTACATTTCACCCCTCACAACCACGCAGTTAAATCTATCATTCTTAAAAATTTTAAATTACTCCAAAACGATTCAGAGACTGGCACTATCTTTTCGCAACCCCCACTTATTTCATTCAAACGCGACAAAAACATAGGCAACTTTTTAGTCAGGAGTTCATTTCCAACCTATGACCAATCTGGAACTTTTAAATGCGCTCGCTCACGATGCAAAACTTGTCCTTTCATTCATAACGTAGAGAAAATATCGGGACCCAAAAGATCCATTAAGATCATTGATCACTTTACGTGTACCTCCGCCAATGTTATTTACTGCATAACTTGCACTTATTGCAATAAGTTATACATCGGCGAAACAGGAAGACGACTGGGTGACCGATTCCGAGAACACCTTCGCGATGTGGAAAGAAATGACAAGGACGCATCTAAGCCAGTCGCTAGACACTTTAATCTTCCTTATCATTCTAAACAGTATATGGCAGTTTGCGGCCTTTCCTTACACCTAGGCAGTTCGGAAAGCCGTAAAACACTAGAACAAAAATTTATATTCCAAATCGGCACCCTTAATCCCCACGGAATCAACGAGCGCTTTTCATTCAACTAATTTATTCCTGTTTTCTCGTCACCACATTCCCACCAATGGCGTAGCTCCACTTCCTACATATAAATCCACACACAACCCACAATTCCTCTAATCGCTCTGACGAAGGGCTAACGCTCGAAACGTCAGCTTTTTTACCCTTTACGGTGGCTAATTTACGTTTTCAACTCAGTTGTTAACACTAAATTACCTGCTATACTCTCCCACCGACGCAGCACCACAGTTTCTTTAGAAACTTACCCCTTTATTCACGCAAAGTTATACTACCTCGCAAGATGGTTTAACTTGACCCGACAAATAACGCAGCCAATCGCATCGCGTGTAGTGACAAATGCCTGCCAAACAATCTGGCAAAATTATTTTCCAGACGCTCGCCTCGTGGTTCTTCAGAAACAAAACCTTGTATGCTTGTACACATGGCTGACGAATTGCAAAACACTTCCCAATTCTTCGCCGTTTTACAATTCCTCCGGGCCCGTTGGATGCTCAGATCCCTCGTCCAGGGCCTTACCTGTTTCACAGCGTCGGCATGCAGAATCAATTTCCACATTACGGGCGACCAGCAGTTCTTCCATACCAAGTTCCTATGCCACGTGCGTCACCCTCGACAAGCTCAGTCCCGAACAGCGAAAGCGAAAGCACAACGAACGAAGAAAATCCACAGCCAGGAGCTACGAACAGGAACCGTAGCTCTAACTGAACAGACGCGGAGACAAGGTATTTACTTGAATTGTGGAGGGACTATTTCCCAATCAGCCAGAAAAGAAACAGCACTGTGTGGGACGCCATCGTAAAGAAGCTCAATTCAATTTTTAAAGACCAGGGAATACCAAGCTACCGCACTGGTACACAGTGTAAGGCGCGCATTAAATACCTTCGGGACGAGTACAAACGGGTGAAGGACCACAATTCCCGAAGTGGCAACAACCGGGAATCGTTCGAATACTACGACGAGATCGATGAAGTTTTGGGATCCAAGCCGAACATCACGCCGAAAGAAGCTGTCGAATGTGGTTTGGCTGAAGATACCAACGCAACTGCAGTTGGTGACTCTGAAGCTTCACCTGAATCAAATATTCCAGCAGATCACGAAGGCGATGCAGACCTAGAACAGGAGTTCGAAAAGAACTTAAAAGGAAACCCAAAACGTTCCAAAAAAAGGAGCAAAGGAAGAGCACCTGCCGTAAAGAAAGCGAAGACTGCCTCGGCTGAGTCCAACGGCGATCTTGTGGAATTTTTACAAGAGAGTCAAAGTAAAGACCACGAGCTTTTCGAATGCCTCGCCGACAAGGAGGCAGAGAGAGATCTTAAAAGTCAAAAACTTATGTTTGATGCTATAAAAGAAGTAGCGAAAATTTTTAAAGGCGACAGTTAAAAAGAGAACTGCGGACTTTCAGACACAAGTTTTCGTGCATCAAGTACAAAGATTTTTAATTTTTATTATTCTTACTGTCGAACTTGTTTGAAGTGAACATCAAGTACATAGATTTTTGTATTATTGTTACTGTTGAACTTGTTTGAAGTGAACTTTTTCTATCAAGTGTTGTTAACCCCATTTTCCAATTTCGACTCAACTACAAAATAGTAAAAACCTCAAAATTTAATACTTGTTTATAATAAATTCAGAACCTAAGGAATGAGACAATTATTTGCTTACAACATTGACCACAAGTGCAAAAAAATGAAATGAAAATGAAATATTTTTCCACGAAATCAATGTTCCTTCGTCTTGCGTCAATCACATCAATATAATTTTTCAATTTAATTCGAAATTTTCATATTAACCATTTTTTTATTATTACATAAATGTTAACAATGAAATAAGAAGTACCAGAATGACAATTTTTTTTTGCTTAAAATGTGAAAACTGAAATGAAAATGAAGTAATCTTTGCAGAAAAATGCCATAAAATAAAGCTTCAAACACCTAGGAAGAATGTTCAGCTAGTTAATCGGCCTAGTGAAAACACAGGCAAAGAATGAGTAATAAAATGAAGATATGACAAGCAAATTTTGTGGTCATTTTAAAATTAGCTATAAAGCTATGTCAGTTTTGGATCAAATTTTCTGTTCTTTTTCTTTTTTTTTTCATTCATTACATCATCATTTTACATTTCTCAAATTATTCACAAATATTGCTCTGTTTAATTTTTGAAAAGTCAAAATTGGAAAAAGAAACTTAGCGCTTACATTTTTTAAAGGAGAGAGGTGTGAAATCATTGTTTGGGCGGTCGCGTACCATCCTGCGACTCCCTTACCCTACGAGCGAGTCTTTGATCACACTAATTAAAAACCAACCTGACATATTACAGAACGCGAGTTGACAATTAACACTTTTAGACCAGAAATGTTGCGTGTGATTAAAGACGATTATACTATGTATCATGAGTGTATTACCATAGAAGGTCATTCGCAAGTGCATGTCATCGTTCACTTACTCCACCTATATTTTAAACACGTTTGAATAAAAGCGAACGATTTGATCCATCAATGTATTTAAAAAATGAAGTTACAAGTTTTCTATAAACCATTGTATCTATACAGCATGTCATTGGTGCACTAGTAACAAGGCTAAGCTTTATCAAGCAGAGGCTCTCTTTATCAACTCTTACCCCTTTAGGACTAGTAGAAATGCGTATCTTGGCATCATTGCAGGTTACGGTGTTATCTAGGGACTAATTAAACTATTAATGAAAAGAACATGTTAGGACCCCGTGGTGGGTCTTTCGTTTGAGAACCGTCGCTTCCAATGCATAGTTCAAACCACCCCATCGGCTTCACAGCTTTGACACCTATCGTAGCTAACAGAGCATTTGATTTGATTTTGCTCGAGTAACTGTTTCCCCGCAAATTTCGGAAATTAATCAACCGAACCAAGTTATTATTAATCAACCTCTTTCAAGTGACAGCACTTCATAAAACCATAAAAAAAATTAACTATATCAATATCGTTTTCTCTACAGGAAGTCATTCAAAATGCGCACTTAAAGAAACTTGACAGGGCTCGAGTTTTTCATTTCCAGACCGGTAAAGAGATTATAAAAACACAAACAACTAAGAGTGTCTTTGAAAAACGCAGAGCTGTCCCTGGGCGTTGAAAAGCGACTAGAGACATTACGATTCCCTGAGAATATGAGTGCGACCTTCTATTAATGAAACAATGGGCAAATCGGAAATGTGATGTAAAAAAACGCAATAGCCATCGTCATTTCAGTACGAGATTCTGCAAGAATGGGGTAAGGTGGAGGAACAAAGAAGTTACCTCCACAGTAGCCACAGTTTTATCACTTTTCAATCAGAAAGGTACCTATCTGGTTATTGTTACCAAATACAATCGTGCTCCATTTTTACAGTCATTAACAGGACCATGAAGCTTTCCAGAGTAGACATCTTTTCTAAGTAATTCCTTTGAGGATTACCGACTACAACTTCTCTCTGAAGTCATACACTCTTCAAAGAAATTGTTTAACTCTCCATTGTTTGAACACACTTATGCTCAAAGAGTCGCTTTTAGGAGAAAGTGATTCCGCGGGAATACAGCGCGGTATTTTTTCTTGTAAGTCAAAGTCAATAAAAGCGTCCTACACTATGGAATACTCGAGGGATTTTACATAAATCCCTGTTGTATCTACAGATCCCCTCTATGCGGACGAGATAGAATTGTTTTTTTAATAATCTGTTAATGAGGCTGTAATCAACTCTCTAAAATAACGCCGTAATTTCTTATCAGTAATTACACTTTTAGTCATGGAATGAAACCGTTGCATAGGACGAAGGAACACTTAAATTTTTGTTTGTAGGTTCATTTTCTGTGCAATGGCCGCATATTCCTTGTGTCCCGAGGAACCTTTCTGTTTGACGTACTCAAGTGTGCGCATCTGTTGAAGTAACAAAAACAAAGAAATTAACAAGGCCATGAAGATTTCCACACATTGCCGATGGTCATTTGGGGGTTTACGAAGATTACTAGGGATTACCGAGGTTTTTAAACGGAAAAGTAATTGTACTTTCGTCCATCGACCTAAATGACAGACTAGGAAATGAATTTTTCTTGGACGTAACATGTTATTCATCAAGTTAAATCTACGCGTGGATGCAGCGATCATCTAATTTTTGCTCTAACACTTTTATGGCGCGTTGCACTTACGGCTGCGGTCAGCGGTCATAGTAAGCAACTATGTCCGCTGGTCTATGAGCTCGAAGTCTCTTTTAGTTATCATGTGTAGTTAGAGTTCTGATAGTATTTGTACTTACTGTGTATTTTGTGTTCCCATAGCCATGTTTCTGAGCGAGATTCCACAAGTTAAGGGCCAGTGTAGCTAACTGAGGTTGTGAGAGATCAGCATGACACAACAGCCTTGAAAACAACACAAAAAAATTGTCCAGTGAAGTATTCTAATGAAAAAGATTTATATCCTGTTGAACAACACTGACATCCAAAATAGCTCAAAATATTTCTAACCCAACAAGAAAGCATCGCATTTCTTTTGATAGTAAACATGGACAAATTCAAAGCGTTTTCCATCGCTACCTCAGAATAGACGAAAAACATACGGTATTTATAAAAGTTTTTTTTTTCTGGTTTCAAAATTGTGCTTCTCCTGTCAATAGGCGCACCATGAAAGAGACCTCTAAGATCCACTGCGACGAAGTTAATTATCATTCAAAGACAAACGTATAAACTAGGTTCACTTTTGCTGACCTGTTGAAGAACCCAATAGCTATAGCGGCCTGCTTTTTGAGCTCCTAACAATAAAGGACATAAAAAGACCGTTATAGTATCTGTACAAACACTGTTCCTGCCTCAACACAAACAAGTTTTTTCTCAGTGTTGCACAGAATTTTACACCTGCATCACTAAATTAGCATGGGAAGAAAGAAAAGTTTTAGGACGTAAATAATTTTTTGATTTTAACAGAATCAATAAAAAATTAAGACTAACTGTGTGTAATAAAGAATCCCTTAAAGTCATGCGATGGTTATAAAATGCTCAGTTAGCGAGGCCTTTCAGCGTGGAAAATGTCAAGAAGACTTACCTCTTCGGAGGTCAAGGACTTTAAGTGTTCAAACACAGCCTCCATTAACGTAAAAACTAGTCGATTTATCTCTGCTAGAAATTTCTTATCACAACCGTACAATCTGTCATTCGAATCCACTGAAAACAAACAAACGAATCAATACATGAAAAAAAGAAACAAACAAATTATCTTATAAAATTAACCTAACTCGCTTTCTTTACGGTAAAGTGGAAAATTTTTTTCAACAAGCAACAACTCTTCCTTGTACTTTCAAATTCCTTGTTATCAAACCACGATATTGTTTCATACTTAAAGAGAAAACGGGTGGAAATAGAGACGTTTACTTTAGGAACTTAATAACCTACCTTTATCAACATGATAAATGAAATATTCCTGCAAAGAGAGATGAAAATTTCAGCCATACTTCTTTTCTATGAATGAATGTTTGCAAGGAAAAAGGAGTAAAAGCCTTTTACGAACAAATCGCGCGAGACTCGCGTGTATGCTCGTGAAGACCACGTGAACTCGAACGATCATACAGATACAATAACACACAAACCCACCTGACTCATGGCGGAGAGAAGGCAAACGGCATTTAGGTAAATACTCATTTTGGCGCCGCTGTTTATTTCCCAAGTGTACTCTTGTACAACATTAAGCAGGCCTCGAACAAGATGCAGCGCGCCTTGATCTGGCGAGTCCTGAAAAAAAAATTTGAAAAGTACCACATGAGTTGAGTGCACTCTGTAACAGAGCAATAAGGTGACAAAGGTAATACGGGACTGTATTGGTTTTGCCTCATTTCGAACTGTGATTGGTCTAGAAAAGTCACGTCATCTATTCACCCAATCAGATGCAAGCCTAAAATAATAGCGACTTGGTGATTGGCGTTTCCCACGCTTCTCTTAATTTTTCATTGGTTCCTAGTTACATTTACCGATTGTAATGACTACACTTTGGTGCACTCACACACAGTTATCATTACCAACAAGAGCTGCAGTCATAATATCGTACAAACGTACCGGTACTACCAACAAGGTGGAGAAAAAGCTGTTCATGTAGGCAAGAAGGTATGGCTCCGACGATTTCACCTTGTGGTCAATTTCTAGAAAAACAACGGAGAAAACACACAAACAAACATCACAGTTTTCGCTTGTTTGATCTCTTATTTCGGAATAATTCGACTTACATCCCTCTGACTTTTCTACGCTAAATATAAATATACAGGTGTTGTATTCGGGGGAAAGGATCTACAGGAACTATAAACTGAACGTTACCCCAATCAAACAAAACACCTTAGAAAAATAATGTCATCTATAGTTTTCTTTGTTTGTTTGATTCATTGTTACTTTCTCATTCAGAACATTCCTACTACGAGCACGTACAAGGTAGATAGTTTGTTGTTCTGAATCAGTGATCTTACCAATCGTTCGTGGCACTTCAGCAACAAGACTGATCGCCGCTCTAAAAAATGCATCCGCTGAAACGTGAAATGCAAATGGCGTTACATCGTTTGGTTCTAAATGTTTCATTCCAATCAAAAACAATTTTCCGTGACCCATGAAACGAATAAAACCATCGCTAAGAAGCATTGACTTCAAGTTGAGTTTAACGATTGCTGTCTAACCAGAAGCGCATGCCTATCCCATAGAGATCTACTGACCTTGACTGAGGGCTTGATTTGCCATGGCAACCTGTCCTGACAGGAGGTAGAGCTTGAGGCGAGAGAAAACGTCATCTATGGAGGGGATGGTAATGAAACAGTAGGCAACACAAGCCTGTAGGAGACAGGGCAGAACAATGTTTAGTCAAATTATTGTAAGCACTGAGAGATAAAATCAAACAAATCCTCTCCTCTTACTCTGATGAAGGACGCAGTCTTTCGAGTGTGGTTCCCTTTGACTACTTCTCGAGTTTTCATGGCGAGAAGATTAACACTCTGTTAACAAAGGAAAAAGGCACAAGAGCACCGTTATGACTACAGTAAACGATTGGGTGTGTCTATGACGCACGTGTGTCCTGGCAGATCTGATTTCATGAATTTCTGTGAGGCTAAAAATGTCTCAAATCAAATACAAAACTTAAACCGAATCTAAAACCAAGCAGTTCGTTTTTTGTATTTTGAGCTCCATCGACACCCCGTGATATTTTCCTTTGCTATTAGCCGTTGTGGATATTTTAGTTTTTGCTTGTCGACAATCGTCGGCGCGTGCTCAAAGTAAGATTTGATCACCTGCACGAGCATTACAAGAACAGCTTCTAGACTGGAGAAAGAGGAACGTGCATCCACAAAAGAATCCAGTTGCCTCTCAAAATCACGGCCAAAGTCAATCTGAAACGGTAAGTAAACTACTCAAGATCAAATGACTTTGAAATTGAAGATAAATCCTTATGATACTCTTCTCAAAAAATTTGATATTTTTCTTATCAAAGACAAGACTTTCGTGTCCTATCAGAACTTCAATATCGGCTTCCAGACACAAATGAAAACAAACTGATATGAAAATCATTGAAACGAACTACAATCCAAGATTCGTACCTTACGTAGGAATCCTGTGATCAGATGACCAATAACTCTCCTCTCGTCTATCAAGGTCAATGCACTGATGAAAATAAAGACAAGCATCTCATTAAAAAATTCTATTTTTTTCATCTTCTACAATAGAAGAATCATTTTTTTACTTAGAATAACCACTGTGATGACAAACCGTTGGGCACTTACTTTACAGAGTCGTGCATCGTTTTACAAACATACAGCAAAGAGTTCACAACCACCGGGTCATTCGTAGGTTCCTCTTGGTATCTGTCAAGGTGACCATAGTTTTTTTAATGCTCACATGTTAAATTAAAGTTATGCAAACAATTTGGTTTACCTTGTTGAACAGGCGTAATTCTTTGGCGATTTTCAGTCGAGCGGTGATAGGCACGACGGAAACGCGAGAAGAACCGAGACGAACGCAAAGGGCGAGTCACTCCAGAAAAAACAACAACGATCAGAGGTTTAACGAATAGCAAAATTAGATTTGTTGCTGCAGAAACTCACATTAGCATGCCTTTAAAAAAAGTCACTCACTTAACAAAAGCTTCCACAATCAGTTTGCAAACATCCACTCTGATTGATTCTTTTTGAAACATGTCCAAGAAAGGAAGAAACTTATCCTGGAGAAAAAAGATACACACATAGAAAACCGATTTTAGTAATTCTACACGAAAGATATGTTTGTTTGGTTGGAAAGGAAACTAAATCAAATGTTCAGGAGTGAACTTACCATTGATACAAGAACAGAGAAGTCGTGCATGTGGTCTAGTACTTTGGAAATAATCGACTGAAGCTGTTGGAAACAGAGATAACGTTTATCATTATTATTATTATTATTATTATTATTATTATTATTGTTATTATCATCATCATGATCATCATTTATATTTATTTTGCCATCTTGAAACTATTAATACTATATTTTCAGTTTGGAGAAAATACCGGGAAGCCCAGAGAAACCATGGGACTCGTTGAGTACGGGCTTCCTTAACTAGTAGTATATAGAACTAACAATAAAGGAGCGACAGCGGAGAAATAGGTAAAATGATATGATGAAAATAGCTAACCAAACAAAAACAGAGTAAAGCAAAACAATAAAAGGAAAAAAAATGAATCAAAGCAGAGTAGAACCTAATAAAAGAACGTATTTTGAAATTTTTATTAAGACTTGTTACACTTGTTGAACCAGAGATTTTGAATGTCTATGCTGAATGTCTGAGGACCTTGATACTGAAGTGAAAAAAGCTTTAAGTTGATCTTGTACGGAGGAACTTGAAAATAACTTTTCGGTTAATCAAGTTTTTACAATGGCAAAGGGTTTGACAAAGCAAGGTTATTCCTATGTAATGAAACTTTCACTGAGATTTAATTCTTTTGCTAGTGCATGGGTTGTTTATCTTACCAAGGATCATATTTTGCAGCAATACCTGAGGGTAGTGTTGTTCAAATGCCCTTTCCGGAGTCATGTGCTTGATAACGTCTCCGATGAGGGTGTTGACTTCGCGTTTCTAAAGAGGGTTTTCAGTCATATACACATACTTTGATCATTGACAGTCCTTCAAAAATTATTGAATGCACGATTCAAGGATTGAAAATTTGTCTCCTAGATTTATTTCATTGTCGGCATTAGGAGATAGAGATTCGACTTTTGCGCCGAGGTGTTCTAACGGAGCCGCACGAGTTTTAAGACAAGCAACCGTATCCTTTTTTTAATGCAATTAACTTAAGATTGGTGCTGGTTGGTTATCGTACAACTCTGATCGGTTTCCGACCCAGAGATACATAACTTTAAGTAAGACAGTAACACTTACCGTGAAGTTCTTACAAACGTACTCTATCCAGGCCTCCGCACAGCCTATGTAGTCCTGAGAAAATCGGTGAAACGAGAGAAAGTTTTTGTAAACAAAAGAGGAATATTGATTAGCTCTTACAAAGTTGAGTGACACAGCAGATTTTTTTTTTTCGAATTTAACTATACTTACCTTACATCTGTTATGAAACCCTTTTAAAAAATAGAACTTTAAAATGCTCTTATTACACAAAGTCAATAAATTACAGACGCTAGAGAAGTTTAAAGTAAGGTTACTCACAGGGGGATGTTTCATTTTCATTACAACCTTCCAAACCTTCAAAAGATAAAATATCACCACTATTAGTAACAAAGAAGTGTTTAAACATTGAGAGTTCTAAATAATTCGATTTCGCACATTTTGTATTCGCTTCCCCCTGCTTTTTTACTTTGTTCTATTTACTACATTTATCTTTAATCTTATGTCTTTCAGAATTGTCATGAAAAGTTTTAATTTCGGATGCAGAGTAACAAATTACGAATTTACAGAGTTAGCGGTAATTGATTGTTGAAGCATCTAACCTCGCTAAGAATTTGTAGTCTCTGCGCTTCAGGCGGATCACATTGGCTCAAGTTCATCCCAAGTGATTTATACAGGTGATGCTGGAGATGACAAAATAGATGCACTGTTATAGCGTAATTCTACGTAATTCAGCAGGTCACCATTAAGAGATTGGTAGTGTTTATAGGGACAAATATTCAAATGACGTTAAAAGTAAATGAATTCCGGGACTGCATTCGTTTTGAGTTACTTTCGTGTTACAAAGCTCTCTAATTGGTCTAGAAAACTCCCGCCACTCTCGCAACCAATCAGGTTCAGAATTTAAGTAACCTGCTCACTTTCCCGCGCGGAAGGTCGCCTTAATGTACGTGTGCATAAGTTGAGTTTTGACTGTCTCCTGACAATGAGATGAGATGTCTTATAATACTTTGATTCGTCGTTGTGTACACTTGGGTTTCAGTTAAACTACACTCAGTTGAAAAGAGCTCTTCCTCACGATCAAGCCACAGTTACCTTTGGGAATCCTGCCTCCTCACAATTTCTTATCAGTTCAGTGAACTGCAGAGCCCTAAGGTGACACAAACGGGAAAAAGTCAAAATACACTGAGGAAAATGTCTTAAGAAATGTTTGCAATCTTGTTTCTAGAAACCAAATCGATTCCATGTTTATCACTTTCACAATAATAATTTATTGTTTTATACTCCACTTTAGACCAACCTCTCAGCAATGTATTCTGGCCTGAATTCTGTGATGATTGAGTTCAGAAGTAATGCACTGCAAAAAAAACAAACAAACAAACAAACAAACAAAACAAACAAACCTCAGCAAGGTAATAATTCAAGCTTGGTTCTCTCTCAATAAAATACACCACTTCACGCACCTGTTGCATTCCTTTTGGCAACGATTTAAGATATCTGTAAGTGTAGACTAAGGAAGAAAACAGATTTATTAGAAAAAAAAAGTTAGTGGTGACTTTATCACAAACTAAGTCCACCAAGCTAAACGTATGATACCCAAAGCATGAGGTCCATATATTCATCTCACCTCTGGGCTCTTCTCTGCAATACACTGTAGAATCCAGTCTAAAGCTGGCGGATACAACTGAAGGTACTGGTGCATTTCTGGAGAATTCACAATTAAAATGGATGGTTGATTTCTTTCAGATGAGATAAAGTAGGAGCGATAACAGGTGATGTGGGATGGTGATGTCTTTGAGGTCAAATGGATTAAGATGGTAAACATATATCTCATAGGAACCTAATATATGGCCAACATGTAGCTTGGAAGCAAGCACTATGTTTACTGTACTTGGATTTTAAAAAGGCTACTGAAAGAAACTAACACGTTTCCTAAGGAAGTGTTACTTACCAAGCCTCTGCTCTGCCAGAATATTCTGCACTGTATCACCTTGAAGCTGAAACAATGAAGGGAGAGATAAAGTCACTTTCATGTCATAATCATCACATCCATGAGCCAATTTACGGAGATGACGATAAGACAAGTTTCCAAAGCTTTTACCAGTACTTTAATTCAGCAGTCACCTGTTTATAGCTGACTATGAAACTGAACAAGTTTTCAATCAAATGATCACACACATCAGGTGCCACAAGGATACCAACCTAAAATAGTAGTGAAGAGAATGAAAAATAATATTGTCTATAATAACAGATCTTTCTGCATCAGTGTAGGAATACATATGTTTTAGTTATAACTTTAAACTATGTTTACATGTTATCTGATTGTGCCCCTAAAAAAATGCTATATGGTGAGGGGTTTGGCTTAGTTTTTCCTGGACAAGTTTGGTGTGAAGTTCAAAACAAATAAAGAAACAGAGGCTGCTGATAAATATTCTAAAGAGACTGTAAGAGAAAATTAACTTACCTTGCTAAAGGAGAGCAACACAGTGGTGAGAGTAAAGACTTACCCACTAAAACTAGCCACTGAATTTTACTTTACATGTATCTATAAAATCTTTTTAGGGGAGACCTAATGATTAAAGTGATTTACTCTGGATGTAGAGGTCCAAGTTTATGTCCCAGCTGGGGTCACTATATCATGTTCCTGGATGAGACATTCACTTACTGCCTGTCTCCACCCAGAGGTAAATGATATGGGTTCCCGTGAACATTGAGAGAAACCTGACATAATGAAAAGCAGTAAACTGCAATGGAAATGTATCCTGTCTAAGGGAAATAGAATTTCTAATGCAGTCTGGTCACTCAGTTTAATGGAAACTGGAATAAGCTCTGGTTCCACAGCTACTTTTCAGTCACTTACCCTACAGATGTAAGTTCTTGCATACACAGCAACCAGAGGGTCACCAATACCTCGTATCATCTTGGTGAGGCGAACAAGAGCTTGTGAAAACTCACTGGAATGTAAAATTAATATGTAAGTAATCAATGTGTAGGTAATTATGAGTAAAATATTTCAATTCCAAAATCAATATTTGTGGAAAAATGTTAAGGTCAAATTTGTAAACAGGATTCAAAATTCAAGCATTGGAAATTAATATACCTATCTATTTTTACTAAGATAAAATTTTGTCAACCTGAAACAGGAATACAAGTAACTTTAAGAGCAATTTTTAGAGTTGAATACCAATAAATATCTCTGCCTTCAAGTGCTATTTACATAGAGAGTAAATAAAAAAAACATCAAGAAACTCCATGCAATGTAACATAACTTTTAACTCCTGATCACATGCATATTTACCCAGTTGTGAAGAAATTATAGCATTTCAATATAGCTGTCTCCACATAGCTTCAGTGTGTCAAGGAATATAAACTTTGTGCTGATGAGGCAAAATTCAAAAGCCATGAGATAATCCCTGCAGTATTTAAAGCATTATTTTAACCTTGAGGCTTATAATGAGGCAAAGGACAAGAAGCAGTAATTAAAACAAAGCAAACTATAATTCCTATTTCTGACATGATTCCTATCTCATGTATCATGATAAAGGAAATTTCAAGGATACAACCGAGGAATAAGTTCTCGCACTGAAGCAATCTTGTAAAACCAGTTCCTACAAGTTTCCTTAGCTGAGTCTGGCACCTGGTCAGGTGTGAAGTTTTCTGAAAAAAGAGAAACGAAAATTACAAATAAGAGTTGTTGACTGCATTTAACTAAATCTAAAGCTGTTCATGAAACTTTAAGCAGTGAGCCAAGTTTTGAATAAAAGCTGGGAAGTGGCTTAACTGAGGGAAAGGAACACTTTTTTCTAAAAGAGTTTGAAATTGAAGGTCCTTAGGAGATTACTGGGTTAAAGTATTTTCTGAGCAAATATTTTCAATATAGGGATACATGTTGTTTGCAAACAAAACATGTTTGTGTTATATTAATACTGAAAATAGTGATAGTGTGTCATGAGGACAAGTGGACTTAGAAGTTCAAAAGAATGTGAATAGAGGCCACAAAGACAACTCAGATATGATATACCATAAGTTGTGGACTGAGTAGAACTTCCCTTCTGAAACAATTGTAAGCTCCACTTGGCTAGCTGTTTATTGTACCCAAAAACTATCAGTGAATGGTTATAGAGTCAAAGTGATCATTTAAAGTAACATGCACAGAGATCATATTCATGACAGATTTTAAGTATCACTTAAATAGAACTGGTTTTATTGGTCTCAAAATCCTTACCTGGAAGCATGGTGGGTATATTACTGCCTGGTGTAAAAGTACTTGATTTGCGGAAAATTCTTTCATACACAAGCTTCCCTGTGAAAGAACATTCACATTTTTTAAGACAATCCAGCCAGAGTTCATGCTTACTCCAGACAACCCAGACCTTGACTCCTTGGACATACCAGAGGAGCACATGTACATGCAATATGTCAGAAAAAGATTATAATTGCAAAACTGAATTCACTCCGTCAGAACTTTAATCTAACTTACCAAATGTGTCCAGTATGTCAGTCACAAGCACAAACTTGCTTGGGTAAAACTGAATTACAGACACATCAGCGAGAAGCTTTGCACACTAAAAGAAAAACATCAATTAGACATGAACTCAAGTGACCAGAAAAACAGAACACTCTGCTTTTCAGGCACCCATTGCAAAACTTTTTTTTCTGGGATCACCAGATGTGGAGGGAACACATTGCTGCCCTACATGCCTGTTAGGCGCAAAGGGCATGAATGAATGAATGAATGAATTGCAAAACTTTTCCCTGTGATCATTACGCATGAATTTAAGAACTGTGTTTAATGACACAGCTCAAAATTTCCCTCATGAATTGTTCTCACTCTACCTCTACACAGGATCCTTTCAATACTTTGATCAATAATGGTAGCAACACATTAACCTTTTTTTCAAATATGTGTTCTTAAATATCTTGTGTCTTTCTTGGTGTTTAATAGTGTGACTGAGTTGTACAGACCTGAATGGCAATCTTGAGAGCCTTCACCCTCTGATCTGATTCCCAAGCAGTGATCAAGGCCTATTAAGAAAAATAATCCACAAAAAATGAGTATTGCAATGGAATGTTTTCGGAGAGCAGCCTAATCAATCATCCTTCATAATTAAATAATGATACAAAATATAAACACAACTTAAAGTAGAGAAAGACGTTTTTGTCTTGTCACGAGCCTGGGAAAAAGAAAAAATTCTGAGTCCCTATGAGGAATCAAACCTCAGATCTTTGGATTCCCACTCCAATGCTCTACCACTGAGCCTCAGAGACTCTACAGTGAGTGAGGTCTACTACAAAATTCATATGACACATATGCTAACTGCTAGGATCAGCTTTGTCAATAGCATCATGTTTGTAAATGGAGTAAGAGAGATGGTAAGTTTTGAGCTTGGTAAAGAAATAGAAAAAGATCTGTTTTGTCTTTTCACTAGTGTGGGACAAAGAAAAAATTCAGAGTTCCTATGAGGAATCAAACCTCTCACCTGCAGTAATAGACCTCGTTTGGCATAAAGTCTCTGTGGTTCAGTGGTAGAACATCAGAGCCCAGAATCCAAAGATCTGAGGTTTGATTCCTCATGAGGACTCAAAATTTTTTATTTGTCCCATGCTTGTGACAAGAGGAAAAACATCTTGCTCCATTTCTTTACTGAGCTCAAAATATTTGAGCTCAGTAAAGAACTATTTTTCTATTTTTAACATGAAGTGTTAAAAGATTGAGATTACTCATTGAGGTGAATTCATGAGTGATTAATTTAGCAGTCTCGTTTGTATCACAATGCTGTTTCCTTAAAATGTAGACCATGACATTTTCACAGTATACTGCAAATCCTCTGAGGGTGCCTGGTTGTTTGTCACATTGTGAAGCATTACTCTCCACAAAGATCAACTGATTTTCATCAACATTCCCACTGATCCTGCATTGAGATGACTTGGATGAGGGATGTTATGAAAGAGACCTTGGTCAGTAACAGTTCCTCAGTACCTTGAGTAGAAGGCATCAGCCAAGCCAAGATATGGCATTGTGTTCTCTGATCATGACTTGAGTTTAGTGTGTCTGGACATAACTTTCTACAATCCATAACAATCCTTTCTACATGTAAGACAACATACTTCCACGCAAATACATTGTATGACTGAGTTTAACCCCCTAATTCAAACCATTAGTTGTAAGAACAAAAAAATAAGCTTTTCACCTGGTTTAGCTCTTCGATTCTCTTGACATAATCCTGCTGACTCAGATTCAGCATTTCTTTGACTGAGCCCTACAAAATATAGTAGAGATTTCTTTCACATGTTGCATACATGTTGTAGAGAAATGGAAATCGAACTAGTCAGAATCCTTAAGATTCACAAATGAATAACATCAGTGGAATGAATATTGGAAGAACTAGGAAAGATGATACACACACTCCTATAAATAGAAACCTCTCCTATCCAATATCTCTGTGACAACATAATTTATTTGAGAAATTATTATATTACGTTTGAAATAAGTTTCTTCCTTTCAAACATTAAATGATACAAAACTTTTCTTTCCCGACCCATTCCTAGCAACAAATACTGTGTTTCACTAAATATATTTTGATTCAATCTTCTTCCTTACTTCTTCAAAGTCATCTAACTGTTCTAGTCTGTGCTTGACTTTATCAGCAACTGTTGTTTGCTGCTTGATTACCACTGAAAAATATTGAACAAAAAAGATACTTATTTTTTGTTGATTTCTACATATTAATTTTGCACTCTATGAATTTATTACATTTCAAATTCCAGACATTCCATTTCTAGCATTCTGATTGGTTCACTCAGCTTCAGTTATCAGCCCATATACAGAATCATCTCATTTGAAAAAAAATTTCCCCAAGTGTTGCTAAGTTGGATTTACCTAGGCTGGAAAAAAAACACTTCTATTAAGCATTGTGGACAATTTAATATGATAAAACACTAACTTCATTTTGCACTTGTTGGGTGCAAGATTTGTTGAAGCCAGTTTGGTGCTATGCATCTTGTTGGCTATCAACCATCTCATATCTGACATTATTGTTAAATATCATTGACAACCTTCATTAAATATCAGTTCCCAATGTTAGCATTATTAAAATAGGACAAGAGAAGGATAGTTATTTGAACAACTCACTCTTTTCAGATTTTTCAGATGATGACAAGAAACTCTGTCAAGAAAAATAAATTTATAACTATTAGTAGATGGTACCAAAAGTAAGATCAGCAAAATTATGCAACACTGAAAATAAGTGAATCCCTAAACACTGAACTGCAACATGTAGTTAGCTTACCGTGCTAATGGACAGTTTTTGTGAGGTTGTATATTTAGCAAGGATTCCTGCTCTCTTCTTGAGCCATGGTTTAAAGTCACTTTGGCTTTTTTCTTTATTAGATACAGAGGATGACTGAGGAAACAAAAAAGTAATAAAATTGTTAGTAGGTCATTTTGCCGGTCTAAAGTCATCCCCTTCTGATTTGATTTTATGGTAAAAACTACATACAACAAAAACTTGATCTGTACGATATTGCAGTAAAACATAAAGTAAACACAATGAGTACAAACCTGTTCTTTCTTTGACGCTGGTGCAGAAACTGGTGATGTTTTCTTTGTACTGGCTTCCTGAGCAGCAAACATTGACAATGGATCCAGCCCATCAAACGTGTCAGGTTTTGCTTGAATCAAACTCGAAGGATCAGCTGCAGGAGTGCCTTTAGATAAACTATCAGAAGGAGTGCTCGATTTTTTGCGACTGTTATCAACGTTCTGCAAGAAACATTTTCGAGTGTGAAAGAATTGTATACCTTTAAATCACATCGAAAACAAAGGTTATTGGGTTGGTTGACTGCGAAGTCTACAAAGTTTTTTCCTGTTTTTCGTTTAAATATTTCATAAAATTACTAAGAAGGCAGCTAAACATTTCACTACTTAATTTCTGCCATTACAAGAGTAAAGAATGACAAAGTGTTGATTTCTCTGGATATAAATTTAACCATGGGTATGGGGAGCTGAGGAGATCAGCTCCGGCAAGATTAGTGTTTTGTCTTAGCTTCATTTTCTCCTACTTACAATCACAGAACCCAGTTTCAGTGGGTGATCAATTGCTGTCTCACTTGGAAGCATGTTTTTCTCCCTTTCATATTTCCTGGTACGAGCAACCCTGTGGAAAGGAGAGCAAGATTGTTAACTGGGTAAATTAGCAGTCTCCCAGTATCATGTCTATCTTCGAATGAATGAATGAAAAACTTTATTCATGTGTCAAATCGATCTAGCCGAGGGTAAGAAACCCTCTACTAATAGGGGACACCTAAACTCAATACAATAAGTTAAAAATTCAACTAATTTAACTATTTACAATAGATAAAATTTAAATACGTCATTGACATTAAGAACTAAAAGTTTAAACTACCTTATTTGATACTCATTATTAAATCAAATAAACACATAGAGCGTTCCCTGAGCCAGATAATTGTTCATGTGCTACATAGAACACAGTTCTCACAATCGTATTCTAATTTAGACGAAAGGTTAGTTAAACAGATCTGTTTTTTAAAAGATTGTAGAGAAGGTGAGGTTTTTATGTTAGTTGAGAGTCGATTCCACAGCAAATGGCCAATATATCTTAGGGAATGTTTTCCATAGGTAACAGTATTAAATCTAGGAATGTGGAAATCTGCGCCTCTGAGGTTGTAAGTGGAACTTTTCAATGAAAACAAATTTTTGACAGTCGGTGGGCACAGATTATGCCTCACTTTAAACATCAAACAAGCTATATCCTGTAGCCTTCTTTCATAAAGAGATTTTAAATTAAATCCTTTCCAACAGTTTAATATAAAAATCATGATTGTCTCTTAGAAAAAAAGTTTTATCACCCAATAGTGAAAAATCAATGTTGCAAAGTAGGTCTAAAGGAAGAAAACAGTTGAAAAGGTTGAAAATTGTCCAAAAGCGAACTATTTCCCCGTGATATCACTTACCATTCGCAGGCCGCCATGTTGTTTTCGCTTAGACACCGCTCCTTCCCGGGCGGTGTCTTAGACGGGATCATGGTCACGCAAAAAGTCATAACACAATCTTCCCTGAACGGTGTTTGAAACAGATATAAATATTATGAGCAATACATTGGACATGCAAACATCTATAAGCAAGAATCGTTATTCTAGTCGAGTGTGCTTTGCCTAATTGGAGATATCATAACCATTTGGATTGTTATTTTTTTGCAGGATAATAAAAGGAAGGTCTGCAGAAGTACAAAGACATTTCGCAAACTGTCACGTTTTTGGAATTTTTTAGAGGCCAAACTGGACTAATTGAGCTTGGCCTTTAAATTTTCGAGTGTTTTGTTACATGCGACTATCTACATAATTTTAGAAAATTATCGAAAAAACAATGAAGGAGTTCAGGGGTTGTCAAATTCTAACTGTTGCATTAGTTGTTGTTACTTTTGAGTGCATCACGCAACGCGGCTATACCTAGTCTTTGTCTCACCTTTTTAGGACAAACGCTTTATGTTGGAGGAAAAGGATTCCTCAGGCAGAATGAAAGTGTGCAAGTGGCTATAAGTGCTACTTTACTAATTTCGCCCTCTCTTCAACACTCCAAACAGCCAACAACCGCAGTCATTGTTTCTCATTTGTATATTTATTCACAATAATTACATCACGTATATTCATCGCGCGTACAAGAGTTCTTTGGTAAAAATCATTAAAAACGAAGGCTCTTAACTGATATCCGAAATGAAAACCTACGTTTTTAATGATTTAAAACCAGAGAACGGTTTTTGCACAAGATATCTTTTTGTACTTGTTAGGCTTCTGGTTAAATAAATAACAAGGCCACATTCACGATAATTTATTCCGACATTTCCTTATCGTTCAATTTGTCTTCTCCTTTGTTGTCGTCTTCCATCCATGACCAGAGCATATCATTCAAACCTTCTAAAACACAAAGGGAATATGTAAATTAATGTTTTTTTTCTATGATTCAGATACTCGCTACTAATTTATCAAGACTATGATCATTGAGGCATTAAACTTTTCTTATTTATTCATAGCCCAGGGGGAGAGAATTTTTCTTTTTGGGTTGGGGGGGGCGGGAAATCACATAGTTTTCAGACAAAACAGAGGCGAATTAGTGATCGTCAACAGTATAAAGTAAGGGGGGGACAATAGAAAATCGACTTCCAATTGACTGCCAATGAGCTGAGGGGGATTCATCAGAGTGTTGCAGAACCTAAAAGGGGGGTCAGATTAATTTTTATCGTGACAAAACGAAACCCCCCCCCTTCCTTCCCCGTTGCCTTTTTACGTGCTTCAAACCTAGGAAAGTCTCCTTTAGATCCACGTATAGACAGTTACTACATTCCGTTCTGCCCGCCCCATTCCCCCCCCTCCCCCTCCCGTACCAATCGGCGGAAAGGCAGGTTCTTGATGTATCACGTTGCATTTGAGAAAACACTTTGTTTACTCCCAGTCATTTTTAAAGAGGAAGTCTTATTTTGTTTAGCTTCTGTTAGATTTAATCTAATTTTCTAGTTTAATTTTACGGCAACTTGTTCTGTAAACAAGGCAAATTAAGAAGCATCAATACACGGTTCACTAATGGGATGTTTGAGTACGTACACTATTTACCTTTGAGACCACGCGTGTTTGCTAAGCGAGCTTTCGAAAGTGAAGAACGTTTCTTGTGTAAAACTGCCCCTCGTTTTCCCCCTGTACGAAGGAAATAAGCTCTTGTAGAGATGACAAATGTGACCAAGAGGATAAATGCAATTAGTCGGTGATTCATGGTAATCCTGCCAAATTGAAACAAGATGGAGAGAAGCTCAATTGCTTGGAAAGTAATAAACATGATTTCCTTAATTCAATCAGGAAAATGACAAAAGCGAGTCACTACTGACATATTTATATTACAGACTACGAGAATGCACCATTACAAAGATCAATCAACTGGTCAAGTGATGGAAACACCGTTTACATTCGCCAAAAAAAAAATTTAACATCTTTGAAACAGTTTTCTTATACTTTTCAATCCGATGTAATTGAAAGGGACTATTTGATTTGTATCGCTGTGTCCATTTTCATCTTGTATGCTCATGTGTGGGCATCAAAGGGCATTTTTTGCCTCTTACCACTCAGAGGGGTGGGAAAGCACAAAAGCTTTTGTTCAGGATTATGGCCGATATTCGAATATCTGAGTAAACTTCCATAACCATGACCCGAGCCATAAAATATTTCCTAACAGTTTATCCATAGAATTGATAAATTCCGACTTAAGTAGTCAAAATAAAAGTTTACGTAACAGTTGAGCAGAGCAATGGTCATTTATGCAACCAAGAAAAGGGTATTTCGTCATGCGTGCTTTCAAAACGAAAGGTTTCCTATTGGCCGCACTTTAACTGAATGAAAGAAGGGTGATTAACTCTTTGGATTAAACGCCGTTTTAACTTTCCAGACTGCTTGTTACTCAGGCGCGTACGGAGAAATTAAGAAACTGGAATTCTTTCAACCGCAAAGTGACAAGAGGAAATGTTCTCCAAAAAGCTGGCATAACGTTTAGAGAACCTACTCAGAGAGAGAAACTAAAGCTTGCCATAACAGATATAGGAAAGATGGTAGCATCCAGCTCGTAAATTTGGCATTCTTCAGTTTTGATGGTGAGTTCTCAAGATCTTAGCTGGGGCTTTAGTTAACAGTAGTCATTACACGAAGTTATTCAAGTTCCTTTTAAGAATAACCAGCAAGTAAAGCGCATAAGTAGCTTGTAAAACCGGAATGAGTTGACCAAAACTAGTTCTCAAATTAGTTTTTTACCTTAAGTTATAGCTGTGCCGGCTTACGATTTTGCTAACCAGTCTTCAAAATCTTATTCGAGGCAAAATGAGGCTTCACCACGCTTTCCTTATCTAGTAACCATCGATGCAGCTGCTTCACTTTTAAAAGCAAACTAAATTGTTCCATCTTTCCTGTCTCTTCTATTCCAAGAGGAAATTAACTTGTTTGCATAAAACAGGAGTTTTAACTGTATTGTCAACAGCGAGATTAGTTGTGCCGGAAGGTGTAAACTAAACCATTAGCGAAACTTTGAAATGAAGATTCATTTCCTCAGCTGTCGATAACTTTGTTTGCGAATTGACAAATACTTAACGAATTCTCACTGGAAATTGAATATACCATTAATTGCTTTTGTTACCACGCTTACAAGTGGAAAAAGTCCGCTTTGAAAAATTAGGTGTGACACGCATTCCCAAGCTTAACAAAGTTGAAGCGTCACAAGTCAAACTTTTGTCCTTTTCGTGGTTTGGAATTATTTTGACATTTTGATGAAAGAATTATTTAATTTGTTTCGTTAGTTTGACATAATTTTATATGCAATTAAGCTTAATTGATTGATGTGTTGAATTATCTTTGATGTTACCTCTATGCGCGCCTTGGACATAAACTAATAAAGATCTAAGAAAAACTGTCATCTTTGTAAACCTAACAGAAGATTCGAGCAGAAGGCGATCAAAATATGAAATGTTTCAGTTAACGATGTCATCATACTTCCAATATGGTACTTGTTTTAGTGATTCGAGATTATATTGCATTGTGGCAGAAATTGTATTTGATCAAAATATGGACTTTTGTGTGAAGTGCGAAAGTCTGACGTACCTAGAAACTATCACACTGTAAATGCAGTTTTTTCCTCTTACTATCCTACTAAGGTCTCAGATATGTAAACTGGAATTGTGTACCTTTAATATGCAACTGGCTGGAGCGGAACGGAGGTAAAGCAAGCGCTCAGCTAAAACGACCCCACCGAGAAATAAAACTGCCAACCAAAAATGTCTCAGAAAGGCTTTTGAGCTTTGATTTTCTTTGCTCGTAGAAAATTTTGGGGAGAACTTATTTGATCATCACCGAGATGTTTTGATAGTTGACTTGACTTAAGCCTTTAACTCCCAAGATTTCATTAGTAATTCTCCTTACTTTCTACCATACAATTCAGTTGTGATGTTAGTTTGGAGAATTCGGAATTGGATCAACCAATAATCCTCTAACCGATATTTTGCTTTATTCTCATTACTTGTCTGCTTGATATCGTACTGATAGTGTAAGGAGAAATTCTGTCTAGGTCGCTAGTGAGACTTATATGGTCAAATCGGATCTTCACAAAGTTCTTCACAAATGTATCCAAAGCTCATATCCAAACAGGCTGCCGGAGCTTCAGCACGGAAAGTTGGGGTCAAAATGAAAACCAGTGCTAATTGTAGTAGCTTTAAGACAGCCAGAGGAGAATTGTTAAAGTGAACTGACTCAGTAAAGCTAGAATTTCAATCGGGCCGGTTTGTTTTTGTTTTTGTTTTTTTCTTTTTTTGCATCAATGCGCCCCTTCGTACACGAATGCAGTTTGCATGTTTTATTAATTAGCTACCGTTAACAGCTGAGACGAGATATCTCGAGTTTAGGTGGTGGTCGTCCGTTTCGGAAAAATTGGTTCTCTCTTCATAATTTTTCACGTCACAGTAGTGAGATCCAGTTCTCAGACAAGGAAAAACAAGTCATCATGTAATGCATTTTGATTTTTATGGAATGTAAAGAAACTTGTCATGTTGATTCACAATAATTTCAATGAAAGGCCCCGTTTGTTTTTGATGTAAAATGTCGGATGGCTCTACCCACTCATAAAGGAATCATGCTCGCCGGAATGACGTCCTGTATTTAGGTACCCGGGGACCAGTCTTAATTTTATCGCTCGAGAGGGGGGTGGGTGGGGGGGGCGAGCATTCTGGTTTTGTTCTGATAATGTTTATCAAATCCCCCCATAAGGTTCTTTTGGTATCTTTGAGGGAGGGCGCTTATCGGAAACAGGGCACGGTAAACAGGGCACGGGAAACAGGGCACGGGAAACAGGGCACGGGAAACAGGGAAAATGGGGAAAACGGATTCGAGGGAGCGCCTTTTTATTCAGCTATTATTTCTTTCATAAGTTCGGCGAGCTTTCAAGCATTCATTTATTACACCAGTAAATTTTTTTGCTTTTTTTTTCCTCCATTGCATATTCGCATGCATTATCAGTTTCATTTGTAAAATGAAGTGAAAAAGTGGAGAAGGGCCAAATGTACTGTTAACTTATTGTTTTTCGACCCTAACAGCAGGAGAACAGATAAGAGCTTCTACGTTAAACAAATGTCTGGCACAATAAAATGTCTGGTCGGTTGACGTCATTTACGACTGTGCTGAGTGTTAAATTTTGGATAACCTACAATTAACGAAGAGAACAAAACACTTGATTATAAGTTCCATGGTAAGATTGGCACCAAAAATACCCTCTTTGCGGCTGTCTGATCGCAGATTACTTCGAAATCTGTTTCAGAAGACTGCAATTACCACCAATGATTTGATGCCGTATTTACACTGTCATGCTGAAACTTGTAATCGATTTAAAGCCAATTAGATTTGTCATAGATTTGCCCTTGAATTCTTTATCAAACTTGCTCTGGCGAGATATCAGGATGCAAAAATGTTTTACAAGAATGAAAAGTGAATATCACAGTTTTAAACACCTAACAACAAAAGACCACCTGTTGACTGCTGCAATTTGCTTGGCTTATCGGCAACATATTCATTTATTATTCCCTTTGTAAACATCCATTCTCAAGTGACATGACGGTGATGGATCAATGTTATTCAAATCGAGCGCTCGCCGGTCACTGTTATTATTCTTTTAGTTGGCAGTGAGTGTCAGTACGAGCGCGGTTTGTGGACGTGAAGCACTTGAAAAATACGGATGCCCAGATATTGCAATATCTGAGATCCGTTACGGGGGAATTGACGGAGCGCGATCGACGGAAAATTTTAAAAGGTGCTTAAAATAGAATCAGAACTGTGACCCTGAAGTATCACGCCATCTCGTTACTCATTTGATGCAATCGAGGCTGATGACTAACTGAGAGCTGTGGTTGCAAAGAAAATCGACTGAAAAGACTTGAAATTGACGGAACCTCAAGCATAGGGCATGATGCAGAGGTAAGTTTTCGAAACTGCTGTGATTGCGGATGAGTCTTTTTGTATGATTATTGCGCTTCGTTTTCTTTTTCTTGAGACGCTACTCGCTAAGGAATTCGCTTACGATCATTAGGAGATATGAAACATGTTTGAGACTTACAACAGTGTAACTAATTTTTTTCGATCGCTGGAACGGTTCATAGGAAATTTTGCTTTCTTTTGTGCTTTCGTTTCGACAGGTTATAATGCGTACGACGAGAAATTTCCTTTGCGGCAAATATGTCATCATGTTTTCTACAAAATTTATGTGCAGGCCATTCTCGCCAGACTGTTTCATTACATGCAACGAAACCAGCACAGTTGATCGAGAATTTGTCAGGGCTTATAAGAAAATCGTATTTATGTAATCTAAGAATAATTTAATTCTTTCCGGAGAAGCGGTTGATTTTGTTTTCATCTTGTCTTACTGATCCATCTACCGTGACACGGCGACTGAATTTTCCCACGGCAATATTAGGCTAATCAACTGACATTTACAATAAATTCCTCGCAATCTTTGCTATGAACCCGCGAATTAGCATTTCTTTGTCAAAGTGTTAAATTTGCCGTCTTCTCTGCCATTTCCGGGCCATTTTCGGTTCACGAGTTTGGGTTATCGGAACTCTTTATTGTCATAAATTGCAACGCTAGAATGAACAACGTGCGACTTTCCCGACAAGTAGTGTTTGGTAACATTATCAGGCCAAACACAACATATATCAAAGGATTACGGAGTAATTTTTTTGCATCAGAGCGTAGACCTCCAAGACCCACAATAATGTTAAGATGGCGGGCTGTCTATGTAGATCACTCACGTATATTGAGTATATTATCTCCGCACATGGAATAAATTTTAGTCTAAAATATACCACCCTGATTGTTTGATTACATATATTGTCGGTTTCCATCGAAAATGGCTCTTGGAAACAAAGGCAAAATTCTTAATTACATTACCTCATTAGAGATTGTTATCACAGTGTTCCTCAATTGGCTTTTATTGCTAATAGAGTCGCTTTTCTGTCTTTGTTGTGAAAATTAAACAATACCCTATAAGATCGGCGGAATATTTCTCGAAACAGCATGGTAACTGGTTTGACTGAACACGTGGTTTACCTTGACCTCGTGTCATGTTTTCTGAATTGATGGAATTCAGTTCAAGATTAAACCGCTAATCTGAAATTCAACAGATTCAAGAGATTTTTCGAAAAATTTCTAGTGATCACTCCCAAACTAAACACCAACGCACACAACGAAATTACAGCGTTTTAAAAATATCGTCAATGAACTTCTCTTGTAGAACTCAACGTATTAGGAAGAACTTTTTGCTTTGTTTCTTCTCGTTGAGTTTTAGTATGCACTGATATATCAGACTTCACAAACGCTTTGACTTTATTGCTTGAGTATTGACGTACAAATTACACTCCACAGCGGCCACGGTTAAGCGATATTCAATTGGCTTTAAATAATCTTCTTTGTGTTTGTGCGGCCCGTTTTTGACCAATCTAAGGTTTTTTTTGAAGGTAGGTAACCCTTTGTATTTCAAAACTAGTTGACAAAGAACTTCTCCTTTCAACATTAAACGATTATCAACCAAATAGGCTTAGGGAATAGAAAAAAATATCTGCTAAGTGATACTTCAAATTATCTTAACGAACACACAATAAAATACATAAAAACTTATGATTAGAACAGATATGGGGAGTTGAAGGTCAAAGAGGTTTTTAGATATAAACAAGCTGATTAGGGGAATGTGGCCATGTTTGACCTGTCAGGTTTTCGATCTCTCTCGATGGGTTAAATGGGGTATAAAAAGGATGAGGAATTATGAAGATTTTCCTATTACTATAATAGGATTGATGTCTCATTCCACAATTTTATTACGTGCATATACACTTCACCGCCCGGAAATAAGTTTAATATGCTTCGGTTATAACTAGCCTTAACTGTTGGGAAAATTTGACGAAATGCTGGAAGGAAACTTGCGACTGAGTAACCAAATATTTCATGATATAACTGATCATGATTTATTTGGTTCCATGATAAATCGTCTCCATCAAGTATTTGATTGTGTAGACTTATCTCTAAACCAAGAACCTTCAACATAGATACTTGTTCAAATTGGATTAAAAACTTCGTTAGCCACCCGTTACCCGTTTCTAAATCACTTTTTACATGCAATGTGCGAGTAAAGTAGAGTTATTTTAGTGCTCAGTGAGGGGCATTTGACTCTCTGATAAATTCACAAAGCCGGAAGTTTAGTCACGCTAAGTGCCGGGTTTTCCCGAAAACCGCTTTTAGAAATAGTGGTAGGCTGCAAGCACGATTAGGCTAGTCTCGAACGTGATGTAATAACTGTAATGTGATACAGTGGCCAATCATATCTTGTGATCAATCGAGCAACACTGATACTTGGTAGGATCTGGGTACGAGATTACGATAAACGGGGTAGGACGATCTTCTTCTGCTGTACTGATAAGGTCTGGTGCAAAAGTAGGTGTTTTCGTCTGCAAAACAACAGAAAACCTCAGCCGTTTTTATTTCGAGCGAATACATTTGAAAGTGATCGCAAAAGTGAGGTGTTTTCGGTGTGATGGGAAAAACCCAGCGACTTGAGCAACAGCGAGTCGAAAAACGGCACCTACTATCGCTGTCTTTGTCATTTTTGGAAGTTCTGATGCAAACGATGAAAGAATGCGAAAATTTATCGCAACTTTTGAGGCTGATGATGTCTGAATGAAAATGTTTTGTTTTGTTGACACGAAATTGAAAACTTTTGATTACTTAGAAGAGAGGATTGGGCCTTATCGCCGATTACAGAAAATCGTGACAAACTTAAGGATCGAGGAAGGTCTGGGAAGGGGTTGCTCGCATGCCAACCTGGCAACCTGGTCTATGGCGTGACATTTACAGTTGGTTACAATGATTGCAAGTCTTAAACTAGTGGAGAGAAAAAAAATTTCATTAGTTTTAAAATACGGCTACATTTGGTTGAAAATCAAAGTAGTTAAAATCTTGCCATGCCCGTCCGTGGTGAACAGTTTTGTCACAGCCGTTTCGTTCATCATACTAATTTCCTCTATAGAAATTGCAGCGAAACGAGTCCCATATTTTGCGTTCGGGCAGCTCGAAGGTGTATCATTCTTGACTGGTCGCTTATGAGCCCGCGATTCAGTGCGCGAAAAGTACCATTTACTTATGTGGATGTATTAAATATATGTGTATAATTTTATTTCAATGTCTCGAAAAACTTCTTTGTTCCAAGACCAGCACTTCGTTAGTTCACGTTTTTAATCGAACATTTCTCATTTTCCAAGTAGGCAAAATCTAACAACTGCATCCTTAAATGATACAAGAAAAAAAGAGGAAGAGAAAAAAAGGGCTTTTCAAGATGCCGTGAACAGAAAAGATCGTGAGGAAGTTCATCGACTACTGAGTATCGGTGTGGATATTAACGCAGTGAACGAAGCCGGCGATACTCCATTGCATCAGTGTATACGGGATGGTAGAGTTGATTCTGCAAAGCTACTGGTTGAGTTCGGTGCTGACATCAGAAGAGCGAATCGCGATGGTTGGTCCCCAGTCCACCTAGCAACCACTCTCGGTCAAAGAGATCTGGTGATGTTCTTGCTGGACAAATAGGTCATCATGGATGAAGCTTGGAGCAAGTGGAATTGTTTTTGCATGTACACACTCTTAAGTTAAATATATCCACAAGAACAATGTGAAATTCTACATTTTGATTTGCTGCGCAGAACTATGAACAATGTTGCAAGCGCATGTAACAACAAAGAAAGCAAATTATTTGCTTGGCACCGTGTACAGATGACATAATTACCCATAACAGCTCGTGGCTTGAATGCCAATGGCACCTCAATAAAGTTTATAATAATCTGATTGTATTATCACCAAAATATATTATCACTAAAATAAATCCTCTCAAATGAGCCGTGTTCTATAATGCAGTTTACCCTTTGCACCCCAACATCAGTATGCATATTCTTCTCACTGATCTCCATAATTTCCTAAGGTGCTGAAAAGGAAAATTTTCTAAAAATCAAGAGCTTCTAAAGCTGATGATCATTTCCTTTCCAACTGCAATCATGATGTGTGATTCAAAGTTTATATTGTAAGGAGAAACTAGAAGCTAATATCATTCAAAGGGTCAAAACGTCACACGAGTCTGGTAACAGATTAATTTGTCAACCCTTTCTTTAGCATTACATCTTAATACCTCTCTTACACCACCTTGAGGCAAGATCCCTATTTAGTGAATGCTTTGTGCTTTTAACCCCTTGAGTTCCAGACCTAATTTCACCCAAACACCCGGCAATATGCAGACACCACTTTAAGTCCCAGATTTTCTCTCTCATATTTACCATAAAACAAACCTGTGCTGGTTGTCAAATAGTGAGCACACACAAACAACAAAATTGAGCACATTTCTGTTCTAATCTGACAACAAAATTCGAAATGTGAATTTCGCTTTTACATGATTACAGTTTGGGATGATATTTTTTTACTTTTTAAGTGTTTATTTAACTTTAACAGTGTTTATTTGGTTTATTTGGTTTATTCTATATCCAAAATGTTTTTTTCCTGATTTCTCACTCTGATCCTTTTGGATTGAACAATCAACAACTGAACAGCAACATTACACAATATGCTTAACCTACAATAGGCTGGCACTGGCAAGAGTCCTGTGGTTGTACTTGCCTTTGATGGCAAAAAGACATAACAGGCTGAAGCCAAATTCCTAAAGTGAAATTCTATCAACACTTCCACTGTGGAAGTTTCGGTTCAATGTACTTAGTTTGTAATTTCATACAGAGCCAAACACACTTTAGAAAGTTTAAGGTACAGTTACATTGTAAGCTGTGTACACTGATAATTGTGAATAGATAATGAACTGGTTCAATTACTTCGTCAAAAGTCCAGGAATCCTCATCATCCATTTCCTCACATCATCATGTACATGATCTGCACCATTCTGCTTAACAATGCTACAGGCAAGTACAATATCAGCCAAGGTCATTTTCCCACCAAGAATCCACTGTTTTGCAAGCTTTAATTCAGGACTTTTTAAGGCAGCAGTTCGCTCTTTGCTGCTTGCTAGTGATTTGTCAATCCAGTTGTCCACACATGCAGACTCTTCAGGTGTTAAATTACCATACAAGTCAGGGAGAAATGTGCGGCAGAGGAAGCGAGCAATTGTTATTTCACCAGTCAACGGATTGTGGCCAGATGGAGACACTACTAGAGAAGGAAGATCTCCCACTGAAAGGAACAAAAGATAAAGAATCTTAGTAATACGTTACAGTGTTCACTGGATGAACTTTAAATAACATTTGATCTCATTAACAAGCAAAGACTTAGCCTAGTACTATAACTGTCACAATACTACAATTTAATCTCATAAACTAGCAAAGACTTAGCCTAGTACTATAACTGTCACAATACTGCTGTTGACAATCCATTTAACAAATTGATGTGGACTCACGAGGTGCAGCCGAGTAGGTTGGCAACAAATTTTGACCATTGTGATGACAAATATCTATGTTGATATGAGTACAGACCATGCTTGACCACTGTCAATTTGTTTCTTACCACAGTATCATGTAAAATATAAAGATTCTTTCAGTGCATGATCAAGATTGTGACGGGAGCAACATTGTCTGTACTCTTCTCAACAGTAGCAAATTGGCCAATCAGACTGCGACATTACTGCCAACTGTGGTAAAAACTGACTTGGAATCTTGACAGAAAGATTAAACTTTTCTCATTGAACTTTTACAATGAGAAGGAACACTTGAAACATGTTAATAGTATCAGAAAAAATCAACACACTTTAGCCTTGCTCCAAAATAACACATAGCTAAAGATTTTTGTCTTTGACACAATTTTGCTTAGTTAAAAAATGTTGATCAATTGAGAGGTGGCATGAAAGGTAACTTAAATATTTACCTTCTTTCCAAACAATAGTTAAAATGATTGGGGCACGCCCAACTCCTTTACTACATTTGGAGAAGTTCTGAAACTGCATTCTGACAGCATCAGGAATAGGTTGTTTCACTGACGAGTGGCTGAACATGGCTGTTGTATGGGCAAGCCCTCTCTGCTTCATAATATGTTGTAGGGTGCTGATAATAAGTGGAGGGTCACTCGGTGAAGCAGACATCACAAAATCACATGTTGTTGGAGAAACCTGTGTGGTAATCGACAGTGATTATTGCTTTGTCAATCAATCAATCAATCAATCAATTACTCATATGTAAGTCCTTTTGTGGTCAATCAGTCAGTCTTCTGGGTTGGTCCATCAATTTACAATCAGTTAGCAAGTCAGAGGTCGGTCTGTCAATCAGTCAGTCAGTCAATCAGGCTGGTAATAAAGTGTTATCAAAATAAGAAAAGTAACCTGTAAAAAGGAAACATTAACTGCTTTTCCACTGACAAAAAAAACCTTTGTTTACTGGTTTTCAAAAAAACCCTTTTTACTTTTTTGTGCAATTCTTATTCCTGACCTCTCCCGGCCTTTGGAAAAAATAGTGTTATTACCAGCACATTTAACTTTTATTTTTCGAACCCAATGGTTAGAAAAAAATTAAGAAGCATCCCTACTAGAGGTGGGGTAGCCCGAATCTTTCACTGGCCTCATAATGGCTGCAGATCGACATCTAGTAATCTCCTGTGAGGATTTTTATTATTTAGCCTAAAAATGTAGTAATCATTGAAGTGCACTCTGCTTACTTTCCCTTTTGGACGCGGAAGAGAAACTCCCAGTAGCTTGGCAACTTCTTCAACGGAAGTTTTCAGGCCATTCAGTTCACGAAGAATATCCTCTTGTTTTCTTTCGAGACTCTGAAGACTCGATGACGGCAGCTGTGCGTTGCGGTCCTAGAATTAAAAATTAGATGAGTGATCGCTGCGTAGGCGAAAAAAAGCTCACAAGCTCGAACACGTGTTGCAATAAATTGTTTTATACATTGAACACCATTCAGTTTCACGATCTACCTCAAGTTTTGAACTCGTCGGATAGTAGCTGGGCAGGCCATACATACAATTTGGAAGCGGTAGAGCCGTATCTTCGTAATATGTCGGATGGTGATACATAGAGATTACGGAACTTGCAGCCGCCATTTTAGAAAGACGCCGTTTGCTGGTTGCAAGGCATTATGGGAAGGGCCTCGAGAACAACATCGATGGCAGTGTCCCATATTAAATTTATTATTTTCTCGAACTTTTAACTGGTTTAATCCGCAACATGTAATGCTCACTTGATGCCGATTATCTTTCGAATTTAAACCAGAATTAAGTTATAATCCCTCACTGATACATTTCAAGAAATTTTTTAATCATGCATGATGCATTTTGGGTGGGTCACGTGACCAACTAAGAGTTCTTTCCCCGCGAAGTAAAAATGTGGCTTGAGGAAAATGAAGTGACAAAATAGACTGGAATATACCGGTAAATGCGAACAGGAGAGGGCTAAATGCACTTCATTTCAAGTGCTTTAGCTGGGATCTGTAGATTTAATCGAGAAAATGAAGAGAGGAAGGGGACGGCCACCTAAAAATAAGGTTCAAAGCTCAAATTCGCCAGATGTCTCGAGTGCAATCAACCAACATGGCGGACACCGCAGTCCGCGTGTCTCTTCTTCTATGGCCATTAAAACTCGAGGTTATAGCGGAACAACACCACGTAAATACTACGGGATGGAATCTTCCGATTCCGATAGCGACAATGAATCTATTTCTAGTCATGGATCTTCCATTTCAAACACTACCAGCTCTAAAACTCGTTATGTCGAGCCCTTGAAAGTGGTAACTCCTCTCATTTTACCGCCGTCATCTGACGATCTATTGCTCGAGCCAGAGTGTATTTTGCAAGCGTTAGGGATTTACGAGGTTTTAAGACATTTTAGTCGCATAGTACGACTCTCCCCCTTTAGATTTGAAGACTTTTGCGGGGCAATCCAAACTCCGGAACAATCTTCGTTACTTGCACAAATTCACATCGCTCTACTACGCTTTTTGTTGTTTGAGGATGATGCGAGTGGCTTGACATTCGTTGCTACCGACGAAAAAGACAGCTTCAACATTCTCTCCTACTACTTAGGTGACTTTACTTGGCCTGAACTTATTAGAAGCTACATCTCGTCAGATAAGACCGAATTTGGAGACACAGTTACGGCTGTTAGTGGACATGATGAAGATCCGTTCCCTTTTACAACAGTCGAGAACAGATTGAAGGTTCTCCAGCGACTTTGTGATCAATTCTTGGCCTCTAATTCAGTCAGATACGACATAATGAATGAAGGAATAGTCGAATCAGAGGATCATTGTCGCAATTGCTGCAAAATGGGCGATTTACTGTGCTGTGAAAGTTGTCCTGCAGTTTACCATCTTCACTGCCTGAAGCCGCCGTTAGAAGTGGTTCCCGAAGGCGATTGGCTGTGTCCCGTATGCGAGGCTCACCAAATCAAAGGTGTCACGGATTGTTTACCTGATTGGAACAGAGAAGGTTGGCTAAGAAACGCCCCTTTAGGGGTAGACAGGGAAGGAAGAAAGTACTGGTTCTTAGCTAGACGTTTGTTTGTGTAAGTATTTACTTCCAACATGGTTGACATGGTATATATTCATCAGAACGATTGCAGTGGTCTTTACCTTTCGTTAACCATCTTTGCATGGTTAACTACTGACTTCCTTCACATTTGTACTTTTTTGATAGCTGTTTTTGGCATGATGAAGTATGGTTGAACTTAATGCATTTGTTCTTTGTTCTATTTTTGCAAGCTTTGTTTTTTTTAAAATTAAAATCAATTTTATTATTTAGGGCCACAGCCATCACATTGCTTAAGGGGATCAAATAATGAGCTGGATATAAATTAAATAGATTAATTTTTTCTATTTTCCTGCACCACTCTGATTGCAATAATAAGCTTACTTGCCAAAGTGTAGGATTTGAGTAGGCTTATTAAAGTGGATCAGGGAGGGGAATGGGGCTGTCTCACAGGTTTGGAATTAGATGGTGTGAATTAAATGTCCTTGTGGTTCACTCTTATCTATTCTTAATCACCCTGTTACGGAAAAGCTTTTAAATTTAACAGGATGTAAAAGGCAGCACCCTGACTTTTTTTGGTTTATCTCAATTTTTTATGTAAATGCAATTAAGGATTTTTTAGTAAGGTAAAAACCCTTGAATTGTTGTGAATCTTTGCCTTCCACCTCTCAGATGAAATAATGGTTGCATGGTTGTGAAATATGTTACAGTCCACAATTAATTAAATTGAGGTTAATTACTGAAGATACTCTGTCACTAGTCTGCCATCCTCTTCTATTGACTACTTCTTCCTATGGAGAAGGTTGTGTGGAATATACTTATTCTAATGTGACCACTATTTAAAACTAAACCCTTATATCATTATGCATATTACTTTTCTTTTATTCTTGAGACCCTAGTGTGTGATTTAGTGAGTCAGGTGTGATATTCTAAGGAGGAATTAGATGCTAGTCACTCTTAGCAGTCAAGGGGATCAAAACATTTTTCATACTTTTCTTAATAGGGAAGGTTGTGACGAGACACTGTACTACAGCTGCAAAGCTCACTTGGATGAACTGTTGAGCTCTCTGGAAGAGGATGGAAAGGAGAAAAGGCTAATTTCTGTTCTTAGAATCAAGTACAAAACCATGGTGAAACACATGGAAATGACAGAAGCTCTTACAGAGGCTTCAAGAGGTAGAGTTATGAAAAATGTAAAAGGAACATTGTGGGAGGAAAACCCATGACAGAGAGAAAGAACATTGTGCAGAGCTCTTGGCTTCCTTTAAAAGAGTGCTTAGCTGTTAACACCTCATGCTGGTTCTTGTGATTTAAATTGTTGAAATTGACTCCATTTTTCAAAATTTCAAACATATTGAGAAGGCAAGGTCTGGTGAAAACAGAAAAGGCAGGAAAGGCAAAATTAGTCTTGATATGTGGCCACCTTCTGATTGGTGTCTTAAATCAGATTACTGTTTGCTTGGTTCCTTTTTAAAATAAGCATGCCGTATTGTTTGCCCTAGTATATTAATGATAGTTTAATTTGTAGGAAATCTTCCCTCTGGTCTCACCAAAACAAGACCAAAACAGATTAAAATGAAAGAAGTAGAAAAGACAACTTCACCTGTAAAAGAGGAAAAAGACCAGGAGAATGATGGAGAGTTGGAAGTCTCAGAGGAAAAACTTGCTGTTGGTATGAAAATTTGTTTTTTTTCTCCTTCTCTTTGTGTATTGGTATGTGTGGTGGGATTAAGGTCTCCATCATTTAACATAAATAAAGTGTTAAGCATGGCTGCCTCATTGTAGTTAGTGATGAAAGTCATCATTTTCATTTTCTCTGAAAAGATGAGGTACTGTATTATTTTTCACAGAGAAAGTGTTGGTCAAGGGGTGATTGTGGAAAGGAATCCTTTGGGATTGTATCATGGACTTATCTTGATTTTAGGAAGAAAATTATTGAGAATGAGCTCAGGAAATAAAAATTGAATGAAATATACATACTTTTATCTTAGACTGAAGGCATTTGTATTTAAGAACAAAAACAATAGCAAATTTAGTATGAGTAACCAGAAAAGGTTTGAATTCATTAAGAGCATAGAGGGATCCATCATAATGAAATTTTATTGGTTGCACTACATTTTGGTCTTCTAAAATAAGCTGTGAAGGGAAGAGAATTCACAAGTGCCAAGTTCTGTATTTGTCTTTACATGCAAACATAACAGTGCAAGGGTATTTAATACATCCTTTGATACTTCCCTTCCCTAGTAAACTAATTTGATGGTAATTTATGTATCCTCAATTTAACTTGAATTAATTCACATTTGTTGGTTGTAGCAGAATCACAACAACGCACTGCAGATCCAGTGGTGGACAGTGGGGTACCTTCATCATCAAAGCCTCTTCCAGCATCAGCCATCCTCACATTCATCCCAGACAATGAAGTGAAAAAGATTGTCACTATGCCTCAGGTTGAAAATAACAATAGTCTTGATGTGGATAAACAGATGGTGCTAAGGGATAGAAGGACAACAGGCCAAGAAAGTCCTTTCACTCGGAAAAGGCCTACATTGTCTTCCTTTGAAACAGAAGGAGAAGCTAAAAGTATTGTACCTACAGGTGCTTGTCCTGAGGAATCCATGTCTGCTTCAAGTTCAGACGATATTGATACTGATTTAGTGGAGGAAAAGGAACTTGTCAAACAATCTTCAATTACGATGTCAATCGGTGAAGAAAAGGGTAGTTTTAAGGTGTCAGCTTCTGGTGAGTCTCTGAAAGAAACAAAAGAGCTAATTGCTCCTGAAAACACTGTGAAGAAGGAAGAAAATAAGTCGTCTGGCTTATCTGAAAATAGCATGTTGTCAGAAAGGACTTCTGGTGATAAAATGGAAGAAGAGAAATGTCTCTTAAAGAACCCAATTTCTGAATCGGATGTCAAACCTAAGTTCAGCAAGAGCCAGAAAGAGATAATTTCACAAACTAAAACTGTTGGAAAGAGTGAGACTTCTTCATCCTCTGCAGCAAATGACAGCAAGACTCTGTCTGTTAGTCGTAAATCAGTTGAGAAGGACACAAAGCCTGCCACAGTATCCACTGTTACTCACCCAACAAAGTCAAGTACTGCAGATGATGCAGTCACTGCTGTTCAACAAACTAAGCCAGAACCAGTATTTAGGCTTGGCTCAGAAGCAAATTACTCCTCCTATGTCAATCAGTTTACAAGTAATCCCCTAGCTCTGACCAAACAACAGCAGTTGGAACAGAGAGATAAAAAGCGGAGCGTCACAAACAAATTTAGCCTTGTTGACTATAAGTGGCATGGGGATGTTAGTGGAAGTAAAGATGTCATTTTAAACACTTTGCGGTTTTCCATAGTTGGGCTTGAAAATTCCATAGCTTCAACCTTCATGCACCCTTCTTGGCCAGTGCAGCGTTCCACCTGGGTAAGAGCAGTCCATTTGTCAAAGACACCTAAAGAATTTGCCGCAGCTTTATCTTTTCTGGAGAGCTCAATACGACCAATCTGTTATCTACCTGTGTGGAATGATGCAGTTGGCCATGTGGAGCTGCATCGCATGGCGTCTGAAGCCAAGCAGGCCGGAACAAAAAAGAAAGATCATAAGGAAGAAGAAGAAGAGCCTGAGCTAGAACATAAAGGATTTGGTGAGTGCATGTTATTCTGCCTTTTTGTTCTGTTGGTTTGAGATGATAGTGTTGTAACTTAATGTTATACACCACTTGTGAGAGATCCTTGATACCCAGTTGTCAAGAGAAAGAAGGATCAAGAATTGAGTTTTGAGTTCATGAGACAATGAAAAAAGTTAATCAGACTTCTAAGCCAACAATTTCAAGAGAAGGGCGGACTTTTTTTAGTTTTAAAAAATCGAGTAACAGGGGACTGTCAACTCACCCCTTTGAATAATACTGTAATGAGTTTCAATGGGGTTTATCAAAAATAAAGCTCTGTTGCATCTGATTCAGAGTAAGCAATCTTGATCACCATGTTGTTAGTAATTTTTTATTGCTGCATTTAGACCTCACTCTGTGTAATCTCTCATTTGATAACCATTTGTAACCATTTGTCACCCTTAGGGCTTAATAGAGAATTTACTTGTGGGCATTTAACTAGCAACTGAAGGACGATGCTCTTTTGATAATTTATCGATTCATTTCTTTTTCAATCAGTGAATTACACATGGGTGCCACACCACCAAATTTGGAAGCAAAAAGGTGAGGAGTACAGACTGTTTGGAGGAGGAGGCTGGGTGTGGACAAGTGGTTTACAACTGCGGAAAAGGAAACGTCCAAATAATGAAAAGGACAGCTTTGTTAGCAAAAAACGAAGACTTTTGGACACTACAAATAAAATTGTAGCATTTAAAGAGGCCAAAAGGAAGGAAGCATTAAAAAAGGAAGCGGACAGGGTTGTTAGGGTCGCTGCACGAACATCCTCTTCACAAGCTGAGCCTGTTTCAGTAGAGAAAACTACGAGAGCCCCTCAAATAGTCACGACTAGTACAACAACCCTTGTTGCGGTACCAGCACAAATGCAAACTGCAGTTACCACGTCATGTGCTACTTTATTAAAATCAACAGCACCTCAGACAGCTCAGTCTACTACAATCACCACCGCGACAAAGCCTGCACAAAATCTTGTTTCCGTTCAACGTGGAGCTTCTCTAGCCTCCTCAACTCAAGGACCAATAACAGCTCTTCGAATGGTCCAACCTGTTACTACTGTTGCTTGTACAACGCCAGCAAAAACTCCTGTCACACTTCAAAATGACGCCATGTCAACGTCTTCAACATCAGTTCAATCAGCCGGTCCTCAAAAGGGCCAAGCTACAACAACAACTACGGTTACTCCAGTCACGGCTGAAAGTGTCGTCACATCAACATGCGCAACTTTAGCACAACCATCTGAGCAAAATGTCTCGAAACAGACGTTGGCACCCTCTTTTCCTTCTCTCAATACTTCTAGTACTTCAATGTTCAAGGCTGCCGTGTCATCTAAAATGTCTCCTAATCTTTCTAAAGTTGTTTCACAGAATGATAGCCATAAAATTTCTTCTCATCAACCATCCGTTAGCCTGTTATCAATACGTGAACCAGTCTCTTCTCCTACGTCATCTGAAGAAACTACGAGTTCATTGACACAAGAAGCTTCCTCGTCTCTTCAAACTCCTTTCAGTAGTCTCACTCATCCATCGTCCACGCTGCCATCAGAGATGCCCTCTTCAGTTCTACAGACGAATGGGCAGATCCCCTCAAGTACAACCTCATCCACTCCACTGGTTGTCTCATGTACTTCTCTCGATCTTGCACAGTCTTTGTCAACCTCCTCGGCTCAAGGTTCTCAGACAATCAATTCCCCCAGTGAATGTCCAAATCTACCACAGCCATCAACCCCAGCCAACCGTGTCTCCACTGAGGCAGCTGTTGAAGCGTCTCCAGTTCCACCTACTGCTATACTAAGGGATTCCTCCCCAAGTCTGGATTCTTCACCTTCGCCAAGTGCTTTAAACATAGCTGGGGACCATGATAATCATCATCAATTACTGGGAGACGATCGTAAACCTAATGCTTTAATGCCGGAGAAAATTACACATTCTCAAGACCATGTGACAAATTCTATGAAACAGGATAATGCTTTGTCTAATTTGGAGTCGCAAGGAATTACCCATGAATCGTCTAGCTCTGTTAAAGATTCAGACACATTCTCGAATAAAACCGGGCATGGAGTGTCTGATCAGGGTAGAACAGAAGATAAGTTATGTGCCTTTGAGAATAAACCAGTTGATACTACTCAAGGAACTGAAGTTTCATCAACAGATTCAGTAGATGTTCCACATGAACAGGAATCCATAGATATTGCAAGGGAGAACATGCGAAATGGGGCTGAAAATTTGGCGGGCCAAAAAGGTGTACCTCTGAAAACGATGGATCATCATTCCACGAAGGAAGTACAGATGGAAGATACTGTGGGACAAATGCAGTCTCTTGAGGATAGCGGGTCAGTCGAGGGTCAAGAAAAAACTTCGGTGAAGAGCAATTTGAGTTGCCATGAGGTTTCCTCAACTAATGACGATTTACTTGACTGTCAAAAGGGACATTCAGCGTCCTCAGAAGAATTTGTGTCAAAAAAGGAACAAATTAAGGACTTTAAAAAGGAGCTTCCAGCAATAGAGAAGACGGCCGGCGTTTGTTTTAGCAACAACGAGACTATTTGTGGTAGCGAGATGTTGCCGGCAAGTCAAACCTCTGATGTCCTTGCCAATGAGCTTCTGTCACAAGACAATGACGCAAAAGATTTAAAAGAAGGAGATGGATCATTAAATTTGACTGAAAAGAAAACAGATGATAAACTTGATCTAAAAACTGCCATAGAAGGTAGTTTAGAAGATTCAGACGTAAATTTTAGCGACATTCCCGCGCATGAGGAGGTTGGCTTTGCGGCAAGCAATGATTTGATGGTTAACAAAGAGGACAATCCTTCGCACTCTGATAGTAGTAAACCGTATAACACTTGTAAACTCCATGAAGAGTCCCTGTTGGATAATGATATAACAACAAGTGTCTCCGCATCAAGAGTTAAAATTGCTAAGGTTCCTTCTGAAACGTCTTGTTCAGAATTAACTCGAGCTATTGAGATGGAATCTACAATTCCGCTTGATCGCGCCAGAAAAAGCAAACAGACCTCGAGAGAAACTGAAGCGTCCGAAGGCAATATAAGTCAAACGGACCCTGAACAGAGTACAATGCGCAATGATCATTCAGCCAGTACTGGAAATGAGAGCAGTGATGTAGTCGATACGAATGCAACGACTTGTCATGCAGCAACGGTTTCTCAAGGGACCGACGAGTCGCAGTCTTTGAAGAATGCAGACGAGAATTCCTTTATTAACTCTAAAACCTCATCCAATTCTACTGAGATTGGTAATGCTGATCCCGAAAAGAGCTGCATCTCTACAGAGGAACCGATGGACGTTGATGCGACCAACCCGTCGTCTAAACATATCTCTTGTAAAGCTTCATTATCTCAGTCAAGTACTTGCAATACTAAAGAGCAACCTATGGATATTGATGTTACCACAGCGTCATCTTCAGAAACAGCACCTTTGACTAGCATTGCTTTATCAAAAAATACAGGCCCTGGATCTCAATCTGCATCGAGTATAGAAAAGTCAACCAACTCTTCTTCATCTACCAATCAAGAATCCTCAGTTCAGAATGATATTGGAGCAAAAACCAACATCGAGAGTCTTTCAGGCACTGTAACTACCGATATGTGTTCTACAGCAGCCTTACCTTCAGCGTCTCTGCCTTTGTCATCTGGACCAGCTAAAACAGACACTACAGGGGAACAGCTCCCAGACAAAAGAACTCAAGTGAGTTGTCCCTTGCCTTCGACGACAACAAGTGTTTTACCAACAACGTCTCCACCTGTATCGATATCACAACAACCTCAGGTTTTGGTAAGTGCTGTAACCACCGCCAGTCATTGTCCATCTCCAGTGACTCCTGTAGCATCAACTCTACAACCGGCCGCTGTAGTAAGTGTTAAAACAACAACCTCATTGAGTACGCAACCTGCAGCATCAACTGAGTCATCTTCTACAGCCTCAGTAAGCCGGCGAGTAGTTCTTGGAGGTTCCCAAGGCATCGCGATGGGACAATCACCTGTGGTCCCATCGGCCCCGTCAGTGTCAGTCAAAGTAGTAGCTGCGTCACCCACGGTATTAACAACAACAGCTACCAGATGTATTGCTCCACAGAAAACAGCCATTACTGTACGACCACAAGGGCAAGCGAGCCATTATATACCTATAGGACCAAAGCCCATACTCCCTTCTCCGAGGCCACCTGGTGTTGCCACTGGTGTCCAAGGATCCAGTGTGGTGAGAATCAGTACCCAGCCTGCAGCTGCCTCGAGGCAGCAGACTAACCTGGCTCCTGTGAATAGCATAGCTGCGTTGGTAGCAAGTATTCCAACAACTGGTGCAACCATTGGACCAACACAGCTTATTAAGCTAGTCACGCCGGATGGTAAGACCTTGACCCTGCAGGGGTCGCAGCTGGCTGCTATTGCCCAGCAGGCAGCGTCCCCAATGGGGCTTGCTGTACCGAAGACGATAACAGTACAAGTTGCAACAACTGCCGTGCAGCAGAATTCACCCGCAACTGTCCAAAAGACGATCGGCGTCAAAACACCAGGCGCCAGCATCACTGTGCAGAGAACACAACCACAAGTTGCACTAGCAAAACCTCAAGTTGTCATCACTGCAAAGGCTCCCCCATCCAAATTGGTGAAAGAGGAAAAGTTCCCATCGTTGGAACCGCTCACCAAAGATCCTCGTGTACTTTTGAATCGAAGGTTAGCCAAGTGGCCGTTGCGGCACTCGGTAAAGAGCGTGTTCGCACTCCGAAACCACGAACGTCGAAAACTCGGTAGGAAAGCGGGGATGAAAGAGGTCAGTGGATTCTCCTACACGTCGCGGGGTGTTGTAAAACACTGGCCTGCGGGAATACCTCGTCCTTCTTTCAAGGTGGCATGGCGCTTCCGTACCCAGAGTTTAAAGACACTGGCTGGTGCAGGGCTCCAGCTCAGGATTCTGCAGTCCTGTTTGAAATGGGAAGAGATGAATATCAGGCCGCCTCGGGGGAATAGCAACACTGTGTACACAAGCTCGGGTGAGTGTTACTGACATTAAAAAAACGCTTTGGTTGTGTTCTAAGTTGATGGACTGGAAAAAGGTCAAAATCTTAGTAACAACTTTCTGGCGAACCTCAATAGTTAGTAGTAGACCTGCTAGTTTACGTCTAACTGTGACCTCCATTACAAAATACTTTTATTGCTTTCTTAAGGTACTACGACAACAGAGATTACAGACAGGAAATTCGTTTCCTTGGATGGTCTCTGCTGCAAGTATCTCGTGCGTAAAACCGTGCGTACTCTAACCAAACCTATGGCAGAACCACCTCGTCCGGCCCCCACCAAGAGCAAGAGAGGTCGAACGCTGAGGCCTAAGATTGTCCTACAGCCTGACGATGAGGACGAGGCCTCAGTTCCGTCTGGACCGCGAATCTTGGAAGCTTGGTACCCAGAGGTAAATAACTTAACCATGATGAAAGTGAAGATGAGTTAAATTTAGGCTGGGATTGAAGCGAAATACGATGTTTTTCATTGATGCGAGCGTATGAGGAAAACATCTTATTGCGTTCAAAAGGAATAAACCCATGAGCCGTGGCGAGTGAACGAAATCTACTGAACCGCTGTGGTTCCACCCCTTTTTGCAAAACGCCAGATTTGTTAGGCAAAAAGCACACTAGGCCATCAGTAGATTATCGCAGAAGTGACAGTGAATCGAAAACGAGTTTTGCTCGAACGATTTCTTTGAGTTTCTTTCCATGGAACCGAGGCGCTCATTCCACTAAATGAATTTTTGTATCAGTGGAAGTCAACAGTTGTCAGAATGTCTAGTCTTAAACTTCGTTCGTGGAACTTGATACTTTTTCTTTGGATCCTTTAATCCTGTGAACCACTCACGTGACGTATTTGCTTGTCTGGTTTGTTTTATGATAACAAGGCAAAGCTTGAACTTTGGGAGATACGTCAGTATCACGAGCGAATCGACCGTGAGAGAGCCTTGGAACGAGAGAAGAAGGAACAGGAGGAAGCCATCCGCAGGGCAGCGGAAATGCGCGCCGCCGCGCTTCAACGGAAACAACAAGAACAGCAGACGCGGCAGCAACAGCAGCATCTGCTGAAGATGAACAAGAAAAAAGTTCAGAATGCCATCAAGACTCAGCAACGAAAGGGGACTGGTAACAAACCCATTGTTGTTAATCAGCCTGTTACTTTAAAGCCTGCTGTGACTCCACCAGTACCCCTTGGAGCTCTGCGTCGAACTCTACCCGCCGTGCGCCCCGCTGTTCCCAAGCCCTCAGGGATCCAATCCGCGGGGTTAAGACCGCAGATTGTACCACGACCCACGGTTGCCAATTCGACACAATCTGTGCAGTGGTTACAGCCCAAACCACAGGTTTCTCAGCGTGTTTCTACTTCTGTGATTCCAAATAACGCGTCACGTGCTGCTGGGACTCCTGTTCAAGGCGGATTAGCGAGTAACACAGGTGAATTAAAATGATTGAATCTACGTCACAATTGTAGACAGATGAAAAAATATCAAGACGAGTCGGAACGGACCAAAACGTAGATCTGAAGCGAACCTTAGCAGTTACAAGGACACTTTGTTCTCTTTGTTTGATTTTTCACTTGGTAAACACAAGGCTATGCTCGCCCAAATGCAAACGCATTTTTCGTTGTTGTAACCGACTGAGAAGTATAGGTGTTTTCTCATTTGATTAGTCTGATAATAATTCTTTATCGCCGTTAAGTTTCATCTTACATTGCAATAATTTGTCTTTCAGTTACTCGCCCTGCCCCTGCAGTGCCCTTGTCCACAGTTGCCGGAGTCCGGTCCAACCCTATGGCAACATCCAGGATGAAGCATTCCTCTAAAGATCAAGTCAAGCAGACAGTCAAGACAAAATCTCGCAAGGGGGGAGGGGCTATGCCCATGTTGCATCATAAAAAATATGTGACTTTAGAATCGAGACAAGACTTGAACAGGTAAGTATCTAAATTTAAATCAAACTGGGAGTTGAGGTTTTCATTTTCTTTCAAAAGAGTTACCATCAGTTGTAGCGCTAAAACAAATCAAGACTTAAGATTTCACGCGATTACTGACTGCAACATCCTCTCTATTAGGCGATGCAGCAAAATTTTGCTGATTCTAGCAGTATCCAGAGAGATAGTCGTCTATGTGCTTTGAATTACCAACAATAACTCGCGCTGAGTTCTCTGTAACCCACAAGTCAGAGCCGGCATCACACCATCAAACAAAGGGTCACTGATGGGATCCTGTCGACGGCCTAAAATTTTTCTTTGCTTCACCCTAGCGACATGTGAAACAAACACCATTTTAACCTAATCAATATTTTGTGTTTCGAATCACAATTCTCTTTTTATGGGAATAATTTCATTTAGAAGCATAACCTTTTTATGTCTGTATTCAGTGATAACTTGTACTTCCCTTTTTATCAGGTCCTACATTTTTTGTTGTTATTCTTTAGACTTGCCATTTGTCGAAAAGTTCTTGATGGCATTTTGGATAAGATTGATCGAAATGAAGATGCTGAACGGAAAAAAGAAGAGAAAAAACGCGCAAAGGAAGAAAACCAGGCACTTAGACTGGAACGACAGAAAGCAAACAAACTCAGTATTTTACTTCAGAAGCGAAAGGAGGCGCTTAAACGGGAATTGATGCGTAAAAGGGATCTCCTGGAGAGAGATCTGATATTAGAGCTTCAGCAGCAGCAGCAGACCATAAAGAACAAACGAAAGCAAGGGGCTACGGAGAGAAGGAACTCACAGAGTACACCAGAAGGGCCCAAGGCCAAGAAGAAGAAAATTGAAGAAGAACGACTCTTTTGCATTTGTAAAAAACCCTACGACCCATCCCAGTGAGCCTGTGCTTTTGTTTCTTTTTCGTTGTAGTAATTAATGTTTATTGGATATTGGTAGATAGATATCAGGTGGATAACATACTGTCACAGTTTTCGAAAAAATTTACAGTCATTTATTTTTACTGCCTCAGATTTTACATCGGATGTGACATGTGTGCAAACTGGTTTCACGGAAGTTGTGTCCAGATCTCTCCAGACGTTGCACGAAGTATGGATGAGTGGACTTGTGCCGAGTGTGCCCAAGCTCGCCGTGGAGTGGAGGAGGAAGAACTCTATTGTTTGTGTCGCCAGCCATATGACGAGAAAAAGTAAGCATGTGTTATGTTGGTTCAGCCGATATTTTATTTAGATATGTAGATATAAAGGACAGTCACTTTAACAGGTTTTCCACGGAGCTGAGACCAAGACATTGTTTCTTGAGAGATGTTTCGTGCAAATGAAACCATCCCAAGGAAGAAGCTTTGAAATGAAAGTTTTATCTTATCTGCCGTTTTTTATCACAGTGGTCGCTTAGTTTTTATACAGAGCGGAGAAATACTTTTAGAGTCTAGACATTTCTTCATAACCTTATAATTTACTAACCTCAAAGGTTATAATGATTTGTTTTTATCAGGTTCTACATCGGCTGTGATAAATGCCAGGACTGGTTTCACGGAGCATGTGTTGGAATCACACCTGTTGAAGCTGAAAATATCGAGTATTACACTTGCCCGCAGTGCACTCAGTCTCAGGCTCAAGCGAACAAGCAGCCGCTGACCGGCAAAGACTACGATTCACTTAAACGATTGCATAGATCGTTACAGGTTAGTTGAGAGGCAGGATTTTTTTTGTCATTCTGTAAACTATGAAAAGGTGAAAATAATCCTCAATAGGATTGTGGATGTTTAGGAATGGTGAACAGTAAGACTGAATGTCAATTTGGGCTCAATGTTTTACGATGCAGAAATTTTGGCATATCTCCATAAACATTAAGTCAGAAGTTTTAATGCTGATGTTTTAACGCCCCATTCATGTCGCAGAGCCATAAAATGGCGTGGCCTTTCCTAGAGGGTGTCAATGCAGACGAGGTTCCCGAGTATTATGACGTCATCACTGATCCAATGGGTGAGTCGATTCATGTATGCCTCAGGAAATGGAAAAAAGTATACAAGATTTTGTGCCTTTTTTAAGCGACATTCTTTATGTTTATGGTCAATTAATTGTAGCCTTATTGTTTGCAAGTGCTGTCCTTGTCCCAAGTGGTAAGAAGACTTTTCACGCGAGGCTTTGCTTTCGTCTTTCTTGCTTTCTTCGTTTTCTATGAGTTCGGTAGAATTTACGGAGATGACTTCTGTTACTGCTGTTACCAACGCTTTTTCTTTTAAATCAAATGATATTTATTTCACAGTATTTCCTCTTTTTCTTGCTAGACTTGTCCAAAGTCGAGGAACGTCTGAATTCCAAGTCTTACTCGTGCCTGGAATCGTTCGTCAGTGATGTAACCAAGATTTTTGACAACTGCCGCTACTTCAACCAGAGAGATTCACCGTACTACCGCTGTGCTGAAGTATTGGAAAGCTTTTTCGTGCAAAAACTACGGGCGTTGAAAACCAGAAAATAGACTGGTCAGCGAATGCTTCTATCTAATGTTAACAAAGGTGGCTAAGAAAACTTATCCTCCTGACTGACAATCGGAACAAAAGTTAGCTACACACTTCGTCCTCTTGGACAGTCGTAGTGTATAAACTGCGACGTCTTCGACAAAAACAGAAAAAAAGGCGATGTTCTTAAAAAAAAAAGATGATGATAAATTAGCTGAATTTGCCTTCGATCACAGTTTGACGAAGCCATGTATCTGATTGGTTATTGTGCAAGCCAATCATATAAGCAAACGCTCACATTCCTTCTTGAGATCAACTATGGGTTGTAAGTTATTTAAGGGAAGTTAAGGGGAGATAGAATCTTCCCCAAAGACTCATCTTGGCGAAAAACTGTTATTATGGAAGGAAAAATAGATTAGCCTGTTAACTATTGCCGTGTCACAGACCTATTAAATTGAAGGAAACTAAAGCGTCCGTAATTGCCGATGTCGTAATATTTTTGGTTTATTGTTAAGAAGGAAATCGTGTAGACCAACCATCATGTATTAAACAATTTGTAATCAAATTCGACTGGTTTCTTGGTACAACAGCCCTGAACTACATATTTCTTTTCGTTGTATGAAAGAGCCATAACCGAAACACTCAAATAGCCTGTTATTTTTGACCCCGTTCTTATCAAATTTGGTGTGCGGTTTTCCTTATTTAAAGCTTGTTCAGTGCTTCTGTTCTTCCCTTGCAGTGGTTTATGGTCGTGCTGTTCTTTTTATTTAGCGCACTGAATAAAATGAAGGCTCTTCTGCCCAGTTACGACTATCAAGAGAATGTAAGATTGTTACCCGATTAATGAGAAAATACGAGAATATGTTACCCGATAATCAGTAGAATATGAGATTGTTACCCGGGCTGGTTAAAAAAATTAAAGGGAACATTTGTGTCGAAGTTCAAACATTATTTTTACTAATGACTGACAAGCCGTAAATTAAAGGGTGCTATAAATTTTTCAATGGGTGAAACAGTGACGGGTTTCTAGAAGTAGATAAATTAAGTTGAAAAAAATATATTGAACCGTCCTTGTTAAAGGTGCCATGAATCGTGATTTTACTATGTACTGGCAGATAAGGAAAGTCACTCATTGTATTGATCTGGTTGCCCGAGCTAATAAACCACAAGGAACCTTATCTTAGCTTTTGATCTTTCTTTCATTTCCATATCTGTTTTTATATCGATAGTTTTGGTATCTGAACAAATCCGACAAGAAAACCATGTATTTAGGTACTTTATCGAGAGACCATAAACTAAAGGTGTAGTAAAACTTCACCTGAGCTATGTTTGCGATAAACAAGAAACCCGATTTAAAATGAATCGACGAATGTTTACTCTTCAGGTAATCCTTTCATCTTATTATCAACAAATTTTGGCGGATATTACAAAAGATTTGTGCCTATTTCCGTTTGACAGCAACAAATTACTTTTAATTAAGAAACGCCCTACAAAGCCGATGTGCTTCAGTAACCACACACTACCAGAACTATATACTTACGTGTTCAAGACATTGTTTCCTCTACGGAAGAAGATAGATAACGTTTAAAATATGGCATACAGCACCGGAATTATTCTTGTCATTCTCTGTTTCTCCTCGTTTACTGCTCATGGTAAGCAAAGTTTGTGGTCTAATCGAATCTTTCATAATTTTTCTGTTTATTTTAACGCTTACATACGTGCAAGAGAAAGTTCCGGGTTGAAAGGCGAACTAAGAATTGGAGAATTTTGCTCTGATTTAACTAGAAAAGCCGTGACTTGTAAGAAATTAAAAATGCCGATGTATCTTGATGGGCAACAGTGGGCCAAGCTTTAATTGCATCACATTTTTTTCGAACGAGTGATAATAAACACAGTAACGAAACTAAATTCAGATTTGATGTGAAAATGTTTTCAAATCTATTTGTTGTAATACGTGCTAGAGTTCAGTCTTTCCATCTCAATAACACTTGTCGGATTTCGGGCTAACTTTTCCTTAACGCTTAACTTCGGTCGAACGCCAAGGTGTATACTTGTGTCAGTGTCTCTCCGCATTTTACTCTGGTTTGGAGGTGGATCCGTTGCATATCAAGAATGCTATGCCGGGTAAACAATGTACAACGACAAAAAAATTCAAATTTAACTCGGATAGGGCGGAGGGCTTAATCCCGGGTCTGTTTAAATTCCCAGTTTTCAGACCAGCACCCACTTATCTGCTTAACATCGCTAATAGATCAGTCATGATGTTAGTAGGACTCATCAATTATTTTTTGTGTTTTTAGCCCAGTAACAATGGTAGTTAGGGATGAACAAACATGTCCCACTTTCTTTCCAAAGTTAATGTAATCATGCATACGATTACAATTACTTATATGCCTGTGAAATCGTCTCTTTCTGATCACGTTTAATAACCGAATAAGAAGACCCAAGAAAAACAATTTTCTCATCATGCTATATGACAGCAAAGGGTTGTCAACTCAAGTCATAACTTTATTGAGACAAGGGTTATCAATGAGCAGATGACGTTCTAAACAACCGAGTTACTTGTAAAAGGTAAACTGCGCATATCTTACTCTGTTCAAGTCTCATTTATTCGGGATCAAATTCGTTCAAATCCTTGACTCTTGGCAAGGTCTTTTCAATGAACGAATCTTGATAAAAATAAACACACGGCTTACTTTACAATGACTCTGCTTATCGTGTTTTTTTACCCATTGAAAGCTTGGTGGACTAAAATATCCGGATACAAATTCATCAGCGGAATCAGCGTGGGCTCAGAAACCACTTACCACAGCGATATAGCTGGTGCGAGGCCTCTCTGCCAACAGAGATGCGACCAATTCGCTTCCTGTAACGCGTTCCGTCTGTACAGCTTTGTGGGTACAGTGTACTGTACTCTTTTTGAAACTATCAGTGATTATTCATGCCCGACTGATAGTACTGATTGGAACTGCATGTTTGCTGACGGGGAGTCATGGAAGAAAAGCGACTTGAGGAGATAGAAGGTAAAAGGCTCTATTTACGCGTTGCGTACTTATACTTAAGGTTTCCAAGACAATTTCTAGGCCATAAATAATCTGTAACCTTTATGAAATAACTCCAAAATCGTGTTAAACAACCTCTCACATGATAAAAAATTGTTAGTTACGATATAAAATTCTAGACTTTCCTCACGTTTCTACTCAACAGTATGTTAAAATGTTAGGAAAATTTACACATCACGGAGTAATCCCTTCAGGCCTTTCTTCGAGGGGGTGGGGGGTGCGGTCGTAGCTTCCCGGAGAAGTTAACAGTCAATTTTCCGTTAGGAGGTATTTCGAACGGAAAACTAAATTTCTCAGCGTAAACACATATTGACCGACCTCCAATTCACAAAAGGAATTAATTTTCAGAAACGTGAATCCAGCCTCATTTTTGAGTATCGTCATGATAATATTACATGAGATCGTTGCCGATAAACAAGCTGCGGATTCTTCTTGACGAAAATTTTTGACTTCTAGCGACACACTCAGCTGATGTAACACCTGTACTTTACTTTTTCTTTTACAGACAAACGACAAGTGGCTTTCCTCACACACATTTAGCGGCTCCCATTATACAGAAACATTAAAACTCGTTTCTCATATTGTTTCTTTGAACTCAACTTTGCCCGTCTTTATTTACAGTTCTTACTGGAAAAGTCCATCAACATTTGTCCAATGAAATCGAGGTGCAAAAAGTGCTGATAGTATTTACCGATCCAAGAAACAGCCAGGTCGAGATTCCGCCATTATTTCCGCAAATGATACTTACTTGTCAACTTTCCGCTCAAAATAACAATCAGAAACAGGATAAATAAAGTTCTCTTTCGCGGCCAACCTTACTCGATTTGGCCTTTCTATTCACTGTTGTTCGATAGGTCTCGGGGAAAAACGGCCTAAACAAGAAGAATTTGTCAATTTAAGCCCCGTTCAAACGGTCATGATAGTTGATGATAGTTTTAACTATCACGCGCGTTTGAACACCAACTATCGTGCTCTAACATGACAGTTTGAACAGGGCTTTCTAATATTCTCCTGGGATATTTACCAATAAGCCTCGACTTCGTCTCCACGATCCAGTCCTCCCGGTCTGCACACAAGCATTTCGTTAGAGGCGTATTCATACCTAGAAAGGCGTTGGTGGTTGTTCGTGTTTGTGGCCCAGTAGCCCATTATTTCAGGTGCTTAATATCATGACCACTATACTTTACCACACAACTAAATAAATGTGAAGCTGTTAGTTTGCTAAACGCACTCGAGATATTTTCTCACAGTAAGTTCTGTCTGAAATTTCCACGAAAGTCTTCCAAAAATAACTTTACTTCAGACTCAGTTCAACGCGCCAGCTCGGCTAATCCTCCAAAGGAACATTTCTAAACAGATATCCCATTGACTCGCCATTGTGAATTCTGCGGATGGCTTCGGCCAAAAGTGAGCTGATATCCACCGTTCTGATTTTACTACAGCGAGTCATCTTCGTATCATGAGATACTGTGTTTGTGATGACAACCTAATGACAAAAAGAACTCCACGACGTTAGTTCATACCTGGTCGTAAAAATTTTCTTTTATTCAAACTTAGAGTCTTCTGGTGTAGCCCTTAACTTTCAATTGTTTTGCTTCATGGCCCCAAAAATTTTTTCAAAACGGGCTGAAGGAAACTGTGTCTTCGTTTTTGTGTCTTTCGGAAGTTCACGAAAGCGATCTGATAATCTTCCTGTCCCTACAGTGTAAAGCTCCGAGCAGAGGGCGTACAACGCAGTAGATTACTCTGGTGGGGGTGCAATCATAGTAGTCAGTGAATTTAACCGAGCGTCTGAAATAGTGATGTAATTTGACTGAACGAGGGAACAAGTGTTATGTCGCGTACGTGTGGTGGCTGTAAAAATATTCTGCGCTTCTTTACGTCATACGAGACACGAAATGATATTTCAGGTTTAAGTTGTCTTATACTGACGCACAAGCGCGTGCGTTCATGTGCTTGCGCGTGCAATGTACTACTTGTTCTTTCTTTAAAAAAAATAATGTGTTGACTATAAGAGCCTCAAATCATTCCGACTTAAAAACGCCGGAATAAGCAGTGCTTTAACACGGGGACGTTTATATGCCGTACAAGGCATTTACATCTCACTAATTTTGACGTGAAACTCCTATTGACATCACGTAAACCGCAAAAGCTGTGTTTTACCTCATCGATCGCGGATTCCTCAATCAGTTCTGGCGCATCCGCTGACAACAGGCCATGAGTGACCATCACTAAAATCTTATATGCCCCACGATCCTTCAGGAGCTTGGCGGCATTTACAAATGACTCTGCTTCGTCTATCATATCATCCTGTAAGTCGGGATACAACAACTTTCAGACTTAACAATTTAGCCTGGTGTAGAAGTGTGTTCATGGCAAGTAAGACAAAGCAAGGCAATATTTATTCACATTGTAAAATTACACAGTAAAGTATAACGTAAATCTAAACGTAGGAACCGTAACAAAGTAGAAAAACTACTGGGTGACCACCATCGCTCATTGTAAATAGACACGCACAATGATAAGCGGTTTACTGAGCTACATCAACTAAACGTACACATCTTAAATAGGGACAAAGAGAGTCTCCATAAAACGCTGGCTTCTGGCTGTCACTGCCCCAACCAATCCAATTTCTAAACCATCAAGGAACTAGGAGTCTTAATACCCTGAATTGAAAGCAAGTCCATCAAAAATTACCCCCTAACTATGCACAATTTCCTCTACCCTTTACAACCTAACATCAATGGGCATATTCTCCATACTTTTTTCTAGATATTTCCTAGGGGGCTAACAAGGAGAATACGTTTAACAATCAAGAGCTTCTTAAGTTGGTGATCATTTTATCTATCTGATTATGTGATTCAGGGTGACATTTTAAGAAGAAATTAGACGAGCACTAATAATTCCAGGCGGTCACGGGGGTAACATTTCACTGGTACTAATTTCTACTCTTAAGTGGAGAATGGTTCTACCAGGGTAAATGTGATAATTAAGATTATGAAATATTTGGGTAAAACTCCAAAATTGTTCATGTAGTTGACATTTTGTTGTTATAAATTGAATACTGTTGGTTTTTAAATTAATTTGATAACTAAGAGTACACCAACAATGTGATAACTACACTGCACCACTCAAACATTAAAGCCAACCATGGTGCAGTAAAATACTGAATCAAATCTTACCACAATGATGGCAATCTTGCCTCCTACATCACCCACAACGTTAATTGGAGGTTTAGCTTTGGGAAGAAAGCCTGTGAAAGACACAAGTATGAAAAAATTTAATTGGAAAAATTTTAGTTCAGCTCTATGAACACCCAACACTATATTCTATTGTATGGCTTAGTAACAGTGTGTCAACACCTGTAAAGCATGTAACAAGTTCATTAGTGTTCAAATGACAAATGTAAATGACAAAAGTGAACCAAGCTGGTTCAGGTAATCTAAAAATATACATACACAAACAAATCAGAATTGAAAGTGAATTTGAAAGTAAGAATTTCTGACAGCCAGGTTGAAACTCACCTGGTAGAGACATGCTGTCAATACTGACAGATGCAAAACGACGTCCCTCAACTAATGTAGGAGGTGGAGACTGACGACCATCAAGTTGCTCACTTTCCATCTCCTTTTGTTCACCATGTATCACAGCCAATCCAAGTCGTAGACGCTCAGCAAAAGAGGTGGCCCTTGAATCATACCATTATTTTAGCAAGTTTATTTCAGTGAGTTTATCACTGTTAAAGAAATATGTTTTTTGTCATGTCACCAGCATGGGACAAAGAAAAAATTCTGGGTTCCTTTTAGGAATTGAATCTCAGACCTTTGGATTCCGTGTTTTGATGCTCTACCACTGAGCCACAGAGAGTCTGCAATGGACAAGGTCTATTACAAAGTCCATATTTTCATGTTTACCCAAACTTACCCCCTGACATGTTGTGAAGCAAGGCTATATATCAAAATGCTCAATACCAATAGAAAGTACTTGGTTGTGTGCACAGAAAATCTTTTGCATGGTTGACCTTAGTTTGGATAGAAACCTTTTGGGCTGGTAAAGGTGTCCAACATTATATCAAACTTTTTACTAAATTTTTGAATAGTAAGTTACATTTCCTCTATTACCTGATGGCTGACCCTGGATTCCTTGCAATTATAACTGCATTTCTGTAGTCAGCAACCTTAAATTTAAATATATAGCCACCAAATCAAAAATATTCAAATGCTTTAACTCTCTAATGTGCCTCAAATACTTTCCCAAAAAATCTGCTGGCAGATTCTTGTTATATCAACAAAAAAAGCAGAAAAACTGATTGTAAAAGAATCTTATCCATGCCGTTTTTAGTAAATTTTTTGCCCATAGGTTCAAAATTGAAAATAAATTCTATGCCTTTATTATCATCATTGACAACTTGCTGAAAATCAATTCATAAGACAATTGTGATTGAAATTTTGGGTATTTCTCACCCTAAGGCATGTAGTACATCAATTATGAACAGGAAATTAACTTTCCACCAGTTATTCAATGGTATTCTAAGTACCTTTTCTGTGATATATTGAACTAGAAATGGTGAAGCCCTCAAATTGTCAACTGGAGCATCATAAAACCCCTGAATCTCCTTAGCATGAAGATCAACTGTGATGATGTTTGTGAGTCCTGTGGAGTAAGAGAGGTAAGGTAAACAGATCAATATCAGTATCTGGACAACTGTCCACCTACCCCTCCCCTAACCCAACAACAGTCAAGTGATAAAAAGTTAGGGTTAAAGTTGGGTTAGGGGAGAGGTAGGTGGGCAGTTGCCCAGATACTGATATTGATCCTGGTAAACTGTGCCACTGCACTAAGGCAGTTTGTATAGGATCAGAAAAAAGGGTTGTTGCCACTCCCCCTGACTTAGTTTTATTTTGGGCTATGCCTCCCTCTTCTTATTTTTTTTTTCAAGTTTCAACTAATTTTGCACTCCTAAGTGGCTTGCGTGATGCACTGAGAGAGAGTTGTCATAACCCAGAATTTAACAGAATGGCACTTGCCAGGGTTAAAAGCTGCCCCTTAATTAAAGTAGGAAGTTTGAATTGTAGAATCAAAATAGTTCACACATGGGTACTACAAAAATCTATCAGTGTTCTAAAAAAGGTAAAAGACAAATCATTTTTAACTGACAGCAGGTGAATAGGCCTAGATGTCAACTGCTAAGAAGTCACTTTAAATTCTAATTTCTGATGAAATTTACAATTAAAAATAAAAAATTGGTTTGGTCTGATATCAAGTCCAACAGAGTTATCACAAAATTATTCACTGAAAAGTGCTCAGCTGGTAAGTTTGATTTCAAAAGGTAGGTTCACTTTCTCTGTACTTTCACAGCAACCTGAAACTCATAATGTATTTGTCAATGAGCACTGAATAAATAAGCATAAATAAAATAAATAAATGAATAAATAAATAAGCATAAATTACCGATACCTGCTCTGCACATAAGAGAAGCCACCAGTTTAGAAGGAATTGACCCTCGCTTGTTCATTTTTGCCTGCTTGGAATATGGCAAGTATGGTATGACTCCTGCGGGTACAACACATTACCCATATTATATTCACTATACAGAGTGACAAGCTTTGAATTCATTTAATCTGAAATTCATTTTCTTGACTCCGACTAAATTAAAAAAATATATATCACATTTATATAAGTGAATGCTGTATATATTCCTTACCAATGATACGCTTTGCACAAGCAGTCCTACAGGCATATGCAACAATAAACAGCTCCATCAATGCATCATTAACATCAAGACTCTCACTGAAAATATAAATAAACATTGTTTTCTTCAAGGATGAACAGGAGAATAGTGTTAAAGCTGACAGGAGAATATTCTCTATGTCAGAATTAAACTAGCAGAGGTCATCAAAATTGAGCAGGAGAAATGCACATAGTAGGCAGAAAATCATCTAATTTGTGATGGCTAAGGAACGTGTAAGACAAACAAATGTAAGTGCCAAACTGGAAATAACATGTTGAGAGGTTAACCCTTTTCAAGAGTGCAGTCTTCACCTTACTTTAGTTCAAAGTTTATTACTTATTATAAGAACGTTAATACTGAACATTAAAACTTATTATAACAGAACTAGTAAATTTGTCTCATCAAATTCAATTGCGCAAGCATGCTTCATATTCCTATTGTGCACGCTCATGACGTCAGCAAACATATCCCTTCAGAAAAAAATTTTCCATCGGGTTGAAAATGTTATAAAACAATTGGTTCATATGTCAGCTGTGTGTTCATCGAGATATGAAGCACTTGGGAAGTTTGGAGAGCACTCAAGAAGCTAGAGTTGCTCCCGAGAGCAATTCTTACGCATCTTTCGTGCTCTCCAAACCTCCCGCATGCTTCATATCTTGATGAACGCATGCTGATGTATGAACCAATTGTTAAATATTCTTACCCCAATCCTGACTGTATAATGTACACATCTTTACCACGAACTGAGATTCCTATCTTAACGGAAGTTTCTACAAAAGAAGTTTAAAACAAGCAAAAAAATTTAGTTTATCATATAAACTACGGTGTATACAAGGATTTCCAGCCCTGAAAGAAGCTGTGACAACACATGTGAAAAAATACAATATCATTTTACGTGTGTTTGATATGACAAATCAGCTGCTAACACATCACTCGCCCTTTCCTGTCACTTGGTCAGGTTGATGAATGAACAGCAAAGCCTTAACCATTCTCAGTCCAAGATCGTTTGTTGGAATTTTTTTGGATTATGGCTGCTAACACACTTAAAAATTCCCTATTGCTTACAGACAGTGATGTTGAAACTTTCCTAGAAGGGGAGGAAAACCAAAATACAAAAGAAAAACCAAAAGTTATGTGTTCAGTGGCTTTGGTAATGGCATTTCTCACAGCTGAGAACAAAAATCAACAACTGGAAGATTTGTCACAGGCTGATTTTGGCCATGTACCTGAAAGATTTCCTCTGTCGGTAAGGACCAATTCAATAACTGACAGATAATTTTGTATTTTGAAAATTTGGCCCATTGTTTGTTTTGTAGTGATTCAATGCATGTTTTCATCTTAAGTGTGCCAGCAAATTTCAAAATGTATCAGCAAATTTAAAAATGGATTGTTTATGTGTTTGGATGTTGGTTTAATTTTAGGGGAATATGTCAACACCAAAAACCCAGTAACTTGTGTCTTGACCAGTAAAAGAAACCAAATGGACTGAGTTTTATGACATCAACTGGAGAACAGCACCAAACACAGATTAGAAGTTTCTTTGCAGAGAATTTATTTGATCTAAATATGTTGATTTGTAGCGGTAGCTTAAACGATCAAGCCTTGGGAGAATGTCACCAAATTCTGCAGTTCCTACTGCATCGACAAGTGAGCAATACCATGATGTCAGTTTGTGGAGAAACAAACATTTGCCAACTATTGGCAAGTATTTTACTTTAAAGAGTGGTTCAATTGGAAAATGTTGGTAAAAATGACTCCAGCAAAATTTTGTTGTTAAATTGTTTTCAAGGAGTGACCAATATCTGAGATAATTGGGATGTCAATCACCTTGATTCTGAAATTTCCCAACACTGCACGCGGCCAACTCAATTCCCAATTTCCTGAGAAAAACAAAATAGTGAACACAGCTTCAGATAAACCTTAAAATTTGAATATTCCGCTGGCTGCATCTCAAAGCTACCAAAAAATATCAGATTGTCACTGAAAGAATAAACAAAACAGGCAAACAAAAGAAATATTTGATCAGTCCTCAAGCTTACCTGGCGATTTTCTCAGACAAGTCTTTGTTAGAGTTAAGTGAAAAAACAATTATACCACTCTGACTGGGATTCATCGTGAGGCGTCTCTCAAGATGCTTGAAGTTTGATTGGAGGAAAGTAACCCCCGATCAATGTAAGGACTAGATATGTACACATGAAAAACGTGGAAATCAGTTTCCCCAGTCATAAACACCAGGCCTTCCTCAGAAGGAGTGGTTACTAAGGTCTATGCATCATGGCGGACTTCAAATTTAATTTTGGATCCGCGGATATTGACGAAAATGCGACTGTTTCTGCGTCTGGAAACGGTGAGGACGTTTTACCAGAACTCAGAACTGCTTATGAAGCAAAAGAAATTCAAATAGCGTCCAGTACTCCAGCGTATTCGGATTCTGCAATGGACGAAATTTGCCTTAGAGGTGGTACCTTTAGCCTTAAACACTTGAGCGAGACAAGTGTGGATGAAAATCTAACGAATAGTGCAGTTATAAAAACGGCGACTGAAAGGAGCTCGGACCTGATTCCTTCGGTTTACGAAGGAGGGCTTAAAATTTGGGAATGTAGTGTTGATTTGGTGGAGTATTTGTTGGAAAGCGGAATCAGTTTTCAAGGAAAGCGAGTATTGGAAGTTGGATGTGGAGCAGGGCTACCGGGAATATATGCTCTTCTGCAAGGAGCTCAAGTTCATTTTCAAGACTACAACGACGATGTTATTGAGCATGTGACGATTCCTAATGTATTGCTGAATCTTCAGCAGCGACTGAAAAGTGAACGCTGTGAATTGAAAGCAACAGCAACTAATTTCGACCTCCTCGAAACAGCGCGTCGAAGTTGCCGTTTTTATTCAGGTGACTGGGGAAATTTGTTAGGTTTCATTAACCCAGAACTAGCCTCGGAGATGCTATATGATGTTATCCTAACTGCTGAGACAATTTACGCTGTGGAATCACATGACAAGTTGTACCAGTTCATTAAGAGACACCTAAAGAAACATGACGGCCTTGCCTATGTAGCAGCCAAAACATATTATTTTGGTGTCGGTGGAGGGACAAGGAGTTTTGAGAAGTTAGTTTTAATGGACGGTGTGTTTGACGTGTCAGTTTGTAAGGTGTGCAGTACGGGTGTACAACGAGAAATTTTGTGTTTGAAATACCGATAGGTGTTTGCTACAAACTTTAGGTAAAAAAGAGACTCGGAGAAATAAAGGTACATTGATCCCCTCGAAAACGTTTGAAAGAAGCTGTGTACCAATGCCTGTGTTTTAAATAATCATAAAAAAGAACATTTTTCCCTCCGAAAAGGCACGAAGTGTGCGACTTCTGCTTTCTTGATCTTACTTCTTGCGTGACGCTAATTGAAGAGAATCGACCTTAAGGGGAACCTATTGAACACAATTCTGGGAGTTCAGTTGCCTCAACGAGAGGGTGCTGAAAAAGGGAAAGGACACGTAGATGCTGCAGCCAAATCTTTGGGAAAAATATGGTGCTGTTTCAGTTTATCACACCCAAAAACTATGGCTTCCAGCATCTGTTTTCATATGTTTCGTTATGATGAAGGGCTGACGCTCGAAACGTTAGCTTTAAAACTCTTTACGGTGGCCAATTTACGTTATTCAACTCAGCTGATAATACCAAATTACCTTGTTATACCCTCCCACCAACACTGCACCACAGTTTTTTTCAGAAACTTCCCCCCTTTTATTCTCCTGTTTTCATATTCGTTCAGTTATAAGAATTATTTAACAGGACCTACTGTATTTAACGATAAAACATTTCACTGTGTATTATTAGCTCGAAACTAACCATAACTCAAACTTAACTTCTTTTACATTTAAAGGGAAAATATTTGATATAACATTAGCCAAGGTATAGTGATACTTCATGTCCTGACATGGATAGAAATAATAGTTTGAAATAACAATAGTGAGTGACTTACTAGTGAATAGGTGTGCCAATGTTTTTGAATTAGTAAAGTTATCAGGATAGTGGAAAATTATTTTTACGAGTCCATGGGGCTTTGAGTGCAAACTATCGGCCGACTAAGTCATCTATCCTGCCTTTTGATTGACACTGATGACAAGGAAACATAAAAAATCTGAGGCGTTTAATGGCTTCAAACCAATTCACAGAGTTACCAAATTGACTCGAGGCAAACCGGTCATGTAAACATGTTCATTTAGTACTGAAATATTTTCATGATAAATTGTCTAAAAAGTGTAAAAAGGTAGATCGCATTCAAAGTTGTGCCACTTGTGATTGAGACTCGTTGCACTCTCTCGGTCTCTCAGTGTGAGTATTTTCTATATCAAGACGGCGATGTCATAGTATTATGGGAACGTCATGTGCGCTCTGAGAAGCTGCAACTTTGGCCTGTAATAAACTGAGTAGCACACTGAGAACTTACGAACTCGGCGCGTCCAAATTAGGAAAAACAGTTCCTGAATCGATGGCTTCGATATTCTCCGGTGCAATGTATGATGTATCGTTCCTGCCGGCATGGTGCCAAGCAGCAGCTTTTAAAGGGCGGTCTTCTCCCTGCCTAGAATCAAATCTACATGCTCGGCTTGTGGATGATGTAAAAGGAAACTCCTGTATCCGAGAACGGCAGGAGCATGTTCGTGACGGTGGGCGATACCTCTGACTCAGGCGTCCTCGAGAAGCTCTTTTACTTCCTTAAGTTTCTCATTACGAGGATGAATCGACCGAAAAGGATCAGGAAGGCCGCTGTATACCAATAACTTCACCTTGTGTTCTCCTGTATTTTTTAAGAAAAAAAAACGTCAGCAAAAGCACAGCTAAATAATTACGTCATGTTCAATACATCCCAATCCTCCCCTGATTTTGGCCAAGAAAGGAATGGAGGTTAGGGAAATTTGGTGCAAGCTCTGAGATAAAAATATCAACTTGTCTAGATTTTTTCCTCGTATGGTCTGCCATTATTCATCAGTTGTTTCCTAAAAGTCAGAGCGCAAATTCAAGATTTCAGAATATCTCAGTGTTAAAAGTTATGAAATACAATCGTTTAGAATGAATAATGTACATATCGCGTATCCACATTTTCTAGAGCAAATCAGAGAACTGAAACAATCCTATTGAAAATAGAATATTAACGAGGCTTACCGTCCATTCTTACTGTTGTTTATCGCTGACAAACAGAGTTGAAGGTTGAAACTATGCTGATCTGGGTAAAGGCCGCCATAAGTTTTTCTGTATTTAGTGGCGATGAACATTTCCAAGATATTTGTGTTTTAGTTGTTATGAAGCATTTATTAAAGTTATTTTTGTATTTAAATCATGTCGTCCTCTTCCACTTTAAGTGAAAGAGAACGATGGCCTGCTGTAAGGTTATTAGGCTAGATGTTGACAGAAATAAAGATAAGGTTTTGCGTCAACTTGCCATCACCTTGGTAAATATAACCGCTCTTGTCCTCTGCGTAATGAAGAAGGAACCAGACCCGAAGTGATTTGTTTTAAAAACTGCATGAATCAACATCTGGGAACACAACACTAACAACGGCCACATCAAAAAGTTGATATCAGTGCTCCCGGAGTTTTTTATTTCGCAGAATACCGCTTGAGGTGAAGCCGAACGCTTTTCAATTGACTACGAAGCGTAAAACCAAAACCAAAATATTTCTGTTGACACTAACCAAAAGACATAATACGTATCACAAATTTAAACATCCTTTTGGAGGAGAATTTGTCGCCGGTGCTAATGGAAGCAAAAGTGTAATCTGTGTTATGCGACAAAATACAATCTGGGAAAATTCAGATGACTCAAAGTGCGGAAAAACAAAGATAATGGGTCTAACTGGTCATATATCATGAAAATTGAAAATCGATTTCACAGTCAGCTGAAAACCATTATTAAATATATGTAATAAACTAAATACAAAAGAAAATAAATAACTGACTTAACAGTTTCTTTATAAAGATACTTATATACTAGTCCTAATTTCCTGCTAAGGAATAAAAATCTTGAAAGCTGTACTGACACTATGTCAATTCATAATAAAAAGCGAAAGTTAATTGCGGCGAAAATGGCGCTCACCCACAATAATGTCCACTACATGTTAAGGAAAGTGCTGCTATGTCCATTTCACTGAAGAAACGTGATGATCACTCTGCCATGTTTATTGCTATTGAAACAACATTCATTTTGCTGATTTGTTCCATTGTTAAAAGATCCACCTCCTCCTCCACAGGAGAACTGTTCATCAGCTGCACCATTTCCCCCGGAGTAACCTCCACCTCCTCCAGCTCCACGGTTGCCTGAACGAAAACCACCACCACCTCCGAACCCACCCCTGGCATGTCCACCCCTTCCTCCCTGAAGATATCCTTTACCTCCTCGACCAGAACCGCTCGAAGCACCTTGTCCATTACCGTAAAAGCCGCCGCCACCACCACCTTCAGTAATGTAAAAAAATGATCAGTGTTCTCTTATATAAAGCAACTTTTTAATCATTAACTGAAAAGCGATTAGACAATAATTCGCAGTTTTTTCCAACCAAGTATACTTCATAATTTAAAGTCGGAAGTTTACTTTAAAAAAATTATTAGATCTTGTCAATTATAAAAAGGGTTATGACGACAAGTCAACGTTAAAATTCAGCGCTTTTCTTTTATCCAGCTATGCAATCAGCGCATGAGAAGCCTTGTTAGCTTCACAAAATCACAGTTCGATAGTGAACAGTTAATAATGTGCAGGAGGTTTGAAAACTGAACGAGCGAGATTCGTTTACACTGAAGATATTACTGGATGCCCCTCCAGAGATGTTATTAAGAAGAAAAGAAAAACTTCCAAGTCAGAATTAATTATTCCATTAATTAGGGTTCTGATTAATTTTACAATCGTTTTATTGTCCTAATGAATTGTTCATACTGATGGGTTTGTCTAATTTCTCTGCATACCTGGAGATTGACCATTGGCATCTCCTCCATGTCCGTTGCTTCCTCCTGATCCCAATGGCGAGTTGCTCCCTGCGTTCCCTGTTGTGTTTATGGACGCATCACACCCTGGATGTTGTTCCGACATATTTTTAATTCCCCCTCCACCTCCAGCTATGATCAAGGGAATGTTGTTTCCTCTCACTACAAATGTACCTCCACCACCTCCCCCAGTGTTTTTGTTGACACCCCCTCTGATTCCTTTTTGACCAACGAGTATACTAATGATCTCATCTTTGGTCAACATAAAGTTTCCAATCATCCGCGCCCCTCTCCCTCCGTTGATGACACTGTTCTGGCCGTACCCCCCTGAGGCTCCTACTGCTTCTATTCTGTATTCCCCTGTGTGTGGCACATTCCACAGCTGAATACCGCTGGACACTGTAACTTGTCCGTTATGATCCTGACCTGTGTAGTGACTGCCAACTGAGTCTGGACCCTGAGAGTCGCTCTTACCAAGATTTGTAAACACAGCTGTATTAAATCCTGTGAAATGAACCGAATAATACTGAAAATTATCGCACGAGTATGAAAATGTCACCGTGTTCTTTAGTATTCTGAATATTGCCAACCACTATGCTTGAAAAAGTTTCTCTACAAATTATGCGGGATTAGAAAAGGAAAAAAAAGGTATCAATAAAATTCTAGTAACAGAGTCAAAGAGATCTTCAAAATGTCTTGATTCCTGCAAGAATACTAAGGTTTTTATTTTTTCAGTTTCCACTAATGACTACATCACATACCAACCAGTGAAAGCTAAATTGTAAGAGTCAGAGGTGGACGAATAAGCCGTGATTGTACTCGATTACCGTGCGGCGCTTTTTTCGAAATTTGGAAAGAATGGAAAACATAAAGAACGCTCCTTGGGGTTAAGGATGACCCTGTGTATCGGAAGCGATTCGAGAATACCCTCATTACGTAGAAAGGAATGAAAACGAAGCATCCCAACTAGTTGCTTGACACTTCAATCTCCCAAATCATTCTAAGCAGCATATGGCAGTCTGTGGCCTTATCTTACATCTAGGCGGTTCAGAAAGCTACAAAAGTCTAGAACAAAAATTTATCTTTCAATTCAGCGACATTATTAATCCCCACGGTATCAACAAATCACTTTTCTTGTTGCTCTCTTAACCATGTTCTTACTGGTAGTGCAGCTAATTTTCTGCATATCAACACACACACACATACAACCCACAATTCCTCCATTCGCTATGACGAAGGGCTAACGCTCAAGAAACTCTTTTTAGTGATCAATTTATATCATCAAGTCAGTTGATAACTCAAATTTTCTTATTACACACCACCCCCCCACCGACGCAACACCACAAAAACCGAAAATTTTGATCTTACAAAGTAAATAGAAAAATAAATAAATAAATACTAAAAGCCAGACATGGAAAGAATGACAAATACTTACTCTGAGTACAGTCTGTACCGTTTCCTTGAAATCCGTCTTTACAAGTACATTTGTAAGATCCCGGGGTGTTGTGACAGTCAGCATTCATATCACATTTGTGCGTTCCATTGGTACACTCGTCTATATCTAGGACAGCAAAGCGAGCGTGAGTAAAATGTGGTTCATTTTATATCGCTCTGCTGCTCAAATGTTTTGTGGTTGTGTTAAAAACGCGCCACTTTGGCCGCTAGCGTAAGACAGGTGGCCGTCATAAAGAGTTAAATTAAGAGTGACAAACAAACTGGTCGTCCTAAAGGGCTAGGTAGTCGTTCGTGGAAGGTCTTTTTCACTCCATTTCACACTAGGAGTTGAAAAAAGATTATCAGTGAGTAGGGCAACCCTTTGACGGCCAAAATGTAAAAGTTAATGGTCTTAACAGATGATAAAACGATTCTCTGTTGAGTAGTTCTATGAATTTGGTCTTACATTCAATTCTCTGCTTAATAATTTTCTAGATTCTCATTACCTTCCTATTTAAGTGTGTGTTATATTTGTGAAAGGAGTTTACCAAATGATCTCTGCCAGGAAATAAAGAGTTAAAATAGTAATATTTTCTTCCAACACTACCAAAGTAATTTAAGCAATTTATTAGAATCATGAAATGTATCGGTTACTCTTAGCCTGAAGCAAACGTTCTCAGCGAAGGAAATTGGTCACGCATTTATCTTCTGTTCAACTTGAAAAAACTGTAGCGGATTCCTTACCCTCATCACAGTTATGACCTTCAAATCCAGATCCAAGAGCACACAAACACTGATAATCTCTGTCTGTAAACCCAGCTTGACATGTTGCATTATTCTTGCAAGAATTTTTGGCGCAAGCATTCTTGAGAAGAAAGAGAACCGGTGTTTGTTAATATTTGTATTTATCTTCTGCGAGTTAGCAGGGATATTGATGTCCCGCGCGTGCGTTCGTGTTTGCGAGTTCTGAATGCTATGCAAGTTTGTCAAATCTACGTGTTTCCATCATATTCCTTGCGTGTACTTTTGTTACTCATCACGTGGCTGTGTTCCACGCAAGCTTGTTGGTTATTCACGCAAATGTTCGCGTTGAACACAGGTCATGTTGTTCCCGGTCCATGTTCAGAGCGAGTGAAAAATCTGCGTGAATCTTCAAAATTTATCAAAATAGCTCTTTTAGTCACGCGCGTTAGAGGAGGTCATTTTTCCATGCTTTAGGATTTGGGGTCATTTTCCGCCGTTGCGTGCTTTAGGATTTGGGGTCATTTTCCGCCGTTCCGTGCTTTAGGATTTGGGGTCATTTTCCGCCGTTGCGTGCTTTAGGATTTTAATAAAATATATTCCATTCCGCCATTCTTCTTTCCATCATATTCCTTGCGTGTACTTTTGTTACTCATCACGTGGCTGTGTTCCACGCAAGCTTGTTGGTTATTCACGCAAATGTTCGCGTTGAACAATTCTTTATTTCAAAATTTTAATCATGCAATTATTATACCCTTAATTTGGGCGGTTGGAAGAAGAAATCAAAAGAGGAGGGAGTAAAAGCTCAAAGGATTCTTAGTCTTGTAACGAACTGAGCGGAGAATATCACGCTCTTGGCTTAGTAACTTCATTCTCACCTCAGCTTCGCGGTAAATACAACTTTCGTATTTAACCAGGTCTTCATCGTGTTCAATAGTCGCACTATTCAGATCACACTTGTGTTTTCCAGACGCCTGTTTTATCTTACAGAAGTTATAACTAACGCAATTAGGTTCCAGGTAGCATTGTAACATGCAGAGACCCTCGTCGGCAGCTTCAATAGTTCGAACCGTGTGATTCTCCAACCGGTAGTCAGATTTATGAAAATTGGTAAACTTTAAATTGCGGCAGTTACCTGGAGAGAAAAATCTATTAAGTTAGAAAGCTCTATGTAGTTCTTACTTTTTACCTCTAAATATAAAATGAAAATGAGTTTTGTATCCATAGTGTGTATCAACACTCACCAGGAGGCTACACGCAGAAAGTTAGCCTCGAGCATGCATATCATAACGAGGTAATTGAGTATAACAGGTACGACAAATCTTAAAATGTCAAATGTAGTCTCTGTCATTTTTTTCGTTCACTAGAAGAACTTAAAAGCAGTATTTGTTAACTAAAAGATTTATCATATTGGCTATAGGACCGAAAGTCAACAATCTCCGTTTTGATGAACCAAGACTGAGAACAATTTATTGAACAAATTTTTCTATCGGAATCACCTGTTTGGTTAGAACATCGTTTCAGCGGTGGATCATTAATAACTTATGCCTTAGTTCGACCAACTCTCAAGAATACACGAATTTTAGTCCTCCGTGCAGATTTTATTACCCAACCTTTAGATCAACTCAAGAGCCAAATTGTACAAAAAAGCCAGACCTTTTGGTTTTTTTTTTTTTTTTAATTTTCCTGTAAATTTTGAGAAAATAGCATACTTTGTCTCGTTATGACGAATAACAAGATTTCATTACAAGAATTGAAAAGTCTCACTGGTGTGTAAACTTTTCATTAAAACAAGTCGCGCCGATTTAGTTGACTCTCAACTTTAAATAAAAACGAACATATGTCAGTAGTCAAACCCATCCACCGCGTATAATCGAACATGTCAAAAAATTCGCACACGTTCACTGACTTCTTGGTAGAGAAAGTGACTGTATTTTTGTATTTTTGAAGTAAACTTTCGCTTTTGGTTACTCCAAAAGACCACGTTTCATAAAATTTGATTCGTTTGTAAACTTGTTATATCCAAAATCTGTGTTACTAAATAAATCCAAAAATGTACGAACTTCTTTCTTAATACGTAGGTTGTCGTATGCCAATCCAGGTAACTGTGTATTTAAATGAAATAATATGCTATATTCAATTCCAGAGGAAGCCGAGAAACTTGTGCGAATATTTTAAGTCTTGGTTATGTCAATAAAGATGACCAAAAAGTAATGTATCGCCTTGGTAAACTTTGAAATATTACTCAGACATAACTAGGATATAACTGTAGGGAAATCTCACCTCGTCCTTGTGGTATTAGGGAAACCAAAACGGCGAGAACAAAGCAGTTGAATACAGTGAACATGTTGTTCGAAAAAAACAGCCGTTATAATCCCAGCAAATAGCTACTGTAAGTTTCACACTTTTAAGGCCAAAATCAGGCAACAAAGAGAGCTGAATTTTAATCTGCGTTCAATTGGGGCACCTTCTTTGTTTATTTATGTGGTTGTCAGTAGCTGTCATAGCTGAATTAATTAGTTCCTCTGGGATCTTGTGGGTTGGTGAAACTTTATTATACTTAATGCGTATTAATGGCGTTCTGTCTGAATAAATCAGGAAGTTAATTGCCCTTTACCGTAAACTGCTGCTTATAAGCCCTGAGGCTTGTACAACTTCGTAAGGGGGTTTTAGAAGCCAGGGTTTAGAGACGGAGGGGCTTATGTCCGAGGGGGCCTGTAACCGGAATAGGAAAACCGCATGGAAATGATCAATACAAGCGCTGATTAAAATAGGTTTTGCAGTGGCTGGTTTTTTAAAAACAAAGCTTCAAAACGTCGAAATAGATCGCATTCATTTCAATACATTTGGAACAGAAATTTAAAGAAATGACAAGGACGTATTCAAACCAGTCACACTTTAATCCCCCTAATCATTCTAAGCAGCATATGGCAGTTTGGAGCCTTTCCCTACATCTAGGCTGAGTTCAGAAAGCTGCAAAACTCTTAATCCCCACGGTATCAACGAGCGCCTTTCATTCAACTAATTTATTCTTGTCTTCTTGTCTTCTTGTCACCATATTCCCACCAATAGCGTAGCTCAATTTTCTGCATATAAAAACACACAACCCACAGTTCATCCACTCGCTCTGACGAAGGATTAACGCTCGAAACGTCAGCTTTTTAACTTTTTACGGTGGCCAATTCACGCTATCAACTCGGTTGATAATACCAAATTACCCTGTTATAATCTCCCACCGACGCAACACCAGTTTCTTTGGAAACTAACCCATTTATTTATCTGAAGAATTATGCGTTATTAGAAATTGAATTTTGATTTTATCGGATGAAGAGCCCCGTCCAGGCTTCACTTCACGTCATATTTCACCACATGTGAAATTTTCATGGTAAAGCATTCATCGTTTCTGCTGCATGGAAGTTGTCACCATATCGCAACTGTCTCGATTCAATTGTTTTCATTTTGTGCCAGTGAATAATTAGCCGTATCTACAAGGATGAGTTTTATATGGCAACTCACAACCATTTCAGCGAATTTGACTTTGTACTTAATTGTACCTTCGTTGTATTCCGTTGAAGTTAAGTTCAGTAAAAGAGACACTTATAATAAGCGACTAATGTCTTATGAAAAGTGCGCGTGAATTATTCAGTTGATATCTTCCGATTGCTCAATCAGAAGTCCAACCAGAAACAGCGTTGGAAATCTTCAAACAATTCGCATCGCTTTTTATAGCCGTCTTTAGGAATGTCCTTCTATACAAGGCTGTCGCAGAAAATAATTTGTTATTCACTGTTTTTCCACCCAAATATTCATGCATCATACAATTTTCGATTACCCTGCAAAGACCTTCAGTCAAGGCTGGTCTTTGTGTTTTGCGAAAAAGACAACAAAGACAAGTAAAATGATAAGCAAAGGTTGGGGGATTCATGAACTTTTTTCCTGTAAGATACATGGATACTTTTTCGTTCTTTCGCAAATTTACCTTACTCTCAGTTGATGTGACTTAATAATTTAGGTTTAACTAACAAACACGAATGAAATACTGACAGCCAGATATCAGTTTATTGAGTTTCACAAGAAACTAGGAACTTTAAGTCAATCAACTAGCAAACAATGTCCTCAATAAACTTTATTATTAATTAAGTTTTGTTATTAAGCCGAACCGTTATTTCCAACTACGTGAAAATTACAGCGCTTTACTCCAGTTTTAGTGAAGGAGCACAAGAGCCTCCTGAAAAGATATTCCGGATGTTATCATAAAACAAAAATATTACAAGTAAATAAAGTTTTGAGTAACCTTGAATGCGCCATCGCTCAAAGTCAGTTTCATGCGCAACAAAATTTAAAAGGTCAACGGGAAAAAAAAGTTGAAGAAGCAGAGTCACACTGGCTGTATCATCAGTGAAAATCGATTTTGGTTTTGAGCTGATCCAGAAAAAAAAATGATTGACTGAATAATGGACCTTTACATTGTTAACTATGTTTTCATCGAAATTAGATACATAAGGATATAAAGGGCTGACTTCACAACTGTTTCCCTACAAAATTATTACTTAGTCTCTATTACCCATATGTTATTAATTGACTAATTATCACAAACTTCCCACCATGCCCGCTATTTAAAATCTTAACAATTCTGGCATTTGTATCTTTTTTATTCTATAAGCGGAATTAATTTGTGGCTAACATTGTCCTCACCTTGGCGATTATAAACTATCATCTTGCCTCACCCCAATATTGTATGCTTTTAACGTGCAAGAATTTGTGTGAATAAAGAGCTGGGATAATTTGTTGTTCACTGTTTTCTCTCACCTAAATATTCGTGCATCATACAACTAAGAACGTACAAGCCATGTTTAATTAAACCTCTGGAAGTGAACCTCTGGGAGTGAACCTCTGGGAGCGAACCTCTGGGAGCGAACCTCCGGGAGTGAACCTCTGGGAGAGGACCTCTGGGAGTAAACCTGTGGGAGCGAACCTCTGGGGGCGAACCTCTAGGAGTGAACCTCTAGGAGTGAACCTCTAGGAGTGAACCTCTGGGAGTAAACCTCTGGGAGTGAACCTCTAGGAGTGAATCTCTGGAAGTGAACCTCTGGGAGTGAACCTCTGGGAGTGAACCTTTGGGAGTGAATCTCAAGGAGTGAACCTCTGGGAGTGAAACTCTGGGAGTGAACCTCTGGGAGTGAACCTCTGGGAGTGAACCTCTGGGAGTGAACCTCCTCTAATCTCTACATGTAGATTTTGAGAAGCCACTATTTCTTGAAGTGCAACGTGTTCTTGCGTTGATCTCAAATTGTTTACAATCAGATAAGCAACTTTGTCCATAGCCAAAAAATTTATAATTCGTCTCAAGCCCTAAACTTTGCCTAAAATTGAGTCCACTGAACTTAAGTGATGAATACAGAACTGTATGAACAGTCCAAAACATCTTCTGATTTATTGCTCCGAAAAGAGCTAGAAAAAGAACAAAAATTACAGCTTTTGCTGTCGACAAATTTAAAAAGTCATTAAAAACTCACGAACACACCTATTCTAGCAATTTTAATACTACCCTCAACCTAAACACGGCTTAATAACAAAATCTAAATAAGGACCTAAAGAAGTTAAACTATTGAGTTTAAAAACAAACATCAATTAGCGCTTCAAAACAGAATTACCACTACAAGCTAAGAAAAGTGCTGCCATGCATTTCAGTGAAGAAATGTTATGATCACTTTACCATGTTCAGCAGTATTATAACAACATTCATTTTGCTGATTTGTTCCGTTGTTGAAAGAACCTCCCCCTCCCCCACAGGAAATATTTTTATTCGCACCTCCACTTCCCCCAGAATACCCTCCACCTCCCCCAGGTAACTCATGAAATGAACGATAACCACCCCCACCTCCGAACCCACCCATATGTGCTCCCCCCTCTCCCCCGGTTAGAAATCCTTTACCTCCCTTTCCCCCTCCACCAGAAATCTCTGAGTCTTCTCCATTGCTGTAAACGCCGCCACCACCACCACCTACAATCAAGAGATTTACAATTGACCTTAGAAACTTAACAGATCATGGCTTTTAGTAATTCTGGAAAAAATCCAAATTTGAGCGACCAGTACCACCTCTTTGTTCGAAATAATGATGGATGGCAGTAGAATACAAAAAATATAATTTAATATTTATAAATAGGAAATTCTTCACCTACCAGAGTGCGGTTTATCAGTTTGTCCTCCATTTCCGTTACTTCCTCCTGACAGGAATGGCGAGTTATACCCTGCATTTCCTGTTGTGTTTATGGACGCATCACATCCTGGATGTTGTTCTGTCATTTTAGCAACTCCTCCTCCACCTCCGGCTATGATCAAAGGCTTGTTGTCTCCTCTTACTACAAATGTACCTCCTCCGCCTGAGCCAGTTTTTTTGTTATGATACTCTTTTTCCCCTCTTTGGCCAACAAGTATACGAATGATCTCATCTTTGGTCAACATAAAGTTTCCAATCATCCGCGCCCCTCTCCCTCCATTGATGACACTGTCCTCACTGTACCCCCCTGAGGCTCCTATTGTTTCTATTCTGTATTCACCAGTGTGCGGCACAGTCCACAGTTGAATACCGCCGGACACTGTAACTTGTCCGTCATGATCCTGACCCGTGTAGTGACTGCCAACTGAGTTTGGACCCTTTGTTCCACTCTTACCAAGATTTGTAAAAACAGCTGTAAATCCTTCGTAAAACACAAGCAGTAAAAATAAAAGTTATGACACTAATAAGAAATTGTTAGTTACTTTGGGCTTTGCCAATATCGTAAAAACCCGCTTAAAAGAAAACGTGTTTTGCGGGTTCAGGCTGATTTTGTTCTTATATATCGGGTGTTTCTGCAAAACCAGCTTGAAAATATTCTTAAGGTGTTCTTAAAATTGTTTCTAAAAATTAAATACCGCATAGACTACCAACAGATGAAGTAAATGTGCAAGCACAACATTTTAATTAATTCATAGATGGAACTAACCTTAACTGCATTAATCAAGGCAATAATATTATATTAGGGGAGTGGAAGCAGTTCTGGTGATAAACAACTCGAAACTCAGCAAAAATCAAGCAAATTCAAAATGCACCAGCCCCCCCTCCCTCCCCCTTCCCTCCTTCCATGTAACTATTGACTGGTCCCCAATCCTACAAGCAAACTGAGAGCAAAATGTCAGCATCCAGTTTCTAAAATTTCCAGTCCAATTATCTGATGCATTAAAATCTCATATCTTTCGAAACCTTGGGGGTTTGAGCCATTTTCTCAAACACTTTCTTGAGAAAAGGTCTCATCATTACTTAACTCACTCCACGCTCCCCCAGTCCATTGGGTTATTGAGATCCTTTGCTAAATGTCTATCCTGCCATTTATCGAGATTGTTCTCCTCTTTCAGCCATGTTTCCATTGTTGCACCAATTTTACCTTTCATCAACCGACCACGTCCTGCATCAATGGGTTGGATTTTGTCGGTGTGGTTTTCAGGCAGCATGTAAACTGTAGTGTTGATCTGATTTCATGTTTTCATGTTGATTTTTTTGGAAGCCGACATTATCTGCAAATAGAATTTTTTTCTTCTTTGTCATTCCCAGTTCCTGGAATAAGTGTACCCTGGACCCACTGTAAGTTAATTTCTTCATCCATCCAAGCATTTTGCTGGAAATACACATCAACCTTCTTGTCATACTTTTCTTTCTCCTCAGTTGCCACACGCCCTTTTCCTCTGAAGATAAATGCTGGCTTCACGTTTTGTTCCCCGTCAGCCCCAATGCAAAGTTTTAGAGTAGCCTGTCGTTTATCTAAACCAGAAGATGGTTGTGACACGCACACTTCCTTAGCACCCAATGTGTCGCAGGTTTTATCTTGCTCATTTACAAATGGGACAGGAACCTACCTGGTCGATATTGTTTTATTGTAAGCAAAGCAATTTTTAGGTATCCATCTTCCATACTTTGGGTCAACTGTATAGGACTTGTTGCTTCTCCTTTGTGTTTTCAAGGCTTTCCTTAAATCCCTATGGAATTTCTGGATCGTATCCCGGCCATCATCTGTCCAGACTTTTTTCTTGTTGGTCCTTCTCCTCAGTACTATGGTGTGTCGTTTCTTGAATCTTTGGAACCACTTGCTGCTTTCTTTAAATTTTGCAGCTTCCTCTGCGCCATAGAATGCTTCGATTTTAGATTTCATTTCTTTTTAACTAAAGTTTGGACACTTTGCTTCCTGCTGGCTGACTCGGCAGGTAAAGGATTGGAAGCCAGAGGATGTTTATCAGTGCGTCGGGATTTGTTCCCAGCGATCCTCCTCCTTTGTCTCTTCTTCGTCATGGTCAGAGTCAGTTCTGCAAGAGTCAGAGTCAGTTCTGCAAAAATTTTGCTTCTGTTTTTTTCCCACTTAGGGACTTGTCAGAAATTAGCAGGGGGGGAGGGGGGGTGGGAATTTTAAATTTGGGTTCGGAAATTAGGTGACCCATCCCTGCAATGGGAGTGAAATTTGCTAACCCTCCGCTTGAGCTTGGCCTAAAATATCATGACCCTCCCCCTCTTGTATAAATGATAAAATCTAGTTCTTGCAATACACTAGGGTGCGTTAGTATTATGAAAACTCAAAATATATTTCTAATCTGTTCTTTGTCATGCTACATACATACATTTTCGATGACAGCATTAAGAGTCCGACTGATCACTCGACTCTCCTATTTCTCCCAATACAAAGTCTTCATCACTAGAACAAGTGGGTAATGCCTCATCCCCTTCATCTACCTCACATTCATCATGATCATCCACCTCTTCCACACTGAGGGAGAATTGTTTGTTTGTTTTTGTGCTCTCAGCAAATGACCGTAAGTGATCCATAATAGCATTGACTTTCTGTGGCTTGTTTTTACCCTTCACTGCAAGCAAATTATGTTTATCGATGTATTTGTCCAGAACACATACACGCTGTTTCGCTAGTGTTCCACTATTCAGCATTTCCATCCAGTCAAATTCCTCATAAGACATTGTGTTCTCTTTCAAATTCTTGTTTTTCTTTTCCATTTTTCTCTTCCCACTCATCATCTCTAAATGATTTAAATGTGCTAGGTATTTCCTCTTTTTTTTTGCCAAATAAAGAACTTCCTTTTTCTTCTGTGGGTGAACCTCTACATGATCACGGGCATATATTTGCATGACCCTCCCCCTTTTAACTGCCCATTTTTCATGACCCCTCCCTTTTCTGAGGCTCAAAAAGTTGTGACCCCCCCTCTGTTTCCACCCCCCCTCCCCCCCTGCTAATTTCTGACAAGTCCCTTAGGCACCAGCGATCTGTTGACTCCTTGTTGCTTTGCAACTGTTTTGTATTTGTTAGTTGATGATTTCAATGAATCCAAAAGATCCATTGTTTTCTTTATGAAATCGACAGTGTAGTACTTTCACTTGTTACTTCCCCTTCGATTATTGCTACGCCTTTGAGTTAGACCTTGGGCAACACCGCCCGATTCACGCGGCACATCCTCAAGCTGTTGACTCTCAGCCATTCTCTGCATGTTTGTTTCACCTGAGTGGTTGTTGATGTTTACAAAAATAGTCAATGTATCTCTAGATGCTGAGCTGATGCTGTTCGAGTTCTGTGTGGCAGAGGCCGGGTGCTTGAATTGTACGTGGCTGTCCAAATATTGTTGAACTTTGAACGATCTGTCGCAGTGTTTGCATTTAACTGTGGCGCTGCTCAGTTTAACTGTCTTTTCCAATGTCGACGTAATGACGTACACTCTGCCATCCTTCAACTCTACTGATTTTCGCAAACCACAATCGAATAAAGTACGATTCATCTTCCACAATTCATCAAAATTGAGGAACACAAAAGTCAATGCAGTAATGTATCCCATAACACCCTGTGCGTCTATTGTCCTAGAGACAATAACTGTTTTGCTGTACAACCGTTTTCTTGAAAATTAAGGAAAGTAAAGCTTCCATCTTGAATACCTCTTTAGGAAAGTCAACTTTCTGCACAAATCAAACTATAAAATGGCAGATGGATACGAATTCTATGTTCAGGCAAGCGTGCGTGGGTACCATGCTTATTTTGTGGATGCAACGGTGTATACTGAGGAAGTTATGGACGGCGAGTAGGTAGACTGTTTCTTTAAACAGTCTTTCTCGATTGATTTGGAACCTGCCTTCAGTTGTGACGAAACCCTCCTTAGTTGTCGCCAAACACTGCTAAATTGTCGTACCACTCTTCTTAGTCGTCGCCAGACTCTCATTATTTGTCAGCAAACCCTCCTTAATTGTCGCAAAACTCTGCTCAGTTGTTACCAAACCCTTCTTACCTGTTGCCAAACTCTTCTTATTCGTCGCTGAACCCTCCTTAGTTGTCGCAATTAGTTGTCTCATTTCAGAGTTATCGCCAAACCCTTCTTACCTGTCGCCAAACTCTCCTCAGTCATCGCCAAACTCTCCTTAGTTGTCGCAACCAGTTGTCACAAAACACTCCTTAGTAGTGGGCAAACCACTTCTTACATTTCACAAAACATTCTTAGTTATTGCCAAACTCTTTTTAGTTGTCGCAAAACACTTTTAAGTTGTCGCAAAACATTTCTTAGTTGTCGCAAAACACTTCTTAGTTGTCGCGAAACACTTCTTAGTTGTCGCAAAACATTTCTTAGTTGTCGCAAAACACTTCTTAGTTGTCACAAAACACTTCTTAGTTGTCGCAAAACACTTCTTAGTTGTCACAAAACACTTCTTAGTTGTCGCAAAACACTTCTTAGTTGTCGCAAAACACTTCTTAGTTGTCACAAAACATTTCTTAGTTGTCGCAAAACACTTCTTAGTTGTCGCAAAACACTTCATAGTTGTTTCCAAACTCATTACACTCCCTCTTTTCCCTCCCATCCCCAACAAAAGAAATGTATATCATTTCGATAAGTCATTTGACTGCTCTCTCAGTAAGCCGAAAACATAAGCTATCAAGATATTCGCATGAATATCGCCTAAATCAATGGCAATGTACCTGAACACGAGTGTCCATCGCTAAGGTATCCCTCCTTGCAGGTGCAGTTATGGGAACCCACTCATTAATTTAGCAGAAAAATAGTCTTGCATGATATGCAGAAGAAGATTCAATTGTCTCTGAACAAATTTTACAATTGCTTTATAACTGTAATATTGAAGTAAGAATGTTAGTCAAAGTTTTATCAAAGTGCATTTTGGTTTAGGCGTGTCCCTATGTGTGTATTTTTGCCCTATTTAGCTTTTTTATGAAAAAAAAAATTGAATATATAATATCTTGAAGAAACAGGGACGCTATTAAAAGAATCTACAATTCAAACAGAAAGTGAAACTAACGGTGACGTAATGATGATTTACCTTCCAAATTCATATCACAGTAAACCAAAACTGCCTTCCCTGTGCCAGATGGATCCAGCCAGTATTTGTTGCTTGCAGTGTTTTTCCCTTCGCTTGCTTTTATTTCTCGGCATGAACGTGCTGGTAACTTCGGTATCGAACCCAAGGGAGCTGATATGGGTAGTAAAGATGTTGAAAATAAAATATATGTAGGTGCACAAGTCGAAAGCCGAGAGTGAAAAACACAAGAGAATTAGAATGAGGATCTAATTCCATTCATCAATTCCCGCCTTTGAATGTGATAAATTAAACGCTCTGTCAAGCACCTTTCTCTTGGGAAGTGGGCCCCCCTCACTTTTAAACCCTTCCTTTAGAGCCACCAGCTTTTTTACCTTCTTCCGAGACCCTAAGCTTTTTGTATCATTTTAAAGAATAAATACATAAATAATTTGTTGTCACCATTTCACACATGCATCACTCAAGCTGTTCTGTGAAGAAGTTAACTAAAAGTTAAACTGAATAAAGGGGGTAAGTTTCTAAAGAAACTGTGGTGCTGCATCGGTGGGAGAGTATAACAAGGTAATTTGGTGCTATCAACTGACTTGATAACGTAAGTTATAAAATAATTCAAATAGTACGCGCGCTCTGATTGGCCATAAAACCATTTTACATGAGCGTATGTAAACACGGTTTTCGTTCCTCTTTCATTAGTTATTTTATAAAAGAAATGTAAAATGGTTTCCGTGTTTACATAGCCTGATGTAAACACTTGGGAGGTTGGGAGAACACTCGATAAGCTGGAAACCACTCCACTTCGCGTCGTGGTTTCCTACGCTTATCTCGTGTTCTCCCAACCTCCCGCGTGTTTACATCAGGCTATGTAAACACGGAAACCATTTTACATTTCTTCATTGACCACTCTTCAGAGTTTCAAAACAGATGTTTCGAGCGTTAGCCCTTCGTTAGAGTGAATAGAGGAATTGTGGGTTGTGTGTCTGTCGGCAGAACTTGGAGCTACGCTTTTGGTGGGAAACTACAAAGCAACTACAAAGAAAAGGGATAGAACTAATATCGTTCATTATTAAAATTAAGAAATGATGGAAAAATCAATACCGATGAGTGCGGGAGATCAGAAAACGCGGACTGTGAGCAAAGTCAAGCGTATGACCAAAATATTGATAATTATCATCCAACATTATTGGCTGAATAGTTACCTCTTCCGTTCAAACGGCGAATATAAAACCACGCTGGGTCTGAGCGGAAATTCTCAGGTCTTGCGTCCTTTGTGCGGTTGTTTAATTCACAGATCTGTTCTTTTCTGTTGAAATTATAGCTCTGGCAGGTGATTTCCCTTTCACATAAGATATCACAAATATGAGGAGCTGCTACTGTCATTCTCTTGAAAACGAAGCCTTTGAGAGCCATGCCACGAATGTTAATTTCTATCCTGCACTGATCCTCAGCAGTTACAAGGTTGGTGAACGAAACAAAGACAAGAAAATAACGAAATATCCACAGCATTTTTCCTGAAAAACGAAATCCATAGACATCAGTGAGTAAACTTTTTTTCTCAAGGCTGACTAAGAACACTGGATAATTAGAACAACAGGACCTTCAACCACCCCGCTCTTCTGTTATTCTCTTTTTCAAAGACTTATCGCAAGATACAAACATTTAGCCTTCAAAATAAATTATAGAGGAAATGACTGGAGGAGAAAATTCTTCCATTTTACTGGTGGTTCTGGAAATGGGGTGCAGGGAAAATGAGAGCTGAAAGTAATGTAAAAGGACTTGAAAGTTTTGGGAAATTTTGAGCTTTTCAAGGTCTGGGAAATTTTGAATGAATGAGTGGACGAGAAATTGATCGAGTTGAGATACCGCCGTCAATTCATTTTTCCCGGCGCAGAGGCGGTCATTCGTCTAATTTGTTTCGGCTTCGGTGTAATATCTTCATGACTACACACTCGTACTGGATCGTACACTATAAAGGCTGAAAGTATACTTTTGAACCTAAAATATCCTAAGGAACTCAATGACTCGATCATTGCCATCAGTCTCCGTTACGATTACATGAGACTGCGTAAAATTTGTTGAACAAATTTTTCTGTTGAAATCACCTGTTTTGGTTGGGTGAAGTGAAATTGTTCCGCAGGCTAATTCTAAACTTCCTTTCTCTTTCGATCGGTAATAACTTTCTTTCTGCGGTGGATCGGTAATAACTTATTCCTTTCATCTGCCCACTCATTCAAGTACATGAATCCCTCGATTTACGTTTAATGAAAAACGGAACCAGCCTTTACATCAACTTTGAAGCCGAACTGTACCAAACAGCGTACAGCGCGAAAATTAAGGCGCTCATTTTTTTCAAGATCTGCCAGTAGATATTTTATCCATTGTGTACCATCAAAAAGTCAAAAATTAAACGTGGTTCACGGACAACATTGTAGAGACAGTGACTGTTTATTCAAAGTAAACCTTCCCTTTTGGCTCAGCCCAGAAACCATGTTCCCTAAAATTTTACATATTTGAATTTTGTCATTTTCAAAAAAATATTGCCAAATAAAATAAAAACCTCCTTTGAAATATTTGGTTGTCTTATGCCACTCCAGGTATGTAGATGAATGAAATAATTATTGTATTAAGTGCTAATAGGAGATGCTTATGTGAATATTTCAAGCCTTAGTTATGTAGATAAAGATAATAAAAAAGTTATATGATGATTAAGAAAACTTTTAAATAGTTCTTAGACAACAAATAATACCCCATTCACAACATCAGCCGGGTTAAATTAAAACAGAGATGTGAATAACTGAATTTTCCATAGATTTCAAGTAATCGCTAATTTTTATTTTCATTCTGCTAAATTTGGAGTTGAAAAACATTGGTTTAAGAAGCTGCTAAGGAGAAGACGATTTTCAACCATGTTTAACAAAACAGCTTTAAAACATGTTTAAGCATTGGTGTGAATTGGGTATAGCAAAATCTTACCTCGTACTTCTGGTATTAGGGAAGCCAAAACGGTGAGAACGAAACAGTAGAATACAGACAGCATGGAATTCCAGCGAACAGCTACAGTAAGTTTTTCCTCCTTAAAGGAAACATTGGGCGAAATAAGACAGCTGCAGTTTAATTTTTGTTCAAATACATCACCTCCTTTGTCTGATTATAAGGTTCTCAGTGGTTGTCACAACTGAATTAATTTCCTTGGGAACTAGTTGGTTGGTGAAACTCGATTATACCTAATGCATGTCAATGGCCTATAATTTGAATATAAACAGAGGAAGATGTCCTTCATGTGTTGTTTTATTCTGGTTTAATTATGTCCGAATGAGTGCGATGTATGAGGAAGCTACTCTTTACCAACTGTTTACACGCATTCCTCGTTCACCCACACTTGAGCATAAAATAAAGACAACCGTTTTACCAAAACACGTTGATGTTCCGTAATTTTGAGGTTGACTTTAATGGAGAATTTGTTTCTTATTCTTATATTTATTTCTCATTCTTTGATTGTGAGGTGATTGTGATTGTGATTGTTTATTTCTCATTCTTTGATTGTGATGATGACCTCAAATCAACCAGGTGGATAACAGAAACTAAACAAAGAGACCACAGCACGGGCAAGACTTGATGGAGTATGTATGGGTAAAAAACGTTACGTTTGAAATTTGACGAACAGTTCGCTTACGAATTTATGAAAGCCTCTTAACGCTGTTCCGAAAACTATTATCGAAAACTCTTCTTAACTGTATGAACAGCCAGTTTTTAATCCTGTTCTCTGTGGTAAAAACCAAACATGATTAAGCAGTGTTTAAGTTCGATAAAGTAGACACTTGTTCGCCGAGAAAGCGAAAGGGGACGCTTGCACAATATCAGTCACCAGATAAGCGTACCATACTGCTTATCATTCGAACTGAAAAAAATCGTGTTCGGAGAGAAGTAATTTTCCTCGAAACACAGATAACATGATGATTACCAGTTTCATCAATGAATTTTAAAAATGGAGCCTAGTGGATCAAACCTTGTCCAGGCTGGTCAATGCCACTTCCGGCTCTTATTCGAGGAGTGCTGTAAACAGGAAGTTGAAAAGGGAAGGGGGGGGGTAGGTAGACACTACTATATTATGCTACAAAGAAATACGGAGCCTGAAAAAGTAAGATCGACTAGGATCGACCAGTTATTTTATTTCTCACTGAATGGTCTTTTCGTCTTGCAAGTGACCTCATGCGACCGGTAGTCTTTAAAAGGATTTTTATTCTCTTTGGGCGAATTTACGACTTGATATTCAAACAGTGGTCTTAAATGAAATTCGATAAAAGGTGAAATGAAAGGGTATCTTGAGCTGTGATAAAGATGTCTTCGAAAGATGACTGAATAAGGTGAAACTGCTGGGTCAGGTCTAGATATAGTTTTCGGTGTGAAAATAGGGTTAAAATAAAGTGAAGAGGGACGAATACTACAGCAGAAAATTCTGTGGTGTGTTCCCCCCGTTTCGAGTCGAATGGAATGACAAAACAACTTCATCACTTCATCAGCTGATTATTATTTCGAAGAAAATGTTTTCAGGAAGCGCTTAACTCCTTGGGAAACTCACGCAACTCAAAATTAGCATGTTTCCAATTTAAATAATCAGGAAACCTTAGTGATGAAACAGCAAATTATATTTAAGGACGCGTCGATCAGTAGTTTTTATCAGTTTATCAGGTGAGCAGCCAAGGAGAGAACGTTTTCTTTCGAGGAACTTCCGCCTAGATCAGTAAAGGTTTTGGAGTCCGCTCTTATTCACAGCGATATCAGTAAATCGTATAGCAAGTATGGAAGGTAAGTCCTCAGGATGTTAGATTTTCAGTACGATTCATTGTTTCAGTTCTTCACTTCGCATTGAATTTTGAAGAAGAATTTGACATGATTCGTGAATGTTTGTGATGTATTTGAAATTGTCATCATGCCGCAACTGTCTCGATTCAGTTGTTTTCGTTTTTTGCAAGTGAATTATTAGCCGTATCTAAAGGATAAGTTTTATATAGCAGTTCACAAACATTTCAGCGAATTTGACAGTGTATTTTCGTTGTATTCCGCTAAGTTCAGTTAAGGAGACACTAGTAATGAGCGACTAATGTCTTATGGTAAGTGTGCGTGAATTATTCAGTTAATATCTTCCGATTGCTCAATCATAAGTCCAGTCAGAAACTGCGTTGGAAACCCTAAAATAATTCGTATCGCTTTTTATAGCCGTCTTAAGGAATCTCCTGCTATACAAGGCTGTCACAGAAATAATTTGTTGTTCACTATTTTCCATCACTTACATATCCATGCATCATACAGTTTTCGATTACCCTGCAAAGACCTTCAGTCAAGGCTTGTTTTCGTGTGCTGCGAAAAAAACATCAAAGACGAGTAAAAACGATAAGTAAAGTTGGGGGATCCACGAACTTTCCTGTAAAATACATATATATTTTTTCGTTCTTTCTCAAATTTACCTTGATGTGAAATTTACCTCAGTTGATGTGAATTTATAATTCGGGTTTATCTAACAAACATGAAGAAAATACTGACAGCCAGATATCAATTTATTGAGTTTCACTAGAGTTTACTAAATCTATACTATAGACCGACAATATAGGGAAAGTGATTGTTCTATTCTGTAACTCATAGAAACAATTCTTGGGAACTTTTAGTCAATCCATTAGCAAAGAATGTTCTTAATATATTTCTTACTGTTATTAAGTAGAATCGTTCTTTCCAACTAAGTGAAAACTACAGCGCTTTACTCCACCTTGAGTGAAAGAGCACGAGAGCCTCCTGAACTGACCTTCCAGATGTTAGCAGAAAAACAAAAATATAACAAGTAGATTAAGTTTTGCGTTAACTTGAATGTGCCATCACCTACAATCAGTGTCATGCGCAGCAAAATATCGAAGGTCAACGGAAAAAAATTAAGGAAGCAGGGTGACACTGGCTGTATCATTAGTGAAAATCAATTTTGCTTTTAAGCTGATCAAGAAAAAAAGATTGACTGCATAATGGACCTTTACATTGTTAAATCTGTATTCATTGAAATTAGATACACAACAATATGAAGAGCTGAGTTCACAACTGTTTCTCTACAAAATTATTTCTCAGTTATTATTTGACTAATCATCACTAACTTCCCCCCATGCCCGCTATTTGATGTCTAAACAGTCCTGGCATTTGTATCTTCTCTATTCTATAAGCGAAAGTAATTTGTAGCTAACATTTTCCTCACCCAGGAGATTATAAACTATTATCTTGCCTCACCTTAATATTGTATGCTTTTAACGCGTAGGAATCTGATTGAATAAAGAGGTGGGATAATTTGTTGTTCACTTTTTTCTATCACTAAAATATTCATGCATCATACAACTGAGAACGTATGCGCCATGTTTAATTCTCCCCCATCCCTCCCCCATCCCCTTCCCCGTCCCTCCCTCCCGGGGGAGAAAGTAAGGTCAGTAAAAATTAATAAACTCACCTATTCTAGCAAATGTTGTTTGTGAATTTTAATTCTATCCTCAAATGTAAACGCCTCTAGAACCACAAGTTGTGCTGTTTGTCTTACAGTAACACAGCCTAATAACAAATTCTAAATAATGACCCAAAGAAATTAAGAGTAATTGAGTTTAAAAAAAAACATCAATTAGCGCTTCAAAACAGAATTACCACTACACGCTAAGGAAAGTGCTGCCATGCATTTCAATGGAGAAATGTAATGATCACTTTACCATGTCCAGCAGTATTATAACAACATTCATTTTGCTGATTTGTTCCGTTGTTGAAAGAACCTCCCCCTCCCCCACAGGAAATATCTTTATTCGCACCTCCACTTCCTCCGGAGTACCCTCCACCCCCCCCAGGCAAATCATTACCTGCACGATATCCACCCCCACCTCCGAACCCACCCCGATGTGCTCCCCCCTCTCCCCCGCCCAGAAATCCTTTACCTCCCTTTCCGCCTCCACCAGAAGTCTCTGAGTCCTCTCCATTACTGTAAAAGCCGCCGCCAGCACCACCTAAAATCAAAAGATTTACTGTTGACCTTAGCAACTTAACAGATCATGGCTTTTAGTAATTCTGAAAAAAAATCCAAATTTGAGCGACCAGTGCCACCTCTTTGTTCGAAATACTGATGGATAGCAGCAGAATGCAAAAAAAGTAATTCAGTATCCATAGATGGGAAATTCTTCACGTACCAGAGGGCGGTTTATCAGTTTGTCCTCCATTTCCGTTACTTCCTCCAGACAGGGGTGGCGAGTTATACCCTGCATTTCCTGTTGTGTTTATGGACGCATCACATCCTGAATGTTTTTTTGTCATTTTTGCAACTCCTCCTCCACCTCCAGCTATGATCAAAGGCTTGTTGTTTCCTCTTACTACAAATGTACCTCCTCCGCCTGAGCCAGTTTTTTTGCTAGAATTCCGTCTTTCCCCTCTTTGACCAACAAGTATACGAATGATTTCATCTTTGGTCAACATAAAGTTTCCAATCATCCGCGCCCCTCTTCCTCCTTTGATGACACTGTCCTCACTGTACCCCCCTGAGGCTCCTATTGTTTCTATTCTGTATTCACCAGTTTGTGGCACAGTCCACAGTTGAATACCGCCGGACACTGTAACTTGTCCGTCATGATCCTGGCCTGCGTAGTGACTGCCAACTGAGTCTGGACCCTCTGTTCTACTCTTACCAAGATTTGTAAAAACAGCTGTAAATCCTTCGTAAAAATCGAAGTTATGATACTTGTAAGAAATGGTTACAATTATTTTTGGCTTTGCCAATATTGCTTTTACTCAGGGCCGCGGTTGGAAAGAACGCTGATAAACAGCCATTCTTTTAAAAACTATATGCTACCAAAAGCTGGCTTCATTAGAAGATATAAGAGTTAAAATACAGCCCAAACAGCTCCTGTGACCGCAAGAATACCAAGGTTTCCAATTTCTTCAGGTTACGTTATTGACTCAGTCACTTACGACCCACTGAAATCTAAATGTCAGAGTCAGAGGTGACAGAGGTGAGAAACTTATTAGTACATCATGTTTCTTTAGTAAAACACATGCAAGAATTTCAGCATGTGCATTGGCCGAGAGCACGTGAATTTATCCCACACAATGTAGAAAGTTAAAATCAAACCGATTGACAGTAAGTCGCGTAAGCACAACAAACAAAATGGCTGACAAGTGAGGAGAAAGCAACAATGTTTTAATTGAGAGTTTTAGGGCGAATGCTAAAAATAAAAGCATCCAACGAATGACAATCAACTGGTCAAAAGTCTGGCTTCCAGAAACGGCTATGAAAGCATACAACGATCCCCCTGAATAAAATTATCAAGGAGTTAAACCAGCGCAACATATGCGTGCGTACAGGCTCGTGCAATTTGATTGGCCTTTCAAAATATACTCGTGCTGATTTACCCCAAATTTCACTCGAAATCATGTGATTAGCTATACTAATAATAGTATAAGATTCCTTACCCTCATCACAATCATGGCCTTTAAATCCAGATCCATCAACGCACAAACACTGATAGTTTCTGTCTGTAAACCCAGCTTGGCATGTTGCGTTATTTTTGCAAGGATTTCTCTTACAAGCATTCTTAGGAAGGAAAGGAATAGAGAAATTTAAAATGATGTTTTGGCAGGCTAACAAATCCTTCCCGCGTGTTTGTCGTCCGCACTTGCAATAGTGTGCGTATGTCTCATGTATGCAGTTCCATTTTTTGGGCTAGGTTTTAGAGGTTTCTTGATTCCACCCGTCCACCTTCGTGGTCCTCGAGTGTACTCTTAATTTGTTTTTCGCGAGCGCTTTTGTTGCACTCTTTCCACGCAAGGTTGTTGGTGATATACGTGGATGCTCGCGTTACAGTTATTCCCGTTGTGAGAGGGTTATTTAAATTAGTAGGAGAGGCCGGGATATCCCTTGATTTCGTATCAGAGCTTTCCTGTACAAAGAGTATTACTTTTCCCTCATAGAATTCATCCCCACCTCTGCTCCGCGGTAAATGTAACTTTCGTTTTTCACCAGGTCTTCATCATGTTCAATAGTCGCGTTATTCAGATCACACTCATGTTTTCCAAACAACTGTTTCATCTCACAGAAGTTATAACTGACGCAGTTAGGTTCCAGGTAGCACTGGAACATGCAGAGATCCTCGTTAACAACTTCAATAGTTCGAAGCGTGTGATTCTCCAACCGGAAGCCAGGTTTAGGAAAAGTAGTAAACAATAAACTGCGGCAGTTACCTGGAAGTTGGAAAGTTGCTTTGCATTATTGAGACCTCTCTTAAACTCGAACTGTAAAGCACTATTTCTTCTAAATTATTGCTTTGGCTTTTGACTTTGCGATTATTCTATCGACATCAGTCGAATGTTTATAATGTATCATCTGACTGATCGATGCAGTTTTTATCTCCCTCTTGATGATCTCAGCTATTTTGATCGATTGCCAAAGCCACCGCTGAAAATTAATGAGACCATGTTACAAAAATGCTAGCGGTTAAACGCCAAACATAACAACATGGCGGCTGCAGCTGATGCTGGTACGAAACAGGGAAGTCGTTCATGGACAGAAACAGAGCTGAAGTACTTTGCCTTCGTCCTGGCAGACGAAGAAAACGACTTTGGTTACAAACTGGACACACGCGTTGACGAAGACTGCAAACAAAACTGTTTTCGAGAAGATAAAGAAGGTTCTTGAGGAACGTATGTCGATCGAAGAATTCAAAGAAGAAAACATTTCTTCGTTCATTTTATATTGGCAACTTAAAAACTCTTCTTCAGCTTTTCTTTTACAGGAAAACAATTTTACAAGTTCCAGCAGGGCCGCCATCTTGAATTTTACCGCTAAAAAAATCGTCTCTTGTTGCTCGTCATGTTGTTCGTCCCGTCTTTACACCAGACGAATAACTTGAGAGACGCGTTATCCGACTGGACGGGTAACACGTCCTCGAGTATAAAAACGGCCACTGTCTTCACTGTTTTTCTTCTCACACTTAGAAAACCTAGAACCGAATCGATACAAAGTGCCCCATCTTAATCTGCTCAGCCAAAAAAATAACTCTTGTACGCTACGCATGCCTATGTTTATTTGAGTTGGTTAAAAGTTGAAATCTTTTATACGGATTGTCTTCACTGTTTTTCTTCTTCCACTTAGAAAACTTAGAACCGAATCGACTTTAAACAATCTCCGTTCTGATCAAACAGGATTGTGCAAAATTTGTTTGAGAAATATTTTTACATTTATGGGAGTAATAATAAACGTATGGGTGTGTGTGTGTGCGTGTATGAAGAGTAAAATTGTGCGCTAAGCTAATTTAGAGCTTCCTTTCTGTAAAGGCTAGCTGCAATACACAAAGTGCTCGATTTAGGCTTGGAAAATTTCAATCAACCTCGGCACCACCTCTATCTGGAGCCAAATTTCACCAAACGCCAATTTTTAATCTTTAAGGTAGGCTTTGAGACATTTTTCCACGAAAAGTTATTTTTTTCTCATTATGACGATACAAAGGCCTGTCAGTGGTCATTTCATCCGTAATGATTGCCTGGAATCCAAAAGTTGTAAACGTGCACGTACTAATTTGATTGGATGAACAATAAGTCAATGAGTCTGTATTAAGGGTTTATTTGGGCTACGTAAATTTGTCCGAAATATTATTTTCGAAAATCTCAAAACTGAAACAGTTTTAATGATTGTTTTCTAACTTCTAAGAGCGTGGGAAGATGATTATCTTCGCGGAAAGCTTAAGTATTCAAGAATTTTTTTAACGCCGTACAGTGCTCTGCAATATTTAATTATAAAAGCCGTTCGGCTCGAAATATGATCCATTACTCGAATTTCTAATAATGTTATGAAAGAAAAGGAAATATTGCAGTGTTCTCCTTTTCAGGTGGTAACCGGTAACATTTACCGCCAGTAGTACCTCTAATTACCGTTTAAAATTGCTTGGAATTCTTGAGATTCAACATGTAAAAGGATTGCTTTACCGGTTTGAAAATTTATTTTACCTGTCTTGCTTAAAATAAGGGAGAACGCTGATACTGCCCCGCTTGTTTGTAGTAAATTTACCATTTCAAAAAGCTTCTAACTAGTCGCAAACAACTTTCCTTTGGATGCCTCTTCAAGTTTCCGCTCCATAATAAATTCAACCAGCCGAAAGAGAGAAACGGTAGTGATCAGATCGTTTAAGTACATGTGGGGAATATCCATGATCGCACACTCGCGCTGGATCGTACACTATAAAGGCTGAAAGTATATTTTTGAACCTAAAATATCCTAAGGAGCTCAATCTTTGACTCGATCATTGCCATCAGTCTCGGTTACGATCACACAAAACTGCGTAAAGTTTGTTTAGCAGATTTTTCTGTCGAAATCACCTGTTTTGGTTGGGTGAAGTGAAATTGTTTCGCAGGTTAATTTTAAACTTTCTTTCTGCGGCGGATCGATAATAACTTAATCCTTTCTTCTGCCCGCTCACTGAAGTACATGAACCCCTCGACTTACGTTTTATGAAAAATGGAACCAGCCTTTATATCAATTTTGAAGCCAAACAGCCAAACAGGTCTGCCAGTGGTCATTTTATCCATCGTGTAGGATCAAAAAGTCGAAAATTAAATGCGGTTCACGGACATCATTGTAGAGACAGTGACTGTTTATTCAAAATAAACCTTCCCTTTTGGCTCAGCCCAGAAACCATGTTCCCGAGCGCTTTTCATTCAACTAATTTATTTTTGTTTTCTCGTCACCATATTTCCACCAATGGCGTAGCTCCACTTTCTGCATATAAATCCACACACAACTCACAATTTCTCTAATCGCTCTGACGAAGGGTTAACGCTCGAAACGTCAGCTTTTTTTCCCTTTACGGTGGCTAATTTACGTTTTCAACCCAGTTGTTAACACTAAATTACCTGCTATACTCTCCCACCGACGCAGCACCACAGTTTCTTTAGAAACTTACCTCTTTATCCCTAAAATTTTATTTGTTTCAATTTTGTAGTTTTCAAAAAGTATTGCAACACAAAATGAAAACTTTCTTTGAAATATTTGGTTGTCTTATGCCACTCCGGGTATGTAGATGAATAAAATTGTTATTGTATTAAGTAATATTAGGAAATGCTTATGTGAATATTTCAAGGCTTAGTTATGTAGATAAAGGTAATAAAAAAATTATATGATGATTAAGATAACTTTGAAATAGTTCTTAGACAACATGTACAAATAATACCCCATTCACAACATCAACCGGGTTGAATCAAAACAGAGATGTGAATAACTGAATTTTCCATAGGTTTCAAAAAATCACTCATTTTTATTTTAATTCTGCTAAATTTGAAGCTGAAAAACATCGGTTAAGCAGCTGCTAAGAAGACAATTTTCAACCATGTTTAACTAAACAGCTTTAAAACATGTTTAAGCATTGGTGTGAATTGGGTATAGCAAAATCTTACCTCGTCCTTCTGGTATTAGGGAAGCCAAAACGATGAGAACGAAACAGTAGAATACAGACAGCATGTCCTCAGAAATAACGCTCGTTATAATTCCAGCGAACAGCTATTAGTTAGTTTTTCCTCCTTAAGGGAAACATTAGGCGAAAGGAGACACCTGCATTTTAATTTGTTCAAATACATCACCTCCTTTGTCTGATTATGAGGTTCTCAGTGGTTGTCATAACTGAATTAGTTTCCTTGGGAACCAGTTGATTGGTGACACTCAATGTCAATGTCAATGGCCTAAAATTTGAATAAATAGAGGAGGATGTCCCTCCTGGGTTTTTTTGTTGTTTTTTTGTGTGGCTTCATTATGTCCGTATGAGTTCAAATTATGAGGCAGTCAATAATAATCTTTACCAACTGTTTACACGCGTTCCTCGTTCGCCCACACTTGAGCGTAAAATAAAGACGACCGTTTTACCAAATCAGGTCGATGTTCCGAACTTTTAGGGTTGGATATAACGGAGAATTTGTTTCTTATTCTCATATTTATTTTTCATTCTTTGTAATCAAGTGTCATTCGTACATACATGACTTGCGCCCTCCTCCCCCCTTCCCCCGTTCACCAGACTGTTAACCTCAGCACCCTTTTAATTTCAGTTTTTTAATAAAAGAAGAGCTAACACTTAGTATTAATAGACCAAAGAAGCTGTCAAACAAATTTAAACTCTCAGAAAAAAAATTGAATTTCAGTTTTGTCGGATGACAAGCCCCGTGCAGGCCTCACTCCACGTCTTCTTTCAGACCTTTTCAATGCAAATGTAAATATTTTATTGCGAAACACTTATCACTTCCCATCTGCTAGGAATTGTCTCCATAACAACTAACTAGTTTCGGCTGTACTCAAATTGTGCAAGCGAATAAGAGGTTACGTGTCTGAATTTATACGAATTTTTGTTACGTCAGTAGTCCGTGAGGCACCGACATAGCAAAAACTTATAGCTAAAAATAATGTATCTGTTTTCTGGGTGAGCTGAATTAGCGCGAACACTGCCGATTAGCGGTAACGTGGGTGCGAGTGATGTAGCAGTGACTAAAAGATACAAATTCTGATTTGTATCTTTGACAATGTTAGTCAGTAGTTTAACTTGAGGACCTCAGAAGGTGACACTGAATTCCAAACGAACATAAAGCAGGACTTTTTTCATTATCAGAAATTGCTGCTTGAATCTTACAACTGATAGCTTGTAATTGTAACATTGGCGTTGTTCCATTTATTTTCTCTAAGACTGTTCACCTATCAAATCGAATACACTGTTAATAGTGATTAAAATATTCAGAGTATTGCAATACCCTGGTGGTTTCTTCTGATCTCAACTCAACCGGGTGGATGACAGAAATTAAACAAAGAGACCACGGCACCAGCAAGACTTGATCGAGTTTGTATGGGAAATAAAACGTAACATTTGAACTTTGATGAACAATTCGCCTCACGAATTTATGAAAGCCTCTTCACAGTGTTCCAAAAGCAATTATCGAAAATCATTCTAAACTGTATTAACAGCCAGTTTTTAAACCTGTTCGCGGTGGTAAAAGCCAAACATGATTAAGCAGCGCTTAAGTTCGATAAGGTGATCTCTAGTTCCCCCAGAAAGCGAAAGGGGAAACGCAAATATTATTCGCTTGCACGGTATCAGTCATCAGATCAGCGTATCATAATGTTTATCATTCGAAGTGAAAAATCGTGCTCGGACAGAAATAGTTTTTAAGATAAGGGATCCACGAACTTTACTGTCAGATACATGGATATTTTTTCGTTCTTTTACAAATTAACCTTTAATTAAGCAAAGAATGTTCTTAATGTATTTCTAACTGTTATTAAGCAGAATCGTTCTTTCCAACTACGTGAAAATTAATTAAAATTAAAATTAAATCTTTACTCCACCTTGAGTGAAAGAGCACGAGAGCCCCCTGAAAAGACATTCCAGATGTTAGCAGAAAAACAAAAATATAACAAGTAGATTACGTTTTGCGTTAACTTGAATGTGCCATCACCTACAATCAGTGTCATGCGCAGCAAAATATCGAAGGTCAACGGGAAAAAATTGAGGAAGCATGGTCACACTGACTGTATCATTAATGAAAATCGATTTTGGTTTTAAGCTGATCAAGAAAAAAAGATTGACTGCATAATGGACCTTTACATTGTTAAATATATATTCATTGAAATTAGATATACAAGAATATGAAGAGCTGAGTTTACAACTGTTTCTCTACAAAATTATTTCTCAGTTATTATTTGACCAATTATCACTAACTCCCCCCCCCCCCATGCCCGCTGTTTAAAGTCTAAACATTCCTGGCAATTGTATCTTCTTTATTCTATAAGTGGAAGTAATTTGTGGCTAACATTGTCCTCACCCTGGAGATTACAAACTATTGTCTTGCCTCACCTTAACATTGTATGCTTTTAACGCGTAGGAATCTGATTGAATAAAGAGGTGGGATAATTTGTTGTTCACTTTTTTCTATCACCAAAATATTCATGCATCATACAACTGAGAACGTATGCGCCATGTTTAATTCTCCCCCATTCCTCCCCCATCCCCTTCCCCGTCCCTCCCTCCCGGGGGAGAAAGTAAGGTCAGTAAAAATTAATAAACTCACCTATTCTAGCAAATGTTGTTTGTGAATTTTAGTTCTATCCTCAAATATGTAAACGCCTCTAGAACCACAAATTGCGCTGTTTGTCTTACAGTAACACAGCTTAATAACAAAATCTAACTAATGACCCAAAAAAATTAAGAGTAATTGAGTTTAAAAACAAACATCAATTAGCGCTTTAAAACAGAATTACCACTACACGCTAAGGAAAGTGCTGCCATGCATTTCAATGGAGAAATGTAATGATCACTTTACCATATCCAGCAGTATTATAGCAACATTCATTTTGCTGATTTGTTCCGTTGTTGAAAGAACCTCCCCCTCCCCCACAGGAAATATCTTTATTCGCACCTCCATTTCCCCCAGAGTACCCTCCACCTCCCCCAGGTAACTCTTTAGATGCACGATAACCACCCCCACCTCCGAAACCACCCTGACTTGTTCCCCCCTCTCCCCCGGCCAGAAATCCTTTACCTCCCTTTCCCCCTCCATAAGAAATCTCTGAGTCTTCTCCATTACTGTAAAAGCCGCCGCCGCCACCGCCTACAATCAAGAAATTTAAAGTTTACATTAGCTACTGAAAAGATCATTGCTTTTAGTAATTCTGAGAAAAATCCAAATTTGAGTGACCAGTATCACCTCTTTGTTCGAAATACTGATGGATGCAAAAAAAAATTCAGCAGTTATAAATAGGAAATTCTTCACCTACCAGAGTGCGGTTTATCAGTTTGTCCTCCATTTCCGTTACTTCCTCCTGACAGGAATGGCGAGTTATACCCTGCATTCCCTGTTGTGTTTATGGACGCATCACATCCTGAATGTTGTTCTGTCATTTTTGCAACTCCTCCTCCACCTCCGGCTATGATCAAAGGCTTGTTGTCTCCTCTTACAACAAATGTACCTCCTCCGCCTGAGCCAGTTTTTTTGTTATTAGACGCTTTTTCCCCTCTTTGACCAACAAGTATACGAATGATCTCATCTTTGGCCAACATAAAGTTTCCAATCATCCGCGCCCCTCTCCCTCCGTTGATGACAATGTCCTCACTGTACCCCCCTGAGGCTCCTATTGTTTCTATTCTGTATTCACCAGTGTGCGGCACAGTCCACAGTTGAATACCGCTGGACACTGTAACTTGTCCGTCATGATCCTGACCTGTGTAGTGCCTGCCAACTGAGTCCGGACCCTTTGTTCCACTCTTACCAAGATTTGTAAAAACAGCTTTAAATCCTTCGTAAAACACATACAGTAAAGAAAAAAGTTATGATACTTGCAATAACTTGTTATAATTACTTTTGGCTCTGCCAATACAGTAAAAACCCACTTAAAAGAACAGGTGTTTGGGGGTTCAGGCTAATTGTGTTCTTATATATCAATAATAACAATAATTAAATATTTACTATGTAATGATATATAAAAGGAAACGTCAGAAGTTATCCCTATCGAGGACGCTCCTTGCATAAAATATAAAATAAATAGACTACAATGTAAAATTTAAGAATAATTGAGAAATGTCTTGACCCCTGTTCCACCCTCACCAAGACTTGTAAAAACAACTGTAAATTCTTCGTAAAACACATGCAGTGAAAATAAAAAAGCTATGATGCTAGTAAGAAATTTTTACGATTACTTTTGGTTTTGCCAATACTGCTTTTACTCAGGGCCGCGGTTGTAAAGAACGCCGATAAACATCCATTTTTTAAAAACTATTCGGACCAAAATGTCCGAATATGCCACCAAAAGCTGGTTTCATTAGAAGATAGAAGAATTGAAGTACGGCTCAAACAGCCCCTGCGACCGCAAGAATACCAAGGTTTCCATTTTCTTCAGGTTATGTTATTGACTCAGTCACTTACGACCAACTGAAATCCAAAATGTCAGAAGTGGAAATGCACCAAACGTAAAGCACAATTTCAGGCCACGGGGCGCTTTTTAAGGTGTTGGGAGGATGAGAGAAGTGAAGAACAGTAGCGGTAATGTTGACCGAGTGAAAATTGATACAGTTTGACTATAGGCTGAAATGGAATTTGAGAAAACCTCAGCGGCATACTTACGATGCGACGCTGTCGCTAACTGAAAACCGTTGTTTTCTGTTTCAAACTTTACACGTGATAAAGAAAAAGTTGGGGTACAACCAATACAGAATAAAAGTGATGAACCAGGTTCTAAAATGAACCATGAGCAGCAACACAGTTATTCATTTAAATCGTCTTTTGTATTTTGAATAGCTTGTGCTATCCTAGATCATTCTTCTCGCAAACTTCAAAGCCAGGGCTATCTATTGTGATGTTCTGAAACTTTCAAACTATTGAGATGCTAGCGATTGTATGGTGCTTATCCCTTTCAAATAAGTCTGCCCAATCACCTTAACGAAATAAAGTTTAGGGGAGGAGCGTGCGAAACTTGTTACTTATCAATACATCATGTTTCTTTAATAAAACACATGCAAGAATTTCAGCATGCTCATTGGCTGAGAGCGCGTCAATTTATCCCAAACAGTGCAGAAAGTTAAAATCAAACTGATTGACAGGTAAGTTGCGTAAGGACAACGAAACAAAATGGCTGACAGGTACGAAGAAAGTAACAATGTTTTAATTCAGAGTTTCAGGGAGAATGCCAAAAATATAAACATCCAACAAAGGACAAACAACTTGTCAAAAGTTTGGCTTCCAGAAACAGCTATGAAAGTTTACAGTGATCGCCCTGGATAAAATTATCAAGGAGTTAAACCAGCGCAACAGACGCAGAAGATTACGATCGTACGGATTGGTTAATTTGGTTGGCCTTTCAAAAATATACTCGTGCTGATTTATCCCAGATTTCATTCGAAATCATGTGATTAGCTATACTAATGAAAGTATAAGATTCCTTACCCTCATCACAATCGTGGCCTTTAAATCCAGATCCATCAACACACAAACATTGATAGTCCCTGTCTGTAAACCCAGCTTGGCATGTCGCGTTATTCTTGCAAGGATTTTTCTTACAAGCATTCTTAGGAAGGAAAGGAATAGAGAAATTTATAATGATGTTTTGGCAGGCTAACAAATTCTTCCCGTGTGTTTGTCTTCCGCGTTTGCAATGGTGTGCGTATGTCTCATGCATGCAGTTCCATTTTTTGGGCTATGTTTTGGACGTTTCTTGATTCCACCCGTCCGCCCTCGTGGTCCTCGAGTGTACTCTTAATTTGTTGTTCGCGAGTGCTTTTGTTGCGCTCTTTCCACGCAAGGTTGTTGGTGATATACGCGGATGTTCGCGTTACATTTATTCCCGTTGCGAGAGGGTTGTTTAAATTAGTAGGAGAGGTGGGGATATCCCTTGATTTCGTATCAGAGCTTTCCCGGACAAAGAGTATTACTTTTCCCTCATAGAATTGATCCTCACCTCTGCTCCGCGGTAAATGTAACTTTCGTTTTTCACCAGGTCTTCATCATGGTCAATAGTCGCGTTATTCAGATCACACTCATGTTTTCCAGACAGCTGTTTTATCTCACAGAAGTTATAACTGATGCAATTAGGTTCCAGGTAGCATTGGAACATGCAGAGATCCTCGTTGACAACGTCGATAGTTCGAACCGTGTGATTCTCCAACCGGAAGCCAGGTTTAGGAAAAGTAGTAAATTTTAAACTGCGGCAGTTACCTGGAAAATAATTTTGTAAAGTTGGAAAGTTGCTGTGCAGTATTGAGAACCTCTCTTAAACTCGAACTAAAGCAGTCTGTTTCTTCTAAACTATTGCTTCGGCTTTTGGCTTTGCGATTATTTTAATAACACCAGTCGAATGTTTATGATGTATCTTCCGACTGATCGATGCAGTTTTTATCTCCCTCTCGATGATCTCAGCTATTTTGATCGATTACCAAATTCCAGTGGACTAATATTCGAGAAATATTATCAAACATTCATTTTAAAGTTATTTTTTTATGAAAAAAAGAAAAACCGTATGTTCGTGTGTAGAGTGGTATGTTGCTAGCACCAATCAGATCGTCGCATTTGAGTATGTACCTTGCACCAATCAGATTGCCGCATCAGGCTATGTATCTCGCACTAATCATATCACAGCATTTGGATATCTTGCACCAATCACAGCGTTTAGGGGTATTTATCTCGCACCAATCATATTATAGCATTTGAATATCTTGCGCCAATCACAGCGTTTGGGTATTGTTTTCTTGTAGACGATGTCATTTAATCAGGGGGCCGTGCACAAAGAATGACTTTAACCAGAAATTTTGTGTTTATTAAATAAGTGTTATGGTTGTGGCCTTCACGAGAGCCTCGTCGATTAAGGTCGAGATTTATTGACATAAAAAAGGTTCGCATCATTTGTACCATTTTAAAGTTAGAGCGTGTTTTTTCCGCTCCTTTACTCATAGCTCACACGCCAAACAGCTTACATTCCATCACGTACCACGAAAACAACGTCCAAAGTCCAATAAGAACATATCTAATCATTGCACTACATGAACATTGGGCAATTTTTCACGTGCTTGAATTGTATTCGAGCAATCAAATTCCATTTTGCCAAATTAGACTTCGCTCTAACGCGTGTCATTTCCTTGTAAACAACCTGCATTTAATCACGTATTCTTACCGCATTGTTCAAACCCACTGAAAAAGCTTCACATGGAACTAAAAGCTACTGATTATGATATCTTTCATATACAATTCTTCCGCGTTTTGACTTTTTCTACGTATTAAATTGCGTTTTAGCTACCTTGGACTTAATCCAATCGCTTGTTAATTCCTTGTAAACAACCTGCATTTTATCTCACATTTCACACACAGAGGGCAAAGTCCAGGTAAGCAACAACCAATCAAGGAGCCCTCTTTGAAATTTTATCCTTTTCTCTTGTTCAATGTATCTTCACTTATTCGAGATCGCAATATATCTTTGGTTAAGGTCTATTGGAGATACAACAGAGTTTCAGTTTGCTTTTTACTGGCATACCTGTGGTAGCCCAGTCATAAAATGCCTTTGTTTTTTTGTCGTCTTTTTTTTTTTTTTTTCCTCCGCCACAAAATGGAAAAATTGCGCAATAGTACCCAGAAGTCATTGGGCCCTCAACACCATGACAACTAACTGTGATCCAATGAGGTGTTCACATGCTGATCACGCGTGTTATCCCTCAACACCATGACAACTAACTGTGATCCAATGAGGTGTTCACATGCTAATTACGCATGTTATCTTGATGATGATTGACGTTGTCATGCACAGACAGGGCCTGGTCACATGACGAATCACGAGCTTTTGCTTCTAAAACTCTTTGGTCAGTTATTTTGTATTTCAACGTAATTAGATTGCGATTTCCTGGAGCATTCTGGCGCAAACGCTCAAAATACTTACAGACGCATATACAAGTCATATTAATCGCGGCTAATCCACACTGAAAGATGTTATTGAGCGGTAACTTTGGAACGGATTGAGTCGCCAACGCTTGAAAGCCATGAAAGCCTTGAATGCCTTGTATGCTAAGTATGCCAATGTCTTAGTTGAAAAACGTTCACTTGTTGTAAAAAGCAAAATCTGAAATCTGAAACCAAACTGCATATACTCTATGCAATCTATTGAACAACACTACTATCGTGAGACTGAAGAACATAACTATAATGGATGCAAACTGCTTGTGAAGAAAGACGACATATTGGATTCACTTCATGGCAAGGAACGTAGCTACGATAACAGTACGAATGGTATTAATTTCACGATCAGAAAGGTGAATCTTATGTTTGTTTTCATTTTACTTGTATGGATATTCTTTTTTAACAAATACGTGACCCAGAACACTGTGTTTTTTGTGTATAATGTTATTATGTTAAATATTGTTTACGCAATTGTCTTGTCACAGGCGGCCCTAACTCACGTCTCGATAAAAAGATGAACGCGTCACGCGCTGTGTGACTCGGTGTTAAGTTACGAGAGGAACTGCACGTTATAAGGAATAGTATAGGGAACGAAGTATGGTCGATTTACAACGATACATATTTCGAAATATGAACATTTTTCTCGTAAAATCAATAAAACTTACTCATACCCTGTGTATCCGTTGTATTTTCTGGCGATTTCTGCCGTTTTAAGCTTGCTTTACCATCACTGTTATTCACGTCATCTACTTTTATTATGTTGGTAAAATCTGTACAGTCATCACACCAACCAACTCGCGCGCAAAGTAAGAAGACTATATTGAAGGCTTGAAAATAATATTGCGATCGATTTTCATCAAGAAATGGGCCAGGAATATTCCACAATAGTGCAAATAATCGTGAAGGCGGATCGCAGAAAAGCGATTGCGTGACGCTCGGTAAGCTGTAAGATGACATGTTATTATATACCAGACGTAAAAACTCTTCAGATTCTTAGTCTGCATTTTGTACCTAGTCTGCAGTCTATATTTTGTATCCAGTCTGCAGTCTGCTTTCTGCATTTTGTACTAACAGGTATCTGTGGCTCCAATACAGTTTATTTTTGGTTACATTTATTCGCAAAACACACATTATCTACCACAAAATACCTGTGAGTGAGGTAATTCGACATTTTCGTTCTTTCCCACATTAATATTCTTCTCTCCTTTTGTAAGAATGTAGACATCACTCACAATGTTTCAAGTAATCCACCCACCCTACAAAAAAGGAACTCTTGCATGCATAGCATGTCTATGTTTTGAAATAGGTGTATGCCCTTGGCCAGACTTGAGCGCACTATTTCAGTATGCTAGTCCGACACCCGTAGTATCACTACACTTAATTCCAAGGATCCAGTACCATCCAGGTATCCCAGTTACCCTGCTCACAGGGTCTAGTTGTGGAAAAATTACGTTAAATTTTTTTAGGCAACTAACTTTAGACGTATAACTTTAATTTATCTCTGTTAAAGGAACGGCAGTAAGCGTCGTCTCTTTCGCAACCGTTATTTGGTCTCATCACGCAACGTGCTCTCTCTCTCTCCAACGGGGAATAGATGGCCTTGTGTGACGAGACCAAACAACTGCTGCGAAATAGACAACAGTACGTTTGGCACTGATGCATATAATTCTTGCTTAGAAGTATTTAAACAATAGAGAGAATAGGCCACAAAATACCTGTGTGAGTTCAGATAAATTAAGTTTTTATTTTCGTCCGTTTGAAGATAATGCTCTTTTTCTGTTACAGAAATGAAAACATTAGGTACACAAAGAGCCCCATCTTAACCTCCTCAGCCAAAAAAATAACTCTTGTACGCCACGCATGCCTATGTTTGTTTAAGTCGGTGAAAAAGTTGAAATCTTTTATACGGATTGTCTTCTCTGTTTTTCTTCTCACACTTAGGAAACTTAGAACCGAATAGGCTTTCAACAATCTCCGTTCTGATCAAACAGGATTGCACAAAATTTGTTTGGCAAATATTTTTTCCTTTATAGGAGTAACAATAAACGTATGCGTGTGTGTGTGCGTGTATGAAGAGTAAAATTGTGCCCCACGCTAATTTAGAACTTCCTTTCTGTGAAGGCTACCTGCAATACACAAAGTCCTCAATTTAGATTTGGAAAATTTCAATCAACCTCAGCACCACCTCTATCTGGAACCAAATTTCACCAAACGCCAAGTTTTAATACATAAGGTAGGTTTTGAGACACTTTCCACGAAAAGTTATTTTTCTCGTTGTGAAGATACAAAGGCCTGCCAGTGGTCATTTTATCCATAATGATTGCGTGGGATCTAAAGATGTGATGACTGGTTCTAAAGTAAACTTTCGCTTCTGATTTGTTCGCCATCTTGTTGCTTTCAAATAATGATCAGGAGGCGCAAAATGAATTCAAACGATGTGTGAACTCCTCGAAAATGTGTAGGTTATTTCATGTTATCCAAAGGGAAAACTATTTGACTAAAGTAATTTATTATATCTAACACTTGAAGGAGTAGTTTGTATGAATATTTCAAGGTTTAGTTATATTAATAGACATGGCTACCAAAAATGAAACATATATATAAACGTGTATATATATATACACATATATATATATATATATATATATATATATATATATATATATATATATATATATATATATATATACGCCGACGTTCGTTTTCACAAACATGTAAAACCTCGATATTTTCTTAAAAAACTATGGTAATCACTGATGGTTGAAATTGAATTATTGTTGCATTAGAGGTAGTTTTGCAGCTATTTCGTGGGGCCAATTTTCAACGTCGTCGACTATAATTCTTTCTTGACACGCTTTCAGTTTCTGTTCGTCGTTAAGTCGAAGAGGTTGATTGCAAGGGAGGGGGGGGAGGGATTACATACAAGTTATCATTGGGTCTACTTTGCTGGAAATTTTCACCATAACAACCGGCTCGTCAAATTACAATTCGTTTTGATTTTCCGCTTGATAATGCTTAAGCACCAAAAATTTCACTTTTCTTAAGGGACCTACGAAAGGCTTTCGCACAATTTTATCATCATCATCATCATCACCATTTATTGGCAACTTAAGATATAATATTTAAACAGGTTTAACAGTATGGTAGGGCGAGGAGACTTCCAAGAAACCACCAGGCTAATAGGGGAAGCCACCTCGGTTGTCAACATGTTTGTAATTAAGTTGTGGATTTGCGGCTTGGCCAATTCGGATTCATTTTATTAATAAATTCAATGATCTTTCTTTTAAAAGTAAAAAATCTGGTCAAACCAGTGATCGATATTGG